AATTAGCAGATATTTAATAATTTATCCTGTCTTTTTTTATCATTTATTTGGCATATAAGAAGATTGAGTGTTAAATAGTTGTTGGAAAAGCAAAAGTTAACAGCTCATATGTGTCTAGTCTCGGTTTACCGTAGTGTCATATTTATTGGAGCTAATTTAAAATGATAAACCTATGATTTTATATAACTTTTAATTAACTTCGTCACTTTCAAACGGTTTTGGTCAGTCCAGATAATTTTGTCAATAACCTGTACAAAGTATCTATGGGATAGGTCACGTTGCATACATTCGAACTCATGTTCGTGTCAAATTCCATTTTGACGATGACTGAGAACACGATTAATTCAAAGAATATTTCACGCTGGTGTGATTGAATGTAAATATAATTTGTCATATCAGCTACTACTAGATAGTATAATCTCTTCATACTACTACGCAATGCGACGCATGTTTGTACCATACTTTTTATGGTTTACTTTCAATTCAAATATATTAAAGTATTTTGTACTTCGCCATACTACACTCCACCATCCGTGTTTCATGATGTAAAGTCAGTTTCTAGCTCTGAACTTGTTTTTCAAGATTGAGACTAAGTTTAGTTAAAGGAAATATAGGGTACCCCTGTCTATCTGTTTGATGACTTAAAAACAGTTTGCCACTGCGAATCGTTGCTTTGTTTCTTCAGGTTAATTATCGTCCATCTGGCGTCTGACAAGTGATAGGTACATGTGGCCAAAAGCACTAGTTAGTGACTCAATCTCGTTAGCAGCGTCACAGGTTTCTCCACCGTTTATTTATTTATTTTAACACATAGATATTGTTACAAGTAGGCACCAAATACATATGCGCCACACAAATCTCATTTGATATGTGTGAGGGCTGTGATACTGCCCGGGTGCCCAGACTGAAGTAGGTGGTTTCCTTAGAGAGCCATACCCAGAACCTTCTACCTGAAGGTCTGATCCATAAGGCAGTGAAGCAACGTCAGGAAATGCAGTCCCATGGTAGCTGGTGACCAACGATTGGTTAATACGCCATTTGTTCCTTCAGGATACTGGAGCCCATGTGCACCATTGGTTTGGAATCAGGGTTTTCCAACTCCCCTAGGTGGACCGTCCATGCGCACCGACCCGGTTAAAGCGCCGGACATTCGCTTTTCGTCCTCTCAATTTCGTAAACAACACCCCCGCCACGAGAAGGCAGTGAGTAGTACTTCCCTGGCAGAGGCTATATACGCGTGGCCATGTGAGAGTATTTCGAGAGGGAGAGCGGACTCTCCCCGCTGTCGGCCGTACCAGGGCATTTGGAGGCTGTACTGTATTGCTTCGCTGTAGTTATGATTCTATTTCCCGACTGTAGCTGCTACCTTAACGTGTTGGTTGAGCTTGCTATCCTGATGACTGAATCGAGCTGTATTAGCTGAAACAAATATTCCTTTAGGTCTTACCATCCCGAGAAAACTGGTTGGAGAACGGTAAGACTAAAAACAGCGACCCAAGGGCGAAGTCGTACCGCTGGCTGTACAAGAAAGTAACAACAGTAAGGTTTTTTCCTCGGACAACCAACATCTTTAGCGAGGCTGCCTCTCCACAACGGATGGAAGGGGTTAGAAAAGTTTGACTTTAAAAATATCTCACCTCACATTACCCCATGGATTTCCGTCTCCGGCGATAAGACTTTTTGAAGAGTGGAGCTAACACATCGAAAACTTCCCTAGAAAAGTTCGTACGTGACCGGCCTTAAGTAGTTGTCCCTTGGGTTCTGCAGTGACTCCCGAGTCGCTAAGACCACCACTAATTCAGTCTCATTTTCAGGTCCAATGTGAAGAAATATCTTCCCACGGTGTAGGTAACTAGGAAATGACAATCGCTCTCATACCTCTATCATCACCCCAGATCATCTTATCGGCAATCGAATTCCATCCCTCACCTCTTAGTAATTATTCTATCCTCACGACTAACCCTTCCCATTTATCTTTATCACCAAGCTCCACCAATGCTAATGACTTACGTTCTACTAAAACCACGCTCCTAACTACATCTTGGAGCTTTTAAAGTTCAAACCTCGTGTCAGATAGGAAAACAGGCTTCTTTGGCTTAGACTAGAATCTTGCGCCATCGGAAAAAGACGACACTCATCTGCTCCCAGTCCAGACGTTTAGAACGATAAGCGGAACATTTTAGAGAACAGTTCATTCGGCCTTCAGCTACTCTACAACTACCCTCCATTCCCAGACAGTGTGAATGGAACATTGAAGTAGGTCCCCCAACTCTAGCTGGATTTCAAAAGGCTATAGTTAATCTGAAACGAGGAAGGGCAGCTGGTCCAAATGGATTGGCTCCAGAGGTCTTTAAGGATGGTGGTCCAATTTTAGCGATTAGGTTGACTAATATTTTAGCTAAGATCTGGGAGTTAGACGTTATCCCATCTGACTGGTCACAATCACTTATCGTCCCAATATACAAGAGAGGGTCAAAATCACTCTGCGACAACCATAGAGGGATTAGTTTAACTAATACAGCATCTAAAATACTAGCCTCGATAATTATCAGACGCCTAACTAAGACTCGTGAACTGCAAACACGAGAAAACCAGACTGGCTTCAGAACTGGTCGTGGCTGCATCGACCACATATTCACCATTCGTCAGGTTCTAGAACACAGGCATACTTATCGGCATCCGACAATGGTGGTCTTTCTTGACTTAAAAGCAACACTTGACTCTGTAGACCGCGAGATTCTGTGGCAGTGTCTGTCATTGAAAGGCGTACCTCAGAAGTACATAAATCTTGTAAAGGCTATTAACTCGAACACTACTAGTCGAATCATAGCTTATGGCGAAATGTCATCTGATTTTGTAACCTCAAGTGGTGTCCGTCAAGGCTGTCAACTTCTTCCATTTTTGTTTAACTTCATCATAGACCTACTGATGGAAATAACATTCTCGTCAACTGAATTCTCGGGTATTGATCTCATTCCAGGAGGTCCACTTATCGACTTAGAATACGCTGATGACAGTCCTGTTTGGTGAAGACGCTGATAGAATGCAGTCTTTTGGTAGCACTGAGCAACAATGCCAGAATGTTTGGAATGCGCTTCTCACCCTCTAAATGCAAGTTGTTGCTCCAGGACTGGTCTGCGTCAACACCTGAACTAAGGATAGGGAGTGAAGTAGTCGAACGCGTTGACAACTTCACTTATCTTGGAAGTATGATCAGCCCTAATGGGCTGGTATCGGACGAAATCTCAGCACGGATTCGAAAAGCTCGTTTGGCTTTTGCCAACTTACGTCACCAATGGCGAAGGCGAGATATCCGTCTATCAATAAAAGGACGAGTATACTGCGCGGCAGTCCATTCTGTCTTACTTTACGGCAGCGAAACGTGGCCATCAAGAGTCGAAGATACTCGTAAGCTACTAATATTTGACCACAGATGCCTTAGAAATATTGCTGGCGTCTGCTGGGATCACCGGGTAAGTAATAGTGAGGTTAGACTCAGGGTATTAGGGAATGATTGTAAATCAGTTGATGAGGTTGTGAATCTTCATCGACTGAGATGGTTGGGCCACGTGTTACATATGCCTGAACACCGATTCCCACGACGTGCAATGCTAACCGGTATTGGAAATGGTTGGAAGAAGGTTAGGGGCGGCCAAACCAAAACGTGGCATCAGTGCGTGAAGACACTAACTTCTAGTCTGAGCCACGTTGGTAGATGCAGACTACTTGGTTGGGGTCCGCGTGACTATCGTAATCAATGGTTGGAGACTCTTGGTGACATGGCTCAGAATCGATCATAATGGCATCGGTGTATACACTTTCTATTTTCCCTTAAACTAAGAGATTAAAATTGCTTCATATCTTTCTTTCTACGAACTAATTCTTTCTTCCTGTACTATATCCTTATATGCATTTTTTCTTTTATGTATTACAACCATTGAATTATCTATGAATTCGTTGTTCATCTCGTTGTGCTAATAAAGTGTGGCAACTTGGACTGATGCACATATGTGCCTGGTCCTACGTTGTAGCGGACTGACTGGTGAACACCAACTTTAAACATAAAGTGAAACATCGTCTGACGTGGCGACCTCTAGAACCAATCCATCTGGACCAGCCTTTTGAACTTAAGCTAGAGTCGGGGGACCTACTTCAATGTTCCATTCACACTGCCTGGGAATGATGGGTAGTTGTAGGGTAGCTGAAGGCAAGCTGAACTGCTTCTTACAGTGTTCCGCCCATCGTTTTAAACGTCTGGGCTGAGAGCAGATAAGAGTGTCGTCTTCTTCTGAGATCATCTCACTTTCACTTGACTTCTTAATCCCAGTTTCTTTCATTAGTCTGAAAACCTATCTTCTGTTAAGTACTGCCGCTGCCTTTTACCTCCATTGCCCACCACTGCTCACGGTTGTTCCTTAGCCTTTTGTTTTCGTTCTTCATCGTGTTCAGAGCCTGATGGGACATGAGTTTACGAGAATCCATCAGTGTAATAGACTTAGTAGAAACCCATTAGTTTTTCGTAACCCTTTGGTTTAAATCACTAATAGATGTCACTGATGTTTACACAGCTGTTGGTATATCTTTCCAAGCAACCGAATAGTATAATTAGCCGTCATATTGACAGACAAGTCGGTACAGTGATTTTGTACCGGCGCAAGACGGTTGTGTGACCCAGGCATCTGATGAAAGAGTTAATCTTAACTGGTCTTGTAAAAATTAAACAACCTGAATAAATTTATTGATAGGTACTGTTTTGAGAAAGTCATTTCTATAAAATTATAATACTAAGAGCTATTTTGTCTGAATACACATATATCTGTATCACGTTGTACTCGTTGTAAAAATAACAGTCGTAAGGACATAGTTATGGTTAGTTTTCTTCACTATACATTACTCAGTGTCTGCTTTTTTCTAACGTATAAAATCATAAAATGGTCTTACATATGAAGCTTTTTAATTATTGTTGACTACTCCATAGTTCCGGTTCTTATTGACTGCTAATGTCATCACTCCCAAAGAGGATAATCAAAGTATGTTAATAACATATAACTTAATGTAATGAACTGTAGGAAACTCAAAAACTTATCCAGGATCCATGTGATGGCATAAAAGCGGTACCAGATGAAAACAACGCAAGATACTTTTTGGTATCCATAGATGGACCGAAAGATAGCGCATACGAAGGAGGTATTTTCGACTTGGAATTATTCCTTCCGGAAGAATATCCTATGACTGCACCTAAGGTCCGGTTTACAACCAAATTATATCACCCAAATATTGATCGCCTCGGCAGAATTTGTCTTGACATTCTTAAAGGTAAATTAAAGTAGTAATATTTTGTTTATATTTTTATTCTCTAATAAACTCTCCTATCGCATCTTATTTGCTAAAAGCAACTGTCTTTATATCTAAACAACAGGTTTTGTCCATCTCAGTATATATATATATATATATATATATATATATATATATATATGGAAGTAAGAAGCACAATAGGGAAAACGTTAGTATATTTATAGTTTTTCACATAAGATTTCTAAAGTGTTCACTAAGTATTGACTAACTCTGATTTGATAAGAATCAGTCAATCAACGTGCACCGAAATAACCATACATTGAGCATGGTTTAATCCAGTCTGTGTCCCGCTAACAGTTTCCAAAACCCAAGTTCTGTAAATTAATTGTTTCATCGTCGCGTGTTCCCGACGGTAGCTTTTCCTTTATATCGTGGTTGTGTTTTTCTTTTGTAGTGACCCAGTCGAGCTATATTGGTTGGAACACTTCCCTTAGTTTCTACTATGCCAAGCAGGGCAGTTGAAGAATGGTATTGTTGAAAGTAGCGGCCTAAGGTCTAAGGGTGAATTCGCACTTCTAACTGTACTGGGGTGTGGGGTCAGTAAGGTATTTCTCATAGAACAGTCATACCGTAAAAGTGAAAACTCTGTACGTCATTCAGTCAGTGTCTTTATTGACTAAATCGTCTTCAATTGTCTGATCATTAAAGAAATGAATCACAGATGTTTCTGGTCAGTTACATATTTTGAAAGTAACATCACTCTATTAACTGAGTATCTCAGTTTACGATAACAGAATGAATGCAACTCTTTAATTTGTATATAAACAAATCATATCAATCAAACAAGTAATAATATTGTTATCAGATTTAGGTTTTTTGCACTAATGCACGCTTTCATAAGAAAGTAATAAGCCCCAATTTGTTCTTTGCGTTTAATATGTAAATAACTATGATTCTATATAACAATGCTATAAAGCCAAATATCACAAAAATGTTTATACACTTTTCTAGGACATGAAATCTCTCTTTGGTATCATTTCCCATCTGGCTCTCATCAGTTGAATCCTATTTTTAGTCTTTCTAAGTCAATTACCAACTTCATTCTGTATCATCACAGCAGAGTCTGTTGACGTCTGTAGACTGTTGCTGGTGATAATCCACCTATCTGTTATCCTTCCACCATTGGTTACAGTCCACCGCCTGATATTAGTGTAGTTGTAAAATGTGATAATCGAATTTAGGTAATATTTGATTACCTCTTACTCATGAGATATCTTTCTCATAGTTATGCACTGTACAATTGCAGGTAAGTGGCGTAAAAAATCACATTAGTTTTCCACTTCAAATTATGGATGAAATAATTTAAGGTAGCCCGTATATGCGACAGCCTTATATATTCTTAAGTTATTAAAATAGAACAGCGGTAAAATGCAGTCAAGAATGCATCAAACAAATACAAGACCTTCTTGCCGAACGCTATTTACTAACTGATAAATTTTTTAATTGTTGATTTCAAAACAACGAAGTAGTCTTAAGTATTTGGATGTCTACAAATAAATAGGTCAAGAAAATCTAAAAATCTGTCTTTCCGCTACACTTGTTTTTTCCCTCTATCTAATTCCATATAATATCTTAATTCTAAACCTGCGCATTTTTAAATTCACCGTCTTTAAGGAGAAATACCTCATGTGTATCTATTTAATTTGATGTGAAAAAAATTATTACTAACATGAGTATACTTTGAAACCTCTAAGTAGAATGAGGTTTATTTTACTACGTAATATAACCATACTTAACCTAGTCGTTCTGAAAACTGTCGACATATTAGTCAGTTATAAGCAATGTTTCACCATTGGTCACGATAATCACAGAGATTTCAACCAAGTAGTGTACGCCTACTACTTTAGTACTCATACAGGTAATTTCACCCAATTGTGCCAATATAGTGCAGTAACTTAAGGCGACTCACATATGTACCTGGTTCGACATGGCGTACGGTTGACTAACTCTATTTTCCTTTAAGTCTTGATCTCAGTATCATTCCACATTTGTAATCCTTCTATTTTATTTGTTCCTTTTAAGCCTTATCAGCTATGTTTAACCATCTACTGCGAATAATATTTTCCTTATCCTGTTTAATTTCTTCGTTCTCTATATTAATTTAAACTGGCGAAACTTGATACAATGTATTCTCATTAAGTCTAATGTTATCTGCAATTGATTTTATAATTATCGGCACTGGGTTGTACCTTTTCTAATTTTTCCTCCATTTATCCAGATAAATGGAGTCCTGCTCTTCAAATACGCACTGTTCTACTGTCTATTCAAGCATTGTTAAGTGCACCAAATCCTGAAGATCCACTGGACGGTGAAGTTGCATCACATTGGAAACAAAATGAATCAGAAGCTCTTGCTAAAGGTCGGCTTATGTGAGATATTAATAAGTCTTTGTTATTATTTAAACTATTTTGAATGGTGGCCACTAAATTACTAAGCCAATAAGTCTCAAGTTCGAATCTCGCTCCAATTACTTAAGTTTAATCAGTTGGGTAGTATTGATAGTCATCAACATTTAGAGTATGACCTAAAATCAGGTACACGAATTTGTATCTGGTAAATAAGTTTTTAAAATAATTACGATAAATAAAAAAGATTCATATAATAACAGTCAAGAGAATATGATCATGTTTAAAAATGTTTTGATGTCCTATTTTATTTTATTATTTTATTTGAACACATATATATTGGTACAGAAGTGCGGCAAATATATATGCGCCACACAAAACAATGAGAATTTAAGAAGAAAAAGAAGAAAAGTGGGGAACATAAAAAAAGACAAAAAAACAATAACGAAGAGATTGGTGTAAGGTAGTGTAATAATAATAGTAATAGTAGGGGAACAGAAGGGTACAATAAGAAGAAACCTTTCTGTTAAGGAAGATACAACCACGTTTTATGAAGAAAGTGAAAGAAGGTTACAGCAGGATCGCCACTGGCTTCTATCCTGAGCCATATCTGATGACGTCTCTAGCCACTGTGTTGCACCATCTCTCGGACCCCAACCAGGGAGTCGTAAAGGACCAACACAAACCAGCCCTTTGCAGCTTTCTTTCATACCACGACACCATGTCATACACTGACCACCTCTCCGCTTTTTCCAACCAGTCCCAGCGTCGGCAAATAATGCACGACGTGGAATTCTCTGGAATGACATTCATTAGACATGTACAAGCCACCGAAGTCGACGTTTCAAGATGGTGACAACAACTGGATTATCGTCTCTGCGCCCGAACACACGATGCCGAACCTGTGCATTACTAACATGGTGTTGCCACTGGATGTCAGCAATCCTTCAGAGATTACGACGATCAAGCACAGAGAGTCATCTAACATCCTCAACTCGGAGAGGCCAGGTTTCACAAGCGTAGAGCGAAATTGCTCTCACCGACTTGTTGTAGATCCGACCTTTTGCAGCCAGACTAACGTCACGAAGACGCCAAAGATGGCCCAGATTGGCATAAGCCGCTCTGGCTTTCACTATACGTGCATTGATCTCACCACTCACGCCACCACTAGCACTTATGCCGCTATCTAGATACAAGAACTTCCCGACTACTTCTGTCTGCTCACTATCCAGGGTGAGTACAGGATTAGAATCCTGCCAGTGTTGTAGAAGTGCTTTGCACTTCGAAAGTGCAAAGCATATACCATACCTACGGACACTGATTGCCAACTGATTAAGTGCGGATTGAATGGCTTGGGTATTATCACACAGTAAGACAATATCATCCGCATAATCAAGGTCGAGAAGTCTTTCTCCAGGTAACAGATCCACACCACCATTACTTACATCCATCAGAACTGTTTCCAGAATGTCATTGATGGCAAAGTTGAAGAGGAATGGTGAGATTGGGCAACCCTGCCTAACCCCACTGCTCGAATGGAACAATGGAGAGAGGTGGTTGTTTGCCCTCACTCTGCCTGAGGTGTTTGTATATAGGGCCTTTACGGTGTTAATGAACTTCTCAGACACACCCTTCTTCAATAGACAATTCCAGAGAACAGTCCTGTCCAACGAATGGAAGGCAACCCTAATGTCAAGAAACACTACGATTGTTGGCCTGTGATAAGTATGACGGTGTTCTGAAATTTGGTGGAGGGTAAAGATATGATCACTACGTCCTCGACCTGAACGAAACCCAGCCTGCTCCTCGCGAGTCAATCTTTCTCGGGTTTTGAACAACCTACTAAGTATGACGGAAGCCAATAGCTTGGAGGCAATCGGAAGTAGACTTGTCTCCTGATAGTTGTTACAGGAACTACGTGAATCTTTTTTAAAGATAGGGACAACTATTGACTCATTCCATGATGTTCGAACACTCTCTAGGTCCCAAACCTTTGTAAACAATGTAGTCAGTTCCTTAACCAGAAAGTCACCACCATCTTTAAAAAGAGCCGGAGGTAAGTCATCTGGGCCAGGTCATTTGTAACGCTTCAAGAGTTGGAGTTCCTTGCGGACTTCCGCCTCATTTGGTGGATCAGTCGTCACCGGCCATGGAGGGCAGGACAGTCCGGCCTATGTTGCCGGAGCAGCAGGCCAGTTGAACTGCCCTTCGAAAAATTCTGCCCATCGTCCAAGACGTCGATGGATGTTAGTGATTGGCATCCCATCATCCTCGCAGATTGTTTCGCTCACACCAGACTTCTTTCTGCCAGTGGCTCGGATGAGTTGGAAGAGCTTCCGGTAGTTACCACACGCAGCTGCTGCTTCCAGCTCATTAGCACGCTCCGACCACCAGGCTTCTCGGTCCTTACGCAAGCTTTGCCAATTTCGCTACGTAACAACCTTCGTTTTTGGTCAAACTCACGGTCACCCGGAGTAGACCGACGGGCTTCAATGATTTGTAAGGAACCTGAAGAAACCCAGTGCTTATAAGCGGGACGTTTCGCAAACCCACAACTGACTATACCCGCCATTTTCATGGCGTCATGCAATTGCAACCAATACTCATCTACACTTTTCGGTGATATGGTAGCTAGCCTAGAAGCTAGCTCGGTTCGATACTTACTTGCAACAGGAGTTGCAACCAACTTGCTGACATCAATCCGTTGGTGGCGGTCACTTCGTTGGCCACTGAAAAGTAAGGTAAGATTGGCGCAGACCAAGGTATGATCAGAGTCCAGATAGGTACTCCAAAAGGAGCGGCAGTCTTGTACACAACCACGCCAGCGGTAGCTGATCGCGATGTGATCAATCTGAGTTCTGGCTTGAAATGCAGAGGGAGGACGCCAGGTGGCACATCGGCGATGACTGTGCCGAAAGTTAGTGCTAGCCAGAAACAGGTTGTGGTCTGTGCGAAGTTGCAGTAGACGGTCCCCGTTATCTGACCTGCTACCAACGAGTCCCCATCGGCCACCTAAACGACTCTCTTCTGTGCCTAGATGCCCGACCTGAGCATTTAAGTCTCCGGCTAGTACTACAATATCTGTCGAACGCACTTTCTGGAGAAGAACAGATAACTAGTGGTAAAACTCATCCTTGATTGCATCCGGGCTGCAATCTGTCGGGGCATAGGCGGAGATGACGAAGAGACATCGTTTCTCACGCCGATTTCTCACTTTGATGGAACTTTCTAATCTAACAGCACATAACCGACTGTTAATGGGGATCCAATCGATTAGTGCTGCCTCAGCTCTAGCGCTTAGTGCGACACCAACGCCAGCAAGACCAGACGAAGATGCCACAGGGTCCCCGGATAAGCGCACGTAAAACAAGCTTTTTGAAGCGACAGATGGAGATCGAATTTGTAGTACTTCGCCAGAGTCTTGAACACGGGTCTCGGATAGACAACAAACATCAATATTAAGACTTTCTAAAGACATAGCCAGCCCTATCTGTTGTCCGACCTGCATAAATGTGCGAACGTTGAAGGCAGCCAGTTTGAATGGTGCACGTGGTTTCAGAAAAACTGCTTCAGTACTCATATTCGGTTGTAACATACAATTTTCAACCGGACAGTGACTCGAGAACGTTTAGATACAGTCGAATTTCCACCATAGACGAGCTATTGTATAAGTCGAAAAAAATAAGTATAGACAGAGTAGGAATAAAAGAGGGTGAATAATGACGTAGTAAATAATAACAATAATAATAGCAATAATAATAATTGAATCATTTGAATGTTCGTCGAAGCAAGAGAATTAGTTTCCATGATCATAGACAGTTCAGTTCATTAATTGCGTGTGGGCTGCGATACTGCCCGGGTGCCCAGACCGAAGCAAGTGGTTATCTTAGGGGGCCACACCCCGAGCCTTTGACCTAAAGGTCTAACCCACAAGGCAGTGTAGCATCGTAAGGAGATACAGTCCCATGGTAGCCGGTGACCGAAAATTGGTTCATGCGCCATTTGTTCCCGCAGGATACTGGTGCCCATGTGCACCATTGATTTGGAATCCGGTTAAAGCGCCGGACATTCGCTTTTCGTCCTCTCATTTTCGTAAACAACACCCCCGCCACGAGAAGGCAGTGAGTAGGACTTCCCTGGCAGAGGCTGTATACGCGCGGCCGTGTGAGAGTATTTCGAGAGGGAGGGCGAACCCACCTCGCTCTCGGCCATACCAGGGCATTTGGGGGCCTTGATGTCCTTTTACTACACAACTAATGATTTGTACTGCTAATCATCAAGATAGCTAATTCAATCAAACTAACTACTGACATAAATTAGTGAAGTTGACAAAATGATTATTTATTGATGAACTAAATGGTTTTAAAAGTTTTATTGAACCGGGAATATTCAACTTAACCTTAACCAGCTACCTTCATATAATGGCCTTCTTATTCTCCTATAATCATCCATTCAATCTATATTGAGGTCATATTATACTAAACAGGTCGGTTACAGAACGTTATGGCTAAAACCAATAAGTTTAAGGTTCATAGGCGAGTCACTATTGCTGACTACTGAGTTGCAGGGGTGGTCACTAAGTTCCTTTCCACGAACAACCGACGTCTTCACTATAAATCGAAGTTATAAACTCAGAGAACATTGATCGTAAAACTAACAAACCTCAGTACTACACAGATCTCCGATCCTAATGAAAGGTTCAAAAATGCAGCTAAAACAACAAATCGCTCTGCATCAATTTAAAAATATGAATCACTATATTTAATTGTCTATAAAGCATGTCTAAGGGTACCAATATTTTATAGTTACAAGTAGTCAACATGGTTTTCTATCGGCTATCTCTAGCCATTAAACATCTCAACATAGTCCACACAACGTTGAGTCGCCTAGACTAGTGAGTCGCATTGCAAATCGGTCGACAGAATTCGATCAGGACTAAAAAGAACAAGACAAACATGACATTGATCACCACTCAGTGAACATATCACTTCCCTGTTACATTCTATTCATTGTTTGTGTAAATATTTCTTTGTTAGTCATTTTTGTTTTATCTTTATTATTAAAGCACGTGAATGGACTCAGCTTTACGCTAGACATAATTAATCCCTGGACAATAGTACTAGCACTGACCAACCCCTCGTAGAATATCGTTCTTCTTTTAATGGATAACCGAAACATGATCAAACATTTTCTATTATATATATAGTAATTGATATATTTGTATTTATGAAGATCTCCGGTACTCAATTCTGTTGTTGAATTTTTCCTCTTCAATCACAATGCAGAAGTTACATAAAGTGGTTTTGTTATACATTACATGAAACCATTTTGTAGCTTTAAACTATTATGACAAAAATTTTCTATATTCTCTTTTCGGTTATTAACTTCTCTATTGCTCCCGTGTCTATGTGTGTCCCGCTTTCAAAGGAAGTAATTTCTTTTTTTGTATCGCATACATCCTCCATTTACTGGTTTTGCAAAATTTGCCATACTACTACCACTACCTATATTATGTTAATAGTAGTATGTAGTCCCTGTTTTTGTGTATCTTTATTACCATATGATTTATTTATCTCTATCTTCTCTCCCTCTCTCTAGTCTCCTAGTATGTTGGTACATGTATGTAGGTACTGTGTGTTTGTGTAATGAGGACGGGTTATATGATTACCATTGAACAGTCGTATACATTGGATTCTGTCCCTCTAATTTTTAGAAAGCAAAAAGTCTTTGAAAAAACCCACCCAAAATACCTGAATATTGACTTCACCAGCGTATAATGTATAAGGACGCTAATGTTCGTTGCTTGTTTATTATTAGGATTATGTTTTTTCCAAGCATTATTATTATTTCATACTGTTGATCATCATCTAACTGCAAATAAACAAACAGATATTTCTTGTCCATCATTACTTTTTTTAAATGAGCGAAAGTGCAGTTTTTTGCCGTAAAAAAATAAACATAATTGCTCAGGTAAAAATTGCAAAATCTCTTTCTAATTCTCTGGCTGTAAATGTCCTAATAAGAATATGTATTATATGTGAGTAAAAATGACTGTCTTCATATGTGAGTTTATTATTAATTTCTTTGTTGTTGTTGCAATGATCAATTTTAAAAATGATCAATATTCATAGGTTTCATCCAGCAATTAAACATTGCTGGATTTAGCATAGGTTTTGAAGTGGTAAAACAATTGTAGTTCAAGTTGATGATTTTGTTACAGCTTCGTTCTCTGAACCAGATGGTTTGATCTTGAAGTCCTCATCGTTCTCCTGAATAACATCATTAATACAAACACATAATTCCGATAATCATCCACACATACCAATTAATCCCTTTTTTCTCAAACAATATTTGAATGCTTAAATTATCATCATCATTTGACAATGATGATTCATCTTGTTAATTTCATCCCTCATTGCAAACTTCCTACGGCAAACTGGGTCAACGTACATTTGTAGTAGACTACATTGAATATGAATAACTGACTGGCAAGGTAAGTGTAATTAATAATATGACTATAAAACGAATCTTAGAGTCAGTCAGTCAGCTACAACGTAGGACCAGGCACATATGTGCATCAGTCCAAGTTGCCACACTTTATTAGCACAACGAGATGAACAACGAATTCATAGATAATTCAATGGTTGTAATATATAAAAGAAAAAATGCATATAAGGATATAATACAAGAAGAAAGAATTAGTTCGTAGAAAGGAAGATATGAAGCGATTTTAATCTCACGGTTTGAGGAAAGACAGAGAGTGTATACACTGACGCCATTATGATCGATTCTGAGCCATGTCACCAAGAGTCTCCAACCATTGATTACGATAGTCACGCGGACCCCAACCAAGTAGTCTGCATCTACCAACGTGGCTCAGACTAGAAGTTAGTGTCTTCACGCACTGATGTCACATTTTGGTTTGGCCGCCCGTAACTTTTTTCCAACCATCCCGAACACCGGTTAGCATTGCACGTCGTGGTAATCAGTGTTCAAGCACCCAGTTACGAAGAAACGCAAGAACTCGCACAAATACACATCGAGAATTGTCACACTTTTAAAATCCACGCAGCGACAGAAAAGTAATAATAGTAACAAACCCAACATCACAGTTCGAAAAGAATAGATGAGGGTTTAAAGTAGTATAAAATCACAATGAATTTCAAGATTCGGGAGGATTTGTGAACCCATATAGATGAAACCGATTGTAAGGTTTATGCCTTAGAAATTCTTAAATCAAAAAGAAGAAAACGATGTACTCATATCATCTAGGAAACACTTCATCCAATAAATAATTTAAGGAACGTACTTTACTCTGAATTATCATAAAGAAGATCGTGGCAATATAAATGATATAATAAGATTATTAGTAACTATTAAGCAAAACAACTTTGTATTTTTTTCACTACTAAACATCTATTTAGAAAAACAAAACAACTCGATAACATATCATATAAAGTTCATTGTATCGTAATTTATAAGGCAACAATTCTAGGAAGATGTTACATAAAGCGAAAGGGCAATAGACAAAGAAATGAAAATTAAAACAGTAATGAAAATAACTGCTGTTACCTCATTTTGTATAGATGTTTTAGAAAATAAAAATGCTATTTAATTCCATTATTGCACATATGTGAACATTTTCCTAAAAAAAATATATTCATAATAATATATTTCTTGAAGTGATTCAGTCCTTAAAAAAAATTCAACCAATAGAAAATGAGAGAAATACAATCAGGTCAACACATGCTTAAACTGGAAGTTAATTGGTCAATAATATTATGTAATTTAAAATGTTTTGATTGGTTAACAAATGGTATACCTCTCATGATTACACACAAAATGGATGTGATATCATGTTAGAAAATTATGATAACCGAACAAGTATAATATTGTTTATTCATTTGATTTAATAGACAAATATTACAAATCAGGCCGGTAAAATGTTTGATGTGTATTGTAGAGTAGAATAAGTGTTGAAAGCAATCATTAATAAATAATGATCTATCAAAAAAAACACGATGAAAATAATGTATAGAAAGTAACCGTATGTGAATTTATGTTTACAAATAAGGATTAGGATTTTTTTTCTAGAAAAAATTTGCCTACTGATGTATAAAATTCCTTTTCATTTTTCCACTAATATAATAAGATCAAAGTATGGAAGCAACTTTCAAGAGACAAATTAAATTGTTTTTGTAATAAACTTTTTCTGTGAATTATAACAGACATATTATAGGAGAAAGTGAACGAGAACCGGGACATCATTAGCTACATACACAAGAATCATCAAACTGGAGAAGAGTAAAGAGTCTCAATGATGTAAATTAATTACTTGCGCTTGATAATGGAGATGGGAAACTAGTTGAAGATGATGATGACGATGAAGAATAATTTGTAGAATCTGAAGATAGATCTGATTTCCCTGTAAAGGATGAAGACATATTATGATGATACTGGTCACTAACATTACCTTGTAATGTTAGTAATAAAGGCAAATAAACTGTATCATGTAAACGATCCTCATCATCGTACCTTTTGGTGGATAATTTCATTAACCTGGTTGCATATTGCTCTTCAGTAACAGCAGCATGACTGCTTCTGCTACTAATATCATTATGATTAAACGTAACCCTAAGATCACCATCAGTATTTTTTAAATGCACTAAAGATATCGCCGAAGACAATGATGGTGATGGTTGTATTAGTGTTTGTTGTGAACACGATGCATAGGGACAACATATCGGCTTTTTCTCAATCTTATCCTCATCATTATCATTCAATAAAACTTTCTTATAACATGGACTGGATAAATTTGTTGTTAACATCTCAGAAGATAATTTGTGATCATTAGAAGGACAGTAGAATATATCTGATGATTGATGTTGTTGGCGTCTCGATTGTTGTCGATGGTGGCAGTGTTGTTGATCATTAGAACGATACAGATTATAGTGATAGTTTGATTTATTCTTTGTCAGTGCACGATCATTTACAGAAGAAAATAATAAACCATCATTCAATAGATAATTAGGATCAGAATAAATACCATTCTTAAATTGATTTTTGGAAAAATATGTAGGAAGCAACAAATTATTGAAATCAGTGATATGAGTAGTATTACTCATAGGTGAAGTTATACACTGGGCACATGCCTTTTGTTGCTTAGTAATATATGAAGAAAAATAAGAATCATTATGACAGTATGGTTCCACTGATTTTATAAGATTTTGACATTGCTTACAAGAAAAAGGCGCGAGACACTGTGTGTTTGATAATTGCTCATTACTAGTGAATAGAATCTTGTTTGAGAATGACTTGTGATTCTTTGGAACTGAACACAAGATTACCTGAAGGATGAATTTAAAAAAACAAAGAAAACCATCCATTAGTAAATAACCATGTTTAAAGATTGAAGAATGCCGCCCAAAAACGACATATTCAGAATGTTTTGATGTCTCCATTGATCTAGAAGGCAATAATTTTAGAGCTCCCATTCTTATTCAGGACATCAATGCTTACTTCATGTAGAGAGTGAACCTTCCAGTTATTCTACACATGCTACATCAGTCAGTTCTGACGACGTTGTTTGTGATTTGTTTATTTGTAGTTTTTTTTATCTCGACTAGTTCGCTCATTCATGTTAAACAAATGAAGGTAACAAAACCTATGGATAATATATATATATATATATATATATATATATATATATATATATATATATATATATATATATATATATATATATATATATATATATATATATATATATATATATATATATATATATATATATATATATATATATACATTCAGTCAATTTCCTATATTGCATAAGGTGCATTTGTGAATTGGTTTACTCTGGACAACACAGATTCACAAACTATGGTAAGACAACTATGTTGAGTGTCTTCAGGTTTTTCATAGCTCTGCAACTGAATTCAGTCTATGACGATTGTTTAGGTTGGTAAAAGGCTAACGGGCTAAACCAAGACGTGATATCACTCCATGAAATACTAGAATATCTGGTTGAAATTCGCACCATCATTGTAACTAATGGTTGAAGATGCTGGATGATATGGCTCACAATGGTACGGATGCGTTCAGACTCTTTCTTAAATTATTTATACTTTTTATCCCCAAGATTAAATATTTCTCAAATCATATCGTCGATGTCCAATCTTCTCTGATAGTAATGATATCAAAATTACTCTTACTACTTTGGGATTTGTCGTGATAATGTCGTCTCGATTTGCAAGCTGGAGCCGATGTACATAAGTATCAGGTTTTACGTTGCTGACTAACAGAATGTCAATAATAAAAATGGTGTCTGCAAACCTACCACTTTTTCCATGATTTTTTCTCTTCTGGTGTTTCGACTCTACTTATATCTCACTGCCCCTTTCCCCAGAAAATCCCATCAAAAGTTATTAAATTAATGAAAAACAAGAAAGCCATATATAAAAAATTTCGTCCAAATTTGATCAAATAGTTTCACAGTATTTGGGCGCCGAGTTGATATGAGACATCAACGAGGAAGAATGTGTTTGTAAAATCTCGGCAAATAAATTTGAATTAAATCCAACATATTCGATTCATACCATACATAAAAATGGTATGTTTTCTTAAAAATTCATCGATCAGAGACAATATATGGTGAATGAAATTTCTTCTCACACCACTTACGTATACACGCAATCTGTTATCTTAACAATTTTCGTTTTACACCACATGTATCTTACACAGTAAAGCAAATACCTATTTTAAACATTCTTAACGTTGATTGTATAACTTATTTAGTATTCAGTTAACCAGAGAACCATGTACCTATTTATATTCGATAATTTTGATGCTTGATTATATTTACTTGGAAAAGCTTAGACCAGATTGCCAGGCGAAACGTTAGATTTACTTCGGATTCATTGGCTGAGATTTTATAAATACATTCTTCCTCTTAATAAGAAAGATAGTTAGACGGAAAAAACTCGAGCGGCAATTGACTTAGGGTTAACAGTGAAATCCGAAATACCGATTTTACTTTTATTAGCGGTTCATCGCCACCTCGACATCCATCTACATTTTAATGTTGATAGATAACAGTGAAACTCGATTTTCTTAGTATTTATGGCTTTAAATACTAGGCTGTTAGTTTGAATAATACATAAAAACAACCCTATTTACCTGATCATCACAAATTGAACATGACTGTGATGCTTTACCTAACGATACTAAATGATGATCGTAATGATGATTTGAATTCCTGGTCAATTTATTGATAGTATTATTTCTAATACCATTACTGTTATATAAATTATTAGAAGATAATGAATATAATGATCGAGATGTAGTTGTGGTTGTAATGGTCGTGGATCCACCGGTGATTTCTGTTGATTTCCAACCAATATCACTCGGATTAAATGTACAACGTTGCGTAGTATGGTGTTCACAATAAGTCATATTCATAACTGGTAGACTACAACTACATACAGATGTGGATGACGATGATGAGGCTGTTGAAGTAGTAGTAATAGTGATGGTTGTTGTTGAAACAAATGAATTATTCTTTTTGATTATCAATGTGTTGATATTTCTCATAGGATTACAACAGTCTGTTATGTAACATTGTTGTTTCGTTGAGGGTGGTGGTTGTTGTAACATAAACATATACTCATTGATTCTACAAATAAGTAAACTTTCCAATGAATCCGGTAAACCGTATTTCCATAAGGAGCGTAAACGTAGAATATGATGAATATATTTGTTGTTTGTACATGGATGATGACTTATGGGATCATCCTAAAAAATATTGGCAGAAAAATAACGACATATAATAGTGATTATTTATACTTTGAATTATCTCGTCGTCGATATTCATGACTGAGTTTCAATTAGTTTCTATTGGTATCCTGTTGAACAGTTATAAATAGGAGGAAACGCGCGTCTTGAGTCACACTGCTATCCACACTCATATTTTTGCAACTTATAGTTAGTGTTATGTGGTCGATGGTGATGGATAGACAGTTCCGGACTTTAGTTTCAAGCTAGTCAGCACTTGTCAACGAGGCAAATTTGTAGTGATGAGAGAACTAACACGTGCAGCACGATATAAACTATGTGTCACAGTTAGAGACAACCATCAAGCTACATATATGATTAGGAAATCGAATATACGAGCTAAAAATTTCGTCCTATTCAGGGCTCATTAACCAACTCTCAACATTAAAATCAGTGAACGGAGATTTAAATGTGGGTTTGATCAGTGATTTACGCCCATACTTCATCGACTATGTATCGTTGCGACAGTAATGTTGAACTATATTTGATACGTTAGTTGAAATAAGGACCAATTTCATAAGCACATGTTTTGATGACAATATACATGGGCGTAATAAAAGTGTAGGAATCGCTCATTAAATGTATAATTTGTAAACAATGTGCCAGTATTAAATTTTGGACACCACCCGTCACAACACTTTGAGCTACATTCTAATATAACTACTAGGCCCCCCTAATTGAAGCGGGCTTTCAAATTATTGTTACTAACTTTGAGCTTTACTATTTAAGTTATCCAACGACTGAATACGATTATTTTTCGAACCTCTGATAATGAATCCGTACCTTTCGATACAATGACTTGATGAACGCTAATGTTTTATCTTAAAATGATCATCTTGAGCTATTTTAAAACTTACACTAGTGATGGTTGAGTGTGTGAAACACATCTAGACTAACTCAGTCATTAAAGATCTACAGTTTTATTAACTGATTTGTCATTTCTATCTAATAATATAGTCTTAACTTCAGTAAGATACATTCAGTGGTCCCACTATATCCTAGCATCGTTTTGAAGACATCCAACTCCGAAGTTTGTTCTTTATAGCCGTGAATTAATAAAGTCGATCATCGAGAAAGTATCTACGGAAGTAATGCAATGAAGTTTCTTGCACTCTTCAGTGGCCAATCTATTGTCTGTATGAGTTTTGGTCAGTAAAATCCATAGAAATCGCATGTACACATGACTCTAGCAAAACATGAGACGATAAAGAAGTTAAAGAGATTGACTTTTGAAGAGTTTCACTGAAGACACAAGTATTTGGTCACAAACAAAAAGTATTTTGAAATGGGTGAGACCGATGTTTTCTTTTTTTTTCGAATTATCGATCTGTCGGAAATCAATCGATGGGAAATGGAGGCTTCAGTTTCACAAGATTGAATAAAAACTAACGGGAAAAGAAAAACAAGGTGATATTTATTGAACTGATTATTATGTCCCTATCCTCTATTTCTAATAACTATTTCTATCAAATTATTTTTTATACAATGAAATGACAGATGGTAGAATATAGAAGCGAAACTAATATGCAAACACTATACATAACATTAGAAATTCATTTGTAAGACGAAAGGGAAATTATTAAAAAAAGTGGGAAAATATGGTGAAGTCAAAGCATAGAGACTAAATGATTAACTTATGAAACTAAATAAATAATGCCATATGTCACTTTGATTTATATATATGTCCTTTGAATAACTGAATTTACTTTTAATAGCTGAAATAAACTATGTTGAGTTTGAAGCACTTACCTACCTCTTCCACTGGAGGACAGTTACGCAGTATCGAGAATCGACTAAAGTTAGACGCGTAAAGCAGTGAATAGCAACACAGTGATCTAAACGTCAGGCAATTATCGCGAGACCTGAGGTACTGGGTTCGGATCCTGGTGTGGCCACGGATGTGCACCAGTGAGAAGTCCCTTACCAGAATAAGACAATTGTCTTCCTAGTCCTTCCTGATTTTCAGCGGTTTGTATAGCAATGATCAGTTCATGATGTAAACTTTTTATTAAAAATGTCACTATTTAATTATTGCTGAGAAACAAAACAAGAACCGTACAGAGAAAACAAATAATGTAAGATGCTGGTGTTTGGCGATAATCAACAAGAAACCATAAACCTAGTTTTCATGCTATTCGGCACTCGTAAGTAAAGTGTACCTGAGATATTAGAGGAATTGATGGACTCGGAGAATTCAGTCCCATGTTACCCAGCTTCAGTCACAGACACTACGATTGAACCATCCAGACCACGACTGACCTCCTGTATGGTTGATCCGTATTTACAATCTATTGATAACTGAGTAATGACCAATGTCATGTATATCAAGCCCTTTTTAGTGCTGATCGAATTCTATCGATCAAGCTACCATGCAGTAACGTCTCTGACGATGGACTTGGGCGACACCGGGTCGAATTCGCCAGGGAGTGTCAGTTCTTCCAAGATTACGGGTACACCTTGATGACGAGTGCCAAATAACAGGAAGTTCAGTTTCAGAGTTTCCTGTTGACCACCCTAAATCTCTACCTTGCATCTCAGCATAGTGTACGAGATATCGAGTCACTAAGACTAGTAGTAATAGGTGCAACTTGATTGACAGAATTCGACCAACACTAAGAAGGAATTGACATACATGACATTTGCCACTAGACAGTGACTAATCACTTATAAAAACAAATAATGTACAGAAAAAAAATCATTATTTTCATCATCACCACTAGCAATCCCACTTACCATGAACTCACGAACTAATCTCATGTAATAATCGATAATACTGGTCCATTGACTTGACGGTAGTAAACAATAAGCAAAGTCACGACATTTATAATCACAACATATTGTGAACTTTTTATTCATGAAAAAGTGACTATTAACATTATTATGATCATTATTTTCAATTGATTTTGAACCGAAACGTTTTTTAGCCAAATCTGGAAAGCTTAAATCACATTCTGATGAGAAATCTTGTGAATAATCTCTAGTGATATCAGTAGTATATGTCTGTTGATGATTTAAATTAAAAGATTTGTTATGATATTTATTGAAAGATGATTGATGAATGCGTTTAGTTGTATTCGGTGAGAAATTTGTTAAATTACATGATTGATCAAATTTACGCGATAATAAAAACTCCCAACATGTACACTCGGAAGATTGAGATTGTGAATGGAAATTATCAACATTATTATTATTATTGTTCATTATATGTAACCTTTGATGATGTACAGCATGCTTCTGAATAAAAAGCATCTTAATAAAAACAGAAGAGAAAACAGAACATAAAATTTTCGAATAATATCAACATGGAGAATAATTATGCTATAACAATAACTTAAAATCCAATCGATGAGAGTTTATAAATATATTATTCCTCCATAGTGTCTTATATTAATTCGACGCTCAAATACTGTGAAACTATTCGTTCGAATTTAGACGAAAGTTCTTATAGCCTTATTCAATATTGTAAATTATATATTATTATTAGTTAATGTTTAAATTATCCCATTGTTAATATTCAAGACTGAACTCTGATTACTCCTCGTTGCTATATGTGAATCCTATGATGATTATCCTGATGTAAATATTTGATTTTAAGTTTATTTTAAAATGAATGGATTACGATTAGTGATAGAATAAAGGACGTATAATTCCTCTTATATGTGGCTCGTTAGCTGGATGTGCATGCACTCCAATGTTGATGTTCACACAAGGATTCAAGGCTAGTAACTTTCATTTCAAACGCCACTAGATGTCATAATTTAGATTGTTGGTCATACCTTATCTATTCTTTATAAAAACTTGTGATAAAATGGCCATATTGAGACAATCCGCACAAGATACACATAGGCCAACCGAGACTGAAAAATACTCAGTAAAGAATATCAAGAGCAAAATAATTACAAATTAAATAAGAATTCATACTCATTGCACAAATTAGTAGTTATTTGGATTCACTGGGTGCTTGAACCAGAGGGCATTCAGGTTGAAGTCCCAGTATGAATACCAACATTGAAATGCAGGTAAATACAAATGACGCGAACTAAAGAGGACAATATCTCCATCCTGAGTGTTACAAATAGTCCCACATTCCATCTATTCTATAAAACATCTTTCTGTTGGTCAATCGTGAAGGTTTTCTATAAGTTCAGCTGCGACAAGTGCCTTTTTTCCATAAGTCATATATAAGGTGGACGAATTCTAATGTATTCGCCACTTTTTTTCAGAGTATATATAAAGAGGAAAATATGCTAGTAATCACGGTGTTTCTGTTGGATTTTATCAGTATTTAGCTTTACCATAGATTAAAACGTTTGTTAAAAAGCACTTGAGTACATACAATTACTATTCATAGCTATCCAGTTCACAACAAATTTAAAGTAGGAAAGTTAATTTAATATTTACACAGTTTGAAAATAGGTGGCTTAAGTGTTTGAGCAAACGATGTTACGTAGGGTGATGCCATATTGGTTAAAATATCTAGCCAATAGTTCACAGGGTTCGAACGCAATTTCGACTGCTTCAGCTTGAGTAGCCGAGTTGTGTGAAAGCAAATCAGAGCAAATAAACCTATACTTGATAAATAGGCAACATTTTTTCATCACCCATCATGTCTTAAAATCAATGATCGGAATTTCAATTTCTTATGATCATATCCTTAGACAACTCTTGATAACGTTGAACAAATCAAAAGGTAGTAATACCGGTTGAAACGTTACTTTAAGTTTAGTTTTGGTAAGGAAAGGAAAAAAGCTTTACACGTATATGGCTGTATACAACGATGAGGTTTCAAAACCTTAAAAAAGTGCCAAGACCCGTAATATTTAATGAACTAATTAGATTCGAAGCTAACGTAAGTACGTTAGCTTCCGAAATTTATCGGAAAAAGATATGACTGGTTAAACCGTATTTTAAATATCTCACAGCTCGCGTAAGGTTCTACAGAATGATTATTTAGAAACCCTAGTGATTACGTAATCGTTGTGTAAGCTGCGTTTGTCACAGGTTGAACTCAGTTAATATAACATTACAAACCAGGGAGAACTGGTAAACTGTCTTATTCTAGTATGGAACTCCTCAACAGTTTCTACCCATAACCTATCAGAAGTTGAGCCCAGTACCTTTAGATCTGTAGGCGAATGCTCACCCATTAGAACAACTCGGTCGATGTTTATTGGCACAATTTCAACGTCAATTAATTTGTGATATGGTGTAATGGTCATACAATGACATTAGTGGTGTTTTATTCCCGATATCTCTGAGCTCCACCAAATCACGACTTCTCACTAAAGCTTCAGAAACTACCTGAATTAAGTCCTCGATCCTATATGGTTTAAATCATACCCTGTCTGTGACAAACGAAACCTACAAATCAAACCAATTTCTATAAAACGCTTCCAACATAAATGATTATTAACCAAGTAAAATTTTTTAAATGGGATGAGACTAATAATAATGATACTACTTGGCAGCTAGAAGAGAAGTAGGCAGACCATGGATTGAACATGCAATGTAATCGTTGAAAATCCAGTTTTAATGCACTATGAAATAATAATCTTTCAACAAAGATATCTTTATCACTTTTCTATGATTTCAAAATTTAATGCAGATGATGAGTTAGTTTTTTTTGTAAATTTCATAAGTGAATATTATCAATCAAGCGAAAAATTTCCCAAACACAACTTACTCGAACTTCATTTAAAAATGGATAATATAATCTAGGTGGAAGATGCAGAAATTTCAACTGTGATTTCATTCGATTTGTATAATTTAACCATACATTAGAATTATCCGATAATGATTTCCGAACAACAGAAGCCCCAGTGGCGGTGATCAATGATGAATTCTCTATAAGATGTTGTTTATTCCAACAACAAACGCAGTCATCATCAATATTAATATTAGTGGAATTAAGTTTATGACCGGCTGATAGACCATCATTATCATCAGTGAATAAAAGGCTAGCCCAATGGTATTTTTCTGAGAATTGTGCAGGTGATAGACTACTCCAAGGATTGGATAAAACTTTTTCAAAAGTGAACTAAAATATGTTTTTAGAAAAAAATTGTTTTCAAAATGCCGAAAAATAAGATGAGATTATAGGCTTACATTTCTATATATATATAATCGCAGAATGTATAACTGAAAAATAGTTGATATGATGATTGGATATACTCTGTCCAGAAAATACGCGAACTGAGGTCATAATACATTTCACAAAATTAAGTGTCGATCAATTTTATCACCGGAAATATTCTCTCTATTTGTAATCATACTTTTCTCACCTTTACTAAAAGCTTTCAGGACTCTGTTTCTTCAGCTGTCACATCTTTGAATGTTTGTTATAATCAAATGTATATATACATGATTTTCCTAAATTTAACATTTATCCAAGCAATAAACTATTAAAAAGCACAAGAAACTGTACAGGTCTAGTATTTTCATCAACTCAGTAGACAGACAGTCGTCCTGGATGCTTTATCATTTTCGCGGTATTCACTTCTCTTAATGTGACGTTTTATTGCATTCTCTGCATAAATTACCTTTGACTCTGCAGAAATCTCTAGAGTTTTCTTCATGTTTCCTCAAAAACTATAGTAGTTCAGTTTGTGCATATATTGAAAGTATTATGTACATTAGAAATATAGCACTAAGTCTTTCAAATGAACGAATGAAAAAAAGGAAAACGGTTCATTTTTACTTCGTAAAGTAATAAATTTATATTAAAATGAATGTAATTAAAATTTACATTAGGAATAACCCTGTTGTTATGCCATGAATTCCAAAGGTTACTGGACATTGAATGAATTAAGTGCTATGGATGTCGATCATTTCTCTTTTTCATAATAAATATACACTACTTATACAGATACTATCACTAAGCGATAATTAATTTAAGCATCATTGCTGTAAGGGTTTAAAATTTCTGATTGTTCATATTACAGAGTATTCAGCAATGGGAAACTACATGTCCTTCATATTCGTTAAACAAGAAAGTGACTATTTGAACTCAGTAGTTTAGTGGGCAATATGCTGTCGTTTGAAGCGATGAGAACTAAGTTAAAATCTTAGTATGAATATTAATACTGGGATATAACAGATACATCCAGTTGACAAGTTCCAGATAAAACATATTCAATGTACTGTTAATCTAAACATTGTCTACATCATTAATTGAAATTAAATAATCAACAATCGTTAATGGAATACAAGTGAATAATAATCTCTTTATGACCTACTTGTCTCTCTGAACAAATAGATTGGGAAGACTTTATCAAGTGAATAAGTGAATTCCATGGTGAATTGAAGAAATCTTTATTCTGACAACAGCCAAAATTATGAAGAGTTTTCACGGAATTTAAAACAACAGTAGGTGAATTATGTGCATTAAGATGTTGGTAGTTATCACAGTAATAACGTAATAGAACACTTGCTAATTCGTTAGGCATAGGACTAAGTAGATGAGCTGGTCGAATACAATCCAATAAATTGTATTCATTTAATAAATTTACAATTGATACTAAGTCAATTAATTGTGTATATGTTATCATTTTATCAAGATTATGATTGAGAATAAAAGATTCACTTGAAACAGACTTATTGTTAGCATTATTATTCATGGTAGTATTATTAGTAGTAGTAGTGGTAGAAGTAGAAGTACCATGACATAAATGACAAGATGGTAAACGTAATGCACAATCAATATTTGATGTTGGCCTTTTCATACTGTTTTCTACATTATTCCAACCACTGCATAGTAATAACCAATGATTAAAATAGGAAAGATCATTTTCTTCAGTAACTGTTATTGATGATGATGTATCATTACCGGATAGACTACAGTTTATAACAGATGGATTATCAATAATTGATGTCAAAATTGACTGATATTCAATAGATACATTATCTAATATTTTATCTGGTTGAATATTCGTTTCATTATCTAAATATTGTACATTGAAGAAATGGGATATTCAATAAACAAAAATAATTTATTATTAAGAAATAAAAAATAATCGGATTCACGAGGTGTATTTAATAGATAAATCAAAATCGATATTATGGCTTATATATACAGTTAGTTTAATATACAACATGAGTCGATAAAGTCACTGACGACTGAATTTAACCGTGTTGGTAGTTGCAGACTACCTGGTCGGAGTCAACACGTTTGTTGTAACCAATCAATCAAAGAAGTTGAGTGATATGCTTCAGAATCAATGGTAATAGCGTAGATGCATTCGTTCTTTGTCTTTCCTTATATTTTGAATCAATAAAAATTTTATACTAGTTTCTGTTTCGTCATATTCATAATAGAATAATTGGGATGAATTACAAGCGTCAATAATAAATTGCAAACTAAAGTTTGATGTATCGCAAAAAGGGGTAAAATCATTGCATCCATATGATACGTCTGATGACTGAATGTCTAGAGACCACTGACTTTTTAGTCCCCAGAAACTTGTAACTCTTGAACATCGAATATAAAACAGAAACCAGTAAGTATGGGAGATTTATTTGTAAAGTTGAATTATTTACAGAAAAAAGTGCATTTATAATATTATATTTGACCTTGAATTGTTGTAAAACATACTAAATTTGGTAATTGTCTGATTAGGACAATAAAAACCCGAATCCATCATTTCCTAGAATTCTTCTAGGACTTTCTAAAGAACTCTGATTACCAAGGTATTTTCAGTATTTTCCTAGCTTCTGAAAACTTCACTAAAGGAATTACTGAAGGTGAAGAACATTACAGATATTTACTCATTACCTAATGAAATTTTGGTTAAAGGTTACTAAGTTCACCAAAAGAACTTCAAAGACTTGGAAGTTTGTTCTCTACCGAAATGGTATACAGGCGCTGATAAAAAATTTCAAACTGGAACAAATAACTGGGGATGATTATCAGCGTATGATGAAAAATATTTTTGAATATTATTTCGCGACTAATAATTTTAAGAAAAAAATTCTCCTGATCACAACAAACCTCACTAACTCCCAAAACCCGATTGATCATTAACATTGGTATAGACAACAGTGAAATAGTAAAGACAAGAGCTTCCTAATACCCTACTAACTTACAAGGTGATCAATGACTAAATGGAAACATAAAAAATTAATATTTTAGGTAGTTGATACTTACCTCTACTAGGGTATACATTTGAAGATTGAACGCCGGAACATGTATTTTTTTGTTTTAGTTTGAGTTGAAGTTCACCCCAACATAATAGACCAGCTAGGATTTCAGATTCAGGTGCCTAAATAATCATTTTGTGTGCAAAAAAGCATAATTATACATAGTACTAATCAATGATTAGGTTATTTTTATTTAGAAAGAAAGAATAACAAAACACACAGTTCTAGTGAAAAGGCATCATCAATAGATTTTGACCGTGTCTATTGTGAGGAGGATACCCGCCGAAGACGATGGAAGACAGTCATGCATTATTGTAAGTTGATTAAAGCTAGACATGTACACCACTGGATCCCGACTCAGTGATCTAGAGTTTTGGCGCTCGTGCGCGAGATCGAAGGTCCTGGGTTACGGAGTCACAGATGGGTACCACTGAGGGGTTCCATACCAAGAAGAGATAACCGTCCAGTGCTGCTTGGTTTTCAATGTTTGTCTGACTGATTTATGATTTCAATATAATTCGACAACCTCCACAACTCTATACTGAAAACATAATCTCAGTGAGAAAATGTTAAATTAACTTTTATTCTATCGGTAAAAACTCATATTTCAAAGTTGTTACGGTAAGAGTCCATTATTAGTCAGTCAAAAAACAACTATTGTATATGGATAGTTTTGGGAGACAAAGAATATAGTAATATTTCACAGGTAAACAAATTTTACAGAATTAATAAATTTGTTGAAGTCTTCTATGAACTTTTCTGTAAATCGAAAAAAAACAATTATATATAAATTCGTCCATATGGATACAGAACATCCCTCTTCTTAAAGTAAGGGTGAGAAAAGATTTTTAGGCGTCCCAACATTGTACCTAGAAAATATTTAAGGTTAGGATTACAGTTAAAATCAAGTTTAAGGATAATGTTGATCTGAGTGTTGTGTAGCCATAATCACTGTGTTATGAATGAAAAAACGTTGATTGATATCATTCAGTAAATGCACCAATCGGAGTCCCGGTTATAATTTCCATATCCCTTAGACAAGCTTCTCCTATCATATTTCAGGTACCCAGTATTATTTTATCTCAAACACTCATTAGTTTACATACGTGAATTAACAGATCACGATGCATCTCAATCAAGAAATTACCCTTAATCACTTAATCAAACCATACACAGAGAACCGAGTAGATGGTACATGGTTGATTAATAATAATTAAGGGGTAGTAAATCGCATAACAATAGTTGATAGGTCCGATAGAAGCTCAAAATACCAGGAATAATAACAATCAATTCTACACTTGTTTTTATGACTTATAATATATTACTTATCGTCTTTTAGATACAGTTACAAAGCTGCCTGACTCTATACAGTGGAGTACTGTCTTTGCAGTTCAAGTACTTGGAGGCATCATTTGTTTATTTTGTTTGAACACATAGATATTGTTACAAGTAGGCACCAAATACATATGCGCCACACAAATCTCATTCGATATGTGTGAGGGCTGTGATACTCCCCGGGTGCCCAGACTGAAGTAGGTGGTTTCCTTAGAGAGCCATACCCAGAACCTTCTACCTGAAGGTCTGATCCACAAGGCAGTGGAACAACGTCAGGAAATGCAGTCCCATGGTAGCTGGTGACCAACGATTGGTTAACACGCCATTTGTTCCTTCAGGATACTGGAGCCCATGTGCACCACTGGTTTGGAATCAGGGTTTTCCAACTCCCCTAGGTGGACCGTCCATGCGCACCGACCCGGTTAAAGCGCCGGACATTCGCTTTTCGTCCTCTCAATTTCGTAAACAACAACCCCGCCACGAGAAGGCAGTGAGTAGTACTTCCCTGGCAGAGGCTATATACGCGTGGCCATGAGAGAGTATTACGAGAGGGAGGGCGGACTCTCCCCACTCCCGGCCGTACAAGGACATTTGGGGGCTCAAGTACTTGACTTCAAACTAGTATGCCACAGGTTTCAAAAATCGGCAGCTGATGAGTACGAATAGCTCTTGGACAAAACGTATGGCTTAAATCCCGGTAAATAAAAAACTGTTTTCATTGGTGGATCAATGAACAGTGACCAATATTATTCATACCTAGACCCTAGTGATAATCAAAGTCTATCGATCAAGTTGTGCAATGTGGCCACCAGTCTAAGTGACTCGATATTGTATTCATTGTGTTTAATTATTAGATGATTGGAGGTAATCTGTAAGGTTCCCTAGACTTAGTTTTCGTACTAGTTGGCACTCGCCAGCAAGACGTCCCTGTAATTTTGAGAAGGCTGACATTTCATGTAGGATTCAACACCATGTCACCCAGTTTAACAGTATGAAACGTTACAATTGAGGTGTTGGAGTTATAAGTATCCTATAAGACTGAGATACTTACATAAATCAGTCACTAATATCATGTTTGTCCAGTCCTTAGTGCTGATCGCATTTTATCGACCAATTCTAAGTGAATCAATATTTCCAAATCTTACAAGGAGCGTCAGTTACTTCGGTAATGCAGGTACGCCCTGTCGACAAGTGTCATCTATTAGAAAACCCAAGTCCAGGATGTCCTCCAAGCTATATCTAATCAACTAACACAAAACTTTTACTTAGTGAACCAGCTACATGAGTTATAATTGGAATCCAGTAGGCGAGAAGTTCCGCTTGACACTTCAATTCGAATCTTTGAGCTGCGCCTTAAAACAACAAACACATTTTTTTTACGAATGTCAATTAGAGATGAAATAAATACTAGCTGTTAAGTCACAGATATCTGAGGGCTAATATTTTAACCATTTTGATTACAACAAATGCTTCACGCAATAAAAGAGGATCGGCATTTCATAAAAAAGTTAAAATACGATTCCATGTACAGGTACTAAAACATACTTGAACAAGACTAGAATCGAGCAATTCATAAAGCTGTTGAGGTGATAGCCGCTGTAAAATAGATGGTGAACGAACTAATGAAGTGAAATTTTGCCGTAAACATTGTATAGCATGACGATATACAAAACCAAGAGATGTCCCATTATAAGGAGAAGAAACATGAGAATTATTATCATTCGATTTGAAAATGTATTGATTATCCAAAGGAGATGAAGAATCTTCGTTGGGTTTTGATTGCTGACTAACGGTTGGAGAGCATGAAGTATTATTATTACGTCGTGAAAATTGAGTATTCAAAAATGGTTCCGGCAAAGACGATGATGTAAATGGTGATTTTTCATTGATCCATCTTAGTAAACCAACAGCTAAACTAATTGAACTCATTTTCACAGAAGAAGAAATATCTTGTTGTCTCTTTGTAGTAGTAGACAAACTTTTCCAGGTATTGTTTTCACAGTTTTCAAAACCAATTGATGGTAAACTCAGAGCTTCTGCTAACAAATCTTCACATACTATTTTATAAAAAAGGGAAAATATTTCTCATTCATTGAAAATAAAAGTAGAAACTTACTGCTTCAAGATGGCCAAAAATTAAAAAAATATAAGAATAGAGTAATTTAAACCATACCATACGTGACACTATTAGGTTTTTGGAGGTAGTCGACAGAAAACCCTGGACCTAGATTTCGAACTAGTTGGAACTCATTGTCAGCAAGACATACCTACAGTCTTGAGGGGACTGATTTTCTCTATAGGGTTCGAATTTGTATCGCCTATTATCGCAGTCTGAGTTGCTACCATTGAGTTATTCAGTCTACATGTCTTGTAGGACCGAAATAATTAAACCGACTAATCACTGAAAAGTAACTAACTTCATGTTTGTCTAATCCTTTTGGTGGTGATCAAATTCTATCAATCAAGCTAAGATGTGACCACTAGTCTGAGTGAATCTACATCGTCTGCATCATATTTTAGTGTTATGTGGTTGAAGGTAATCAGTAAGAAACCCTGATAGATTTAAATCGACAGAATTTAGTCAGCACTAACGAGTAGACAAACGTGGTATTGGCTAATACTCGGTGATAAATCAATGCATCGTATATTTAACATATCCAAAGATACATATGTAAGTGAAATTAATGTCGTCGTTGATACAAAAACTAGTGCATTATTTCTATTAAGATTCCCAGTTAATAAAATCTGATCTCTAGAATGATGTGATTGTTTATCTCGAAAAGCTGCTACTGAAAAAATCGATAACTTTACAATTTATTTTCGAACCGTGGCAATAACTATTGAATTTTGATCTTTGGGTTTTCTAACCGCACTAATTAAAGTGTAATGACTAAGCATTATATAATGAAGTAGAACGAATACTATAGTGGAATTAATCATAGGAACGACAATTAACTGAGATTTAAGAGGCAGATAAACAATAAATACAATCGTGATACTATGATAGACCGTAGCTCATGCACCCAACCTTCAATCATTGATTACTATAATATACAAGTCTCAATATTGCAACTATCCTGATCTATTTATTTATTTGAACATACAAATATTGGTACAAAGGGATACCGAATACATATGCGCCACACAAGTCACTTGATTTATGTGTGGGCTGTGATACTGCCCGGGTGCCCAGACTGAAGCAAGTGATTTTCTTAGGGGACCACGCCCAGAGCCTTTGACCTAAGTGTCTGGTCCACAAAGCAGTGTAGTACCGTCAGGAGATGCAGTCAGGGTTTTCCAATCCCCCTAGGTGGATCCTCAATATCCACCAACTCATTGAAAACCAATGGGGATACCGAACAGTTGTTTTGCTCTAACATGAAATTTCTGAGCAGTGCACATCTACGGTCTTTACTATGGATAGGACCCAAGATTTTTAATCTTCGTGACCAACCCATTCTATTTAGATCATACTGATTTGATCATTCAATGGTTTATATTGCCAACTTCGACTAATTACATAATATTGCCTGAACACCATTATTAGCTGTCTATAATACCTGACTTATACCCGATATATGTATTTACCCTAAAAAAAAAGGTTCGAATCCTTTCAACAATCGTAAACTATAATAGAATAGTAGCTTATTCTCGACGAAAACTGTCTCTTTAGAATTAGTTAAAAGAAACTCCGAAACTGATATCTAATGTTTATTAAAAAGAAGAAAATCTCTATATCATCAGTAGTAATAGTATGGAGGAGTGCTAGCTTAGAGTGTGGTCAACTTTCAACCAGTAGGTAACATGTTCGAACTCATCCTAACCTATTTTATTTAAACCCTTATCTCACACATATATAAAGTATGACTAAAATCTTGATACCTAAATATTTATTAAGTGAGTTACACATCATGTCGATCGCAACAATAGTATTAACATTATTGTCATTATTACTATTACTATTAATAGTAGTAGTAGCAGTATGATTACCTTCTGAAAGTTTATGAAATTCTAAAATCGCTCCAACCGGATAAAGTTGAATTAGATGTGTTAGACAAAATGGACATCTTAGACAAAATTGTTTCACATTAAATTCGGAGGTATTCATTAAAAACTGAATTGATGTGAAAAATGATCCTGAATCAGATGCTGTACAATGACTTGAAGAATATGCATGTGTACATTTGGATGCTGGTATTGTTGTTGATGTTGACGATGAGTGATCCTCTTCAACAAATGACTTACAACACATATAATTGTCATTATAATTATTATTATTATTAGTAGTAGTTTTATTCAACTGACTATGTTCAGTGTGCCAATTAAAATGTAATTTATTTAATAATGTCTGTTGATTAAAAACTAATAATAAATTTGATATTTCATTTAAATTAAGATAATCACAGTAGAAAAAGTGTAAAATCACAGTAGCAAAATGTCCTGGTATTATTTTACCATCTAAAATTATTTTATGTGTAGAATTTTGAGTATTACTCGTAGTGGTAATAGTAGTATTAGTAGCGACAGTGAGAGTGTTGGATTTACAACGCTTTAATAAAATACGACGTAGAAATTGTGAACGACAAGCTAATATGCCTGCATGACATGGCAATGTAATCGATTTTAAATTGGGTATAGGTGGACATGTGAAGATTAATTCACAGTCGTTAGAGAGTAAGCATTTATGTTGATGTGAATATTTTAGAAAATTATATAATTTCGATAAATTACTACTAGTATTATATGTATTTTTTGTTTTATCATTAATTTCTGGTTGGTACAATAGATCCGGTTTAGAAAGTAATTGTTGTGGATCATTTCCCGCGTATAATTGACATAGAAAATTGGTTAGAAACATTTTAGATGAATTCGATACATCATGAGGGTTAATTTTTAAATTATTAGGATCGAGAATACTAACACTAGGTAATTTTATCGGATCATGATGATGTTGTTGTTGATGAGTTTCAGTATTCATTTTATATGAAGTATCTTGTAGTTTTAAACGTGAACTGGATAGTAAATCAGGACATTTTTCAGAATGAAAATCGGATGACTGATCAACAAGTCTGTCGGATGTAGGAAGTGAATTAATTGAAGCTTTATTAGTCAGAATAGTAGTACTGGTATTAGTGATGGTACTGGTAGAAGTGATACTCATTATATTAGTATGATCAGTTGTCGACTTGTTTGGAAATCTATGAAATTTCCCACGATTCAATGAAGTAAGCAATTCATCGAAATTCCTTAACCGTGAGGCTAGTAAATACGAATGAGCCTCATGAGTAGAGCCATTGCGAATAAGGTACGTATTAGAACACCAACCATGTTGAGCTAAAGACCAGAGATCATCCTGAAAGTGGGATAATTAAGAAAGAAAAACAGAAATAAACGAACTTAATTTTAAAATATACTATATTGAAAATCAACTAGAAATGTCAAATAATAAATGGAACTTATTAAAATATTTATAGATTGGTTATGTTGATAATATTAGCTACTGCTAATAATCTTATGGTCTTATTATTAAGAATCAAATGCCTAGATTATGTAGTAGAAAAGAAATAAACATATGGAGCACTATTATGATGGGACGAGTATTAGAAAAGTTGAACTTTTGGAACAGTCCTATATGAAATTAATGTTTCTATATTTTCTCTCTCTAATTATTAAATATTTAAACAATTGTACTTTTGTATTCCCCTTCTTGTACGCATTCTCGTGATGCATAAACTATTTCTAAATGCCGTAAATTTCCTAAGTTACTGTTAAATTTATTACAGATCTATTATTCTGTTCTCTCCCACTGATAGAATAGTTATGCCGTTATTGTAATTTCTAAATTGTGTTGATCAAACGAGATACATAACAACTCAAACAAAGAAAACAACATTATAAGCGAAGATGAATAGTGGCTAGCAGTGGAATCTAGGACGCGCGTTTCGTCCTACTCGGGACTCGTCAGCTGGATGTACCTGTATCTCAGAGTTGATGTTCGCCCCGGGACTCGAACCAGTACTGTTCGCTTCAAACGCCATCGCGTTATCCAACTGAGCTACAAATCTTCACCATGATGGTGACTTTCTGGTTAAAGAACTGACTACGTTGTTTACAAAGGTTTGGGAGCTAGAGAGTGTTCGAACATCGTGGAATGAGTCAATAGTTGTCCCTATCTTTAAAAAAGATTCACGTAGTTCCTGTAACAACTATCAGGGGACAAGTCTACTTCCGATTGCGTCCAAGCTATTGGCTTCCGTCATACTTCGTAGGTTGTTCAAAACCCGAGAAAGATTGACTCGCGAGGAGCAGGCTGGGTTTCGTTCAGGTCGAGGATGTAGTGATCATATCTTCACCCTCCACCAAATTTCAGAACACCCTCATACTTATCACAGGCCAACAATCGTAGTGTTTCTTGACATTAGGGCTGCCTTCGATTCGTTGGACAGGACTATTCTCTGGGATGGTCTATTGAAGAAGGGTGTGCCTGAGAAGTTCATTAACACCGTAAAGGCCCTATATACAAACACCTCAGGCAGAGTGAGGGCAAACAACCACCTCTCTCCATTGTTCCATTCGAGCAGTGGGGTTAGGCAGGGTTGCCCAATCTCACCATTCCTCTTCAACTTTGCCATCAATGACATTCTGGAAACAGCTCTGATGGATGTAAGTAATGGCGGTGTGGATCTGTTACCTGGAGAAAGACTTCTCGACCTTGACTATGCGGATGATATTGTCTTACTGTGCGATAATACCCAAGCCATTCAATCCATAATTAATTAGTTGGCAATCAGTGTCCGTAGGTATAGTATGTGCTTCGTACCTTCTAAGTGCAAAGTACTTCTACAACACTGGCAGGATTCTAATCCTGTACTCACCCTGGATGATGAGCAGATAGAAGTAGTCGAGAAGTTCTTGTATCTAGATAGCGGCATAAGTGCTAGTGGTGGCGTGAGTGGTGAGATCAATGCACGTATAGTGAAGGCCAGAGCGGCTTATGCCAATCTGGGCCATCTTTGGCGTCTTCGTGACGTTAGTCTGGCTGCAAAAGGTCGCATCTACAACAAGTCGGTGAGAGCAATTTCGCTCTACGCTTGTGAAACCTGGCCTCTCCGAGTTGAGGATGTTAGATGACTCTCTGTGCTTGATCGTCGTTATCTCTGGAGGATTGCTGACATCCAGTGGCAACATCATGCTAGTAATACAGAGGTTCGGCATCGTGTGTTCGGGCGCAGAGACGATAATCCAGTTGTTGTCACCATCTTGAAACGTCGACTTCGGTGGCTTGTACATGTCTAATGAATGTCATTCCAGAGAATTCCACGTCGTGCATTATTTGCCGACGCTGGGACTGGTTGGAAAAAGCGGAGAGGTGGTCAGTGTATGACATGGTGTCGTGGTATGAAAGAAAGCTGCAAAGGGCTGGCTTGTGTTGGTCCTTCACGACTCCCTGGTTGGGGTCCGAGAGATGGTGCAACACAGTGGCTAGAGACGTCATCAGATATGGCTCAGAATAGAAGCCAGTGGCGATCCTGCTGTAACCTTCTTTTACTTTCTTCACAAAAAGTGACTGCAACTTCATTAACTGAAAGGATTCTTTCTGGTTGTACCTTTCTGTTTCCCCCATTATTATTATTTCACTAACATACACTAATTTGTGGTCGTTGTTGTTCTTTCTTTCTTTTTACACGCACCTTACATTCTTTATCTCTTCCTATCTTCATCATTATTGTGTGGCGCATATGTATCTGGTGCCCCCTTGTACCAATATTTATGTGTACAAATAAATAAGTAGAATACAGGTTATGGAAATAAAGTACAATACAACATCCTATACGATAGATCGATACATGTTAAAACACGTCATAAGCAGTTATTACAATTAAAAGAACTGCTTAAGAATATACAGTTATATATAGGGTTGTTTCGAATACTTTTAGCCAAATAAAGCAGTGGAATAGTTTAATTCATATCAAAATATCGATTCGTGCTAAATAAAAATATTTAATTTAAGCATTTGTCAGTCATGACACTGAACAGGAGTTGTAATAAAGTTTCACCAATTTAATATAAACTGGCCAGATAAAAATATACTTTTCTCACAGAACGATTTTTTCTTATCCAGTTTATATAAAAACAAAAATGTCCGACCATTCTCAGATATAAGGCTTTTTCTGATTATACAGACGTAAAGTAATTTTCCTCCCCCGTAAGTTTGATAATAACCAACCATAAATAACGTAGGACCTGGCATATATGTGTATCACTTCATACTATATCAGCACAGTGAGGTGAAATTATCGCAACAAATGTCAGCGTGGTAGAAGTAGTAACTATCAGTCGTGGCAAAAGAGATTGCACGTAGATATGATTCGGGAGAAAGAATAATTTCGAGAAATAAAAGGGCGAAAAATAATTTTAAAACTCAATATCTAATGGAAGGCAAAGAGTGAAAGCATCTGCACCACTGAGACAGATCCCGACCTATATCATCCAAAGTTACCAACCACTGGCTACGATAATCGCGTAGATCCCAGCCAGATAGCCCGCAGCTAAAAACGCGGTTTAGTCCAACAGCCAGGTACCTCATGAACTGATTCTATATATGGGTCTGGTCGCTCCCAACTTTCTACCACGCAAGCCGCACACCACCCAACATCATATGTCGAGGTAGGTAGTGATCGAGCCTACGTAATACACATCCCAACTACTTTAGTTGATGAAGATTCATTACCTTACCAACCACTCTACCATTATTACTAAGTGTCCGGAGTCTAGTTTTAGCATTCCCCACCAATGAACACCAGTAATGACAACTCGACAATTTAACCTACTCAATAAGAGTAAAGCAGAACTATTACACGAGACAAATAGGTTATACGACAAAAACACTTACCTTAAGAGTAGGAGCTCTCAATCGAGTTTTAATTGCTTCTTTCCATAAAAGTTGGAGCTCATATACTGCTTCATATTCCAAGTAAAGACAACATAAATCATTACATGACCAAGAAGATATAAGGTTTCGGAATTGCTCAATTGCACAATCAGTCAATATTAAAGGATCTGTAAATATACAGTCTTTTTTAATTGTATCAATGTCAACGGACTTTTCAACACTACCAATACATTGTGTTTGACCGTTGTAGAGTTGTTCTTGATTAAAATCAGAATGTGGGATCGAAACTCTGATGGAAATATTTGAATCTGTAGGTATAAATGCTTCAGAATTAACACCACATAACTGATAACTACTGTCTACATTAGAAGCACGTGTATCAAAGTTTATTTGATGTGCTAAAGAGTTTTTACATGTACAACTGTATGTACTAATCACAGTTGGGCTTGTTACGATAGAAGTCGATAATTCATCAATTGGCAGTGGATTAGTTTTCGTTTGTAAAGCGCTAGGTAACACATAGCTAGATGGACAATTTTTAGGACAATGGCAAAATCCACTCAATTCCTTTCGATTACTTCTGTTACCAGAAGTTCCAAGACTTGTGCATCCCCAAGACTTGTTCAGACTCGAAAAGCTTGATCCCATTTATGAACAGATATGATAGACAGACCCGAAGCATTCCATTTGAATGTCTACGGGGATTAGATCTAACGCTAAAACGAAAACAATATACCAAATCTTTACAAAACCGAGCGAAAACGTATCTCTTGAAAAGGCTAAGGTACATCAATGAAGCATATAAGAGTGATGAAATAGCATGAAATAAAGTGATGAAACTGGAAGTGCATACTATAGAGACGAAAATGTACATTAGGTTGGTAGTTACTTCTATATTTTCAAAGTATATTGAGTGCTATACATATACCTTGAAATAAAACTGGATCTATAGAGTACCATCAAATATGAATAGTTTCAATAATATACAGTAGAAACACCTATGGAATTCTGATAAAAAAAATTAATGGATAATACTGTGATTAGCGTGAAGGTACCCACGTAAATTTTCTCATAGACATTGGATTAGGGAATATCAATATCAGTGAATTTAAAAGCTTGTAATAGATTTAGAGAAAAATTCACCATTTACTCTAAAACAGTAACTGTAATCCTTAGCTTAAGTTTTAATCCTTTTAATAGAAATCCACAGAATACTAACGTAGTAGCTTTCGTCACGATTACCCACTAGCAACTTCTTTAAGGAAACTAAATCACTTGGCAATCGTCAAACTGACTAATCATAGCCTAGAAAAAGTACACTGTCAACAAATTCAACATATAGTGATAGGATTATTAAGAAATATTACTGCACATATTGGATCCTGAAAAAATAACTAAATTGACATTACTGCAAAGATCATATTTCTTAAAAGATATATTTCAACGGTACATATGTCAACAACACAGTTGCATTCAATATATAAATGTTTCATCCAAATTTCAGTTCCAAAAACCACTAAGACCCTAGTATGCATAAGTACACAAATTACCTTGTTTATTCTCTTAACTACATATACGCATGCTATTAAACTGGTGGCGTCAAAACAGCTCTACCGTATGGAGCTACAACCATCACCAAAAATGTACATGTATTTATAAATAATTGTGTACGCAAGATACTTCGGATTCGATGGCCGAATATAACACCAACAACAATCTACTGTGGCAGAGAACAAGCCAGCTTCCATCTGAACACAAAATTAGGAAAAGACACCTGAAATGGATAGGACAAACATTGCGGAAATCATCAAACTCCATCACAAAGCCAGTCCTACCTTGCAATCTTTAAGCCAAAGGAAAAAGAAGCACGCTAAAAAACACATTGAGCCAGAAATTGGAGGCAGATATCAAAAGAATGAGTCACACTTAGCAACAGCTGGAAAGGAGAGCCCAGGAAAAAATGGGTTGGAGAATTCGGGTCGGCGGCCTATGCTTCTCCACGACAGGTAAAAGGAGTAAAAGAAGGTTGGTACGTAAATGTTAAACCACTGAATCAGGCAAGAAATTCATTGAAATAACAGGTTCGTAAGTGGCTACACTTCGGAAAACAACCATCCCAGTCACTTAAGTCCATTTTTGGTCTTATACTACAAGTTCGTTAAATAAACAATTAGAGTTCAATTATTTAATCAACTCACATATATAAGATAATTGGTGTGGTGAACTCTTAGTTGACTATCTTCATGTGATAATGAACTAGATTTCAAGAAATTTATGATAGTGAATTTCGATGAAGCTCTAGAGCATGTAGGTTGGTGGCAGGTCATTTTTATTAGAAATCACCCGTACTTAAGTCTTAACGAGTGACTGTCTTATGAAATCGACACACTAACCAAGCACATATCGCTTACAATCTAAACTGTTTGTTGGCTTAACTATTTACATCTTCAAGTAATGAGGCGAATAAAGTTCTCAATGATCGTCTGATAGTAACGATTCTAGTTGTGAGAAACTCTAACTTATCCCTTATGGATCAAAAAACCCGTTCTGAAAAAATTATTCTGTTCAACCCACATACAACACGTAAACAAATCTATTTCCACATGATTCATTCAGTACCACTGCTGCTCGGTTTGATATAATCTTAACATTAGGAACATGTTGACGGGCTGTAGTAGATATTAATAATACTATAACTTTTTACGATATATATGGAATATGGTGGCATTCGAAAGTGACACGAAATGATGGGAATATCAAAGAGCTTCATAATGACCTGGATGAAATAGTGGAATAATTCATTTGCCAAACGTCAAACAACCCCTATGATCCGTCACGATGTAGATTGTTGACCAAGACGGGGACAAATACATACTGGTAGATGTTTTACCACTCATTGAGATAAACCACAGTAACCCATGGGTTATCAATTGAGGTGAATAATATTAAGCGATTTATATGTGAAAACACGACGCTGTCAAGGGGTAAAGTACTGCAAACAAGCCGCTAGCACTTGTAAAAGTGGAGGTGGCCAACTACTGGAAAAATTTTAAAGGACGGTGCGTAAAAGGCACCAAGAATTTTAAATCTTGTAGTTGGATGAAATCGAATTTCCCTATCACGATTGAGAGCCTGGAGTGGTTCGATTATTACATTCAAATAACTTGATAGTTAGCTCCACATGACCTCCTTTCTCTTGCTTTTTAGAAATAAAGAAAGTTAGTAAGCCCGAAACCAGTAATGTGGTAGGGAACTAAAATTGAGGAGTAGGCTGACAATGAATAGAGTTCGCCACAAAGAACCAACCCCATCTGTAGACAATCGATGTATATTATCTGGAACCCCTACCTTCAGAACTTAAACGACAATTTCCTTTATGTAGTGAAGGAACAGCTAAAACAAGCTGTAACACAACACAAAAGTATAGTACAAAAATATCTATTAGAGATTTTAAGGACCAAGAAGTCTTGCACTGACCTTTTAGAGATTTTACTAGTTTTGTGTCTGTCATTAGGTACTTTTGAGTAGCGAAAAATTCCAAAACTTTCAACATGAATTCATTTCTAAAGGCTTATTAGCGGTCTGAGTATGGTAATATGGAAACTCAGTGTCACCTAACCACCTAACTTCCTGTGCTGACGGTTTGGAACGATATCTGAGACTTTAATGACTATCAAAGCAACTGTTGATAAAACAGGTTGTGATTTGCCTATAACCAAAGAGAATAGTGACCCAGGAATAATCGAATTTAAAATGGCAAACAAGTTCACAACCAGGTCGCCAAAATGCATATCCAAAGTGTTCAGATCTTGTTAATTTCAGGCCAATATTTTATAAGGTAGACACTAACTTTATAAAGGTCTAATTATGTAAGTTTGGGAACAGAAACTGTGACCGAATATTAAGGTCTCAAAAACTACCAAAATTAGCCAACCAACATTAAGTTCTACAGAGGTTATTTTTATGTTTATGATATGGTTCACTTAAATAAGGAGAAACAAGAGATTTCAAAGACATCAGGAGACCTGTCTATTGAATAGTAACGCAAGTCGCAACTATAGCGCCAACAGTAACACCCAAACTTTAGACGACAGTAGTAAGGATAGAATCAAATATCAAATATCCTCGTGACAAGCCAATGTAAACCAATACTCACACTAAGAAGATCTTCTGGGTTACTATCGATCTTGAACTCGGATGACTAAGGATTGAGTATAGAGTTAGCGACCCCTTCCGGTGAGAAGGACCTTGTTAAAAAAACACTAAACAAAATATCATTCTAACCGTGGAAATTCAAAATTCTTCATAAGAAACAGTCACGGCGCATCTTCGTGAAGGTCTGAACTATTCTGAAGTTACGAGGCTGATGCTTATTCTGACAATCAAAGTGACAATTTATACATTTCGGTTTCAATTTAGAAGAGACAAGAGGTTAGGCAGCATTTGTTAGTGGTCTCTCAGTCGATCCAACTGTACTTTGAAAGTGTCGATAGATGTAGTTTCAATTACGTGTTTAGTTAATGATTCGACAATAAAGTCGATAGTTAGCAGGTAAGTTATTTGTCCCGGGCTTGTCAACTTTTTAGAGTTTCCTCGTAAATTCTTTGTCTTGGAAGATGAGATATGAGTACCTGAAGTTTCTGAATAATGTAGAAGACTAAGAGAACCGTTTAAATGCTGAAGAAATCAGAAGTTACATTTTGACAGTACTAGTGATAAGTAAAACCATTGCGTAGAAAATAAGCAGGAAATAAGTGCTTCTGGATAAGTGCTGCACTAACCCGGTCATAATAAGCAAGAACCTCATACACAAAAGGCATTGGTCTGACACCATACACTGGAGCACAAAGAACGCTTATCTGGTAGGAATCTGACGACTCTAGGGTTACCGAAATATCGTTCAAAACAAAAAGGAAGAGACCGTAGTGAATATTATCCAGTGCTACGTGTCCACAAATGACATCAGTCAAGTTGATAAGGACCAAATTTTTGGGAGAATCCAGTCAACCACAGAAGACTGTTCAAGAAAACACCTGATCATTCCAAGTTTGGACCTAAACCCAGGTCGTATACGGAGACATTATGGAGTGACATAGGCGAGAATGATTGGAGATGGGAGAATCTATGTACTTTCAACAACATGTTTGTAAGTTGCACCATTTTACCACAAAATACATACAATGAGCTATGTGAGACCACACTAAAAAGAACACGATTGACCGTATCTGCGTCACTTAAAAGTTCAGATCTATAGAAGACATTAGAACAAAGAAAGGAGCTCTAGTCGTGACCGACATTGAACCGATGGAAAAAACACCACGAAAGTATGTTATAGCCATTCTTTAAGACGCTAATAAACTCAGGGAATGAGATGATGGTCGAGTCACCTAGACTTGTGACCACATTGCAACTGGGTCGATAAGATTCGATCTGCACTAAAACTGACCTGACATACATGACACTGATCAACGAACAGTTATCAATCAATTGTAAAACACTCAATGGAATCATACTTATATTTTAGAGCATGTTCAAAGCCTAATAAGGTTGTCTGAAAGAAGCGTAAATGACCATAGGGAACAATTGAAAAGGCATTAGAGAAGCAATGACTCCAACAAACCAAGAACTTCTGAACCGTTAGAAGCATCAGAATAAACTGTTGATCGATTTTGGTTTTTTGAGCAGGATTCAAAAGAGTAAGAACAAGAAGAAGGAAAATAACGACAGTCGAACAAGAGCAGAGAAAACAAAGGCACAGGCCAAATACGCAGAAGCCAAACGAGAGGGTGAAGAGGGTCATAAAAGATGATAAGCGGAAACCTGTCAGAACTAGCAATCCAAGCATATAAGGCTACATGAGATAGAGCTACGAGAAAACCTTAAGATACAGCGGAGAATGCCAAAGGGAAACTGTTTTACCATAGCCACTAGTGTAGGGAGCAATTTCCTACAGGTTTAATTCTGAGCTATTTTCTAGACCGTCGAATACAGAGTCTTGGTTTGGCCAAAGTCAGAACAAGCAAACTATTTGGCTAGATAAACTTTATCTGTTTCGAACAATAGCCAGAGAATAGGAAAAATGGGTCAATAAGCAAATGTTGTTTTACAATGAACATCAAACTGTGATTGGTTAATAAACAGATACAGTAGTACAAGGTCAAAAGGAGTTAATGTGGTGGTGGGCGTTTCCCTTTATTATTGGTGGGTTCGTCTATTGATTACATTTTACACTCCCTCGAAACGCGCACCACGTCCATTGTCCAGGGTCGTCGTCGCCTTCAGACAACCGGCTTCTTCTAGCAGGCATAGGCTTCGCACATCTCTGACGATTTCTTTTTTTGAAGTTCTCAACTTTGCCGTGCGGACTCGTCCGTCCGGGCCATAGCTTACTTGCTCGACAATAGCCTTAAGCCATAGACCTCTATTCATTTCGACGTTACTAACGAGGACTAAGTTACCCGGTTGTAAGTTCTTGTGTACGTCCAACCATTTGTCTCTTGTTTGGAGAGTTGGTAAATATTCTTTATCCATCTGTTATTCCGGAATGCGCTGGTTAGTATTTGAGCTTCTTTCCATCTTTTGTTGTATAATAACGTCCTATCCACCGAAGCATCGTCGAATGATAATTTTTTATGAATCAACAGCAACTTGCTCGGAGTAAGAGCTTCTAGGGTACTAGGGTCATCTGTCATCTTAACCAGAGGTCTGACATTCAGTATCCGTTCAGCCTCAGTTAAGAAGGTTTGCAGAGTTTCATCGATCAACACGTTTTAGAATAAAAGCACTCTTAAAATTCTTCTAATTGATCTTATGATGCGTTCCCACACACCACCTCGATGACCTGCCCTAGGTGGGTTAAAACGCCACTCACATTCTAGTTCTTTAAGGTGGTTTTCTATTTTATTAGTATTCCAGGAACGTATAATCTGTCTCAAATTGGCATCTGCACCTCGGAAGTTTGTGCCGTTATTACTAAAAATACGCTTTGGACATCCTCTTCTGGGTATAGTAACAAGTTTCAGAGGAGCAACCCTAGACTTAGCTAGCAGGAATGAACAATGGATCTGACCAGAAACACTTTCATAACGAATATACGCAACGACACCATACTCAAGCTCGGAGGCGTCGGCAAAACAATGAATTTGCGAAGATGATGGTTCAAACCCCGGTTTCAAACACCTTGGTATTCATAAGTGGTCTAACCTTATTATATGTCTACACCAATTATTCCACTTTACATGACAACCTATGGGTAACTCGGCACCACAGTCTAGTTTCTGACGACAAGTATCTTGTAAGATCACTTAAGCCGGTAATATTATTGGAGCTACAAACCCTATTGGATCAAAGATAGATGTTACATACGATAAAACATTCCTTCTGGTTGGGTTTCCGTGAAATTCATGAACTTTGAAACATGATTCGTCTGTTCGGACGTTCCACTCTACTCCCAGAGTTCGTTTACTTGTCTCATTGGACTCGCAGACAATAATGTTTCCTTCAGCACGGTCTTCTTCTGGAATGAACTCCAGTACTTCAACGCCATTACTAGTCCATTTAGTTAAGTTAAATCCTCCCAAACTTAGGAGTCTTTTAAAGTGCGAATATGTCCGTTTGGCTTCTTCTATAGTATCCACACTTATCAATAAATCATCCACATAAAACTGTTCTTTAGCTGCTTGCGTAACAGCCCTGGGAAATTTATATTGATTATCAGAAATCGTTTTTTGTAAAGCAAAGGTGGCGCAACATGGCGATGAAAGTTCCCCGAACAGATGAACTTTCATTCTATAGATCTCGGGTTCCTTTTCTAAGTCTCCACCTGGCCACCACAAATATCTAAGAACATTTCGATCATGCGGCGGAACTATTACTTAATGGAACATGGCTTCCATATCCACCGTAAGACCAACTGGTCGTTGCCGGAACCTGGTGAAAACGTCTACTAGGTTATTGACTAAATCAGGCCCAGAATGAAGGTTCTTATTTAAAGACGTTCCAGCATACTGAGCTGCACAATCGAACACTATTCTTAGCTTGTTAGGTTTCTTGGGGTGGAAGACTGGATGATGAGGAAGATACCAAATTCGCCCATCAGAGTGGTTATCGTTTACCTTTTCATCGTAATCTCGTTCTACGTACCGAGTCATGGAGTCTACATAGTCTTGGAACAACTTCGTATCCCGAATAAGTCGACCTGTCAAACAGCTAAGTCTACGTTCTGCTAATTCTCTGTTATTAGGTAACTTGTGGTTGTGCCTCCAAGGTAGAGCTATTTGATAGTGCCCGTTTAACCTTTGTACTGAATTTGATATAGCACTGAGTGCTATACGATCTTCTACAGACATCGATATAGTACGACTAAATGGATCTTTGAATTCAGTTGGGTACAACTGTTCGAACTTATCCTCTAATTCCTCTTTAGCTGAGAGGTGGTTGAGTGCACGATTGCTTTGAAAAGGTTTCCTATAGGAACCGAACAGCGTCCAACCTAACGGAGTCTTCACGGCGAATGGTTCATTCGGCTTTCCAGTTCTTATCTCATTCATTTCGTATACACTAGGTGCGTTGCACCCGATCAATAGCTTGACATTCTCATCCTCTGCTCTAGGAAAACTTATGTCTTTTAAATGCGTCCAGTATTTCATTTGAGACGTCGTTGGTACCGTCCATACGTTTGGGATTCTAAATGACGAAGACGAGTCTAAGGAGGAAACCTCTAGTTGAACCTCTTTACACTGAATTGTGGAATGGTTATTCAACGTTTTCAACGAAATCGTCTTAGGCCCTCCTTCTAAATTCAACCTTTTAGCTAGATCTTCTGTAATAAGCGAGGCATACGACCCACTATCTAAGAAGGCGCATGTCTGTGCTACCTTTTCTCCATTTCTTACCAGTACAGGCACTATTGCGAATGCTGCTTGTTTCTGTACACGCTCAACACTTTTCTCCGTACATAGCTGGGTGTTAATGTAAGATCCATTTTGAAGGTTTTATGTGTTGGTGAAAATCCCTCCATGTATATACTTGTACTTTATTCCTATTGATCACATTAGTTGTACATTGTTGTATTTTGATTACATTTGAATTGTTAATATTTGTATTTTTGTTATAGTTTTTGTTTTTATTACGCATTCACTAAGTTTGTGTTTCTTCCTGAACTGCATCTGCGTTGTTTTACTTGACACTTGTTCTTGGCGGTAGCCATATTGATTTGTTCCTCCTGTTGTGTGTGATCTATCCAGTCAGGATAGAATAACGTTCATTTGTTGTGATTGGTAATTTTTCCTCATCTTCTATCAACTTCTTTATTTATTGTAATTTAGATTTAATTGATTGAACAATCATTGGTTGAATAGCCGGGTGATAATATTTGTTTAGGTAATGATTTACATTAAATTTACTATGAATTATAGAACCGCTAGTTACCCGATTACTTGTTCTGATTTCGACGGGAAAGGGCGCGTGTCTAAAGTCCCCGGTAGGCTATTCTTCTACATCCAAACCGTAGTTTGGATCCTACAGTTAATGTGTGCATCAATATTAGTATTCCTTGGTTCTTCCTGCATTTCGTGTAACAGGGTATGGTGTCTCCAGCCACACCCTTCGACAGCACACGAACTTGGCGATCGACAGTTTTTTGCTACGTGGTTTGCCTTCAGGCATACATTACACAACTTGTGTCTAAGAACGAATTCCTTCCTTTCTCTAACATTCTTGTCTTTACATTTTTGACATTGATCTAAAGAATGATTACTGGAGCACTCCAAACAAGATGAACTGCGTAAGAGAGCATTATCATCACTAGCACTCGCATAAGATATTCTTACTGCATTGCAACCTGTACTAATTTTCCCTTTTAAAACATCAACATTTTTATTGCCACTATTACTACCGCGGTTGACAAGTAAGCCGTACCTAGTATCAGCAATGTCCAACTGCTCTTTCACAAATTCGAAAAGGTCCTTGAATGAAGGTTCTCTACCTGTCTTAAGAATTCTACACGCAGCTTTAACCCATTCTTTTTGCAGGTGTAACGGGAATTTTAAAAATATGCATTCGGTAGTCCTTGTAGAATTAAGATCAGATACATAGTTCATCTGCGTGAGTGTTAGCGCACAAATATGCATCTCACGAGACAACCTCCTTAAATTATATGGATCAGTCCCTTTAATGGCAGGGATGTTCAGCATCTTATCAATAAATGCATGGGCTACTACATGCTTCTGACCAAATGCTTCCTCGAGAAGTTCTAGTGCTTTACGATAGCCTTCTTCTGGCTCGAGCAATGAGCAATGAATAATAGTGTTTTTAGCTTCACCATCACAGTACTGGATCAAAAAGTTTAACCTAGATCGGAACCCAATGCTCTCGTCAAAACAGTCCTCAAAATTCCGTATGAAGCTCCGATAGTTCATAGGGTTGCCATCAAACCTTATAATCTCTTTCTTTGATAGGTCTAAAGCACTAGACATAATTGTTACCCAGTCTTTTCTCGGAGGGACATCAACGACATGTGAGACAGATGTATACTCATACGTCATCGCCTTGTCAACCATAACTTGATTATAATGTTCTCTTCCTTTTTGGCGTAACCGTTCTAGCTCGATTTCTTTTTCTGTCTGAGCTAAACGTACTTTAGCTAATTCTAACTCTAACAAGGGATCCATTCGGTAGGTATTTCCTTCGAGCTGGTCATCACTATGGGTTTCTGAATAGTGAGGAGACAATTCGAGAATATGATCAGTATTATGACTCTCCATAGACATCTAAAGGTACCCAATGTACGAAACTTTGATGAGATACTGTTCGAAACTTTGTAGGGAGCAATTTCCTACAGGTTTAATTCTGAGCTATTCTTTAGACCGTCGAGTACAGAGTCTTGGTTTGGCCAAAGTAAGAACAAGTAAGCTATTTGGCTAGATAAACTTTATGTTTCTAAAACATAAGTTAACATCGTTAGTGTACAAACAAATAGTACGGTCTATTAATGCAGGGAGAAACAGAGACAAATAACATACCGAACAGTAGCCAGAGAATAGGAAAAATGAGTCAACAAGCAAATGTTTTACAATGAAAATCAAACTGCGATTGGTTAATAAAGAGATACAGTCGTACAAGGTCAAAAGGAGTTAATGTGGTGGTGGGCGTTTCCCTTTATTACTGGTGAGTTCGTCTATCGATCACATTTTACAACCAGTCTAGAAAAAAGAAGGGAAACAAATCATCGATATTCAATAGCAGCGGGACAGAGTGAAAAATCCATAGACCTTTTGGACAACCGAATGGACACTGTGATAATAAAGATGAACTTCCCTGCTGATGGTACCGTATCAAGAATCGAAGAAATCAGCAAGGCGATCTTATGAATCAGAAGTATATATATATTGCTATTGTTATTTTTCGTGTACTACATAAAATTCATCTCAATAACTTCGCTTCATCTTTCTTAGAGCAGTTATCAGGTAATTTGTAGCGTGGATAGTGATAACTATCCAGAGTACAGCCTACATTGTTCTTTAAATTATGGTTGGATAAACTAAATGTACAAACTCGTCAGGATATTACGAACTGCATTGATATTTAGTAATCCGATTTCTTGATACATATTTAGCAGTTTAAAATAAAAATTTGTATGCATTCCTATGTGTCACTGGCTTGCGAAATATAATGTTACTTGAAAGATCGATGACTAATCAACGATACTGATATTGTCATTCGATGTTAAAAGGCTCTCAATTTAAATACTCAAGGTCGTGAGGAGGTTTGTGATCTTAAGATTTCACTATTGATTAATCAGTATACTAAAGTCATTTTTTCGAAATTGGGTCAGTTTTCTGTTCTTTTAATTATTCGGAATCACACCGGCTTGGCATAGCTCACTGAACCAAATATCTAAGCCTTGAACTCATAACCACTTATAAATGTACACTGAGCTAAATTGTTATTGAAGCTCATATTAGTATAAAACTACCTCAGTCAAATGTTTCATTCATTTTTGATGCCGTAGGTGTTATTTTCTTTTGTCAAACAGAATTTATTTTCTATCCAACATTTCTCTCTGTTTTACTGTTTGTGTGTGAAACATGTCCTCTAGAAATAATGAGTGTCTGTAGGCCACTAGTATATGGTAACCGACACATTTCGGATTGTTGCTTATGTATTTTCGGACTATCGCACAATCCCCCAATTCTGGATACATTTTGGGCGAAAACTCAGGTTTTATTTAGATTCTGGGGTTTCTATACAATTTTCTTCAGGATGAACAGAATAGTTAGTGGGTATAATCTGAACCTTACATCGAATAAGTCGATTTTTCCTCAGAGTTGGGAGGTTAGTCGAGTGAGTAATTATGAGATTAGACGCGGAATCCTAGGTAACTGTGGTTAATGGCAACAAACCTTTACAAACTAAATTGGCTGGCACATTTATTATCCATAGCCAATCACCGCGCACTTCCGTATGCAATAGCCCTAGATGCATGAGTACTTTGAACGAAAGGCAGTGGCGGCAAAACCAACACACGGCATCAGTTTACGAAGTTATTGTCAGTTAATCTAAGCTATATTATCAGATGCAAACTACCCGGTTGTGGTCCAGGTAATAATTGCAATAATCGTTTGAAGACGTTGGTTGACATAGTTCGGGATTGGTGGCAGTAATATGAGTGCATTCATTCCTTATAACAATGACTTTACTCAATATAGTGTTTACTCTCCACCTCGGGCTCCATTATATCTTCACATATATACGTTCAATCGTCTTTTTTCGGACTTTATTCTCAAGGTTTTGCCTTCTTCATTACCGTTGCTACCATTTTATCCTGACTCCTTTACTATTCATCTTGCTATGGTTATATGGGAACTTGGGTTAACACCCATCTGTACTGGTCTCTACTTTGATTATAACTGACTAACTGAAGCTCAATATGTATCATCACATACAGAAATTTCAAATAACAAAACACGTACTTCATTTTTATGTTCCCTTTCTGTCAATATATGGGAAGCCCAGTAATTATCAACTTCAAAACATTTCTTGGCCAAGGCCTCTAAAGGCTCTGCGAAGTACACATAACACATGAAACCTTTTATCAGCTGCTGAACTTCAGTGTACAGTTGTCCTCAAGTCATGACTTACAATTACACACAGATCTTTTTGTCCTAAAACGTGATTGGCATCGCATCAATAGTGTATTGTTGGTTATTGTTGTGTCCCATTTAAATCAACATTTTTTATGAGTTTGTTCCTAAACATTGATTCCTGGACCACCTAACTAGTTCGTTTAGATCAGTTTGCTGCTCTAGCATATCGGTTTCACTATGTATTACCCTCTGGACGTTTATACCATCTGCATATAAGTGATGATCTAAACATTTATAGCGATTCGTTGACGTAGAGTAGGAATAACAAGACTTAAGAGAGTAACTTGTTGCACACCGTCTTTTACAGGCTTCCATCCAGATGGAGTGAAGCGTAATCCCACTCCATATTCTTTCTAATTGTAAATTTCTTATCCAACCCAAAAGTTAAAAAATTATCTAATGTTTTTAGGTGGATTTCCCTTGCAAAATCCAGGTACCAGTCAACGTTGATCCCAAAGTAAATGATCATAACTTCTTATAAGTATCGAAAAAGGGTGCTGAATCTGTCATATTTAGTGAAAAATCGAATATAATCCTATCCATCTTTTGTAATTTAATCTAAATTTTTAAGTAATATGTCAACTAGAATGACCAAAGACTCGTAGATATACTCAGTCAATAAACCTACAGAAGCTACTTGTCACATCTAAAGCCAAACTAAGATTTAAATCCAACGGAATAATGGAAGCAGCGGAAAAACTCAAACATTAGGCAGATATGAAACTGGACGTTTACAAACAGAAATGGTTCGAGCACTCGTTATGTATGCTCAACCACTAATTACCTCGGAGCACGACTTTCGTTGCTGGAGGAGTATTTCAAAAAAGTTGGGTAAGGGACCAAATAAAAGACGTGATATTAGTCCATGAGGTTCTTAGCTGTTGTTCTGAACCATGTTAGTAGGTATAAACAACCTAGATAGGGTTTAAGAGATTATGATGACCAATAATTGGAGACTTTAGGTGAAGTGGCTCGAAATCGGTTGCAGTAATCCACATGCATCTATCCTTTGTGTACTCCTAGATCTACCATGTGTACTTCGGTCCAACTTGACATACATCTCAATATATAGGGTATCAGTAAATTTTATGACCAAATGACTGTTTGAACAAACTGTGAGATGAAGGGTGTTATTTGGACTGATATCATCCAGTGAACTATAGGAAAACAAGTTCCATTTTGGCAAACTTCCCGATTAATGAATGAAATTATGTAGTGTGACGCGTAATTTAACAAAAATATAATGTACATTCAAAAGAGTCGCACTTATGCGGTTTGTGTATTTTTGAATCGTTGAAAAGATCAGGTTCGAAGAGAAGTATGAAGTCGCATACTAATCTCAACATTGCTTTTTATTATTAGAAGATCTAATGAAGCCACATTCACACGAACTGCTATTATTATATATTATTGATAATAAAGCGCTGAAAATAGTAGGAGGATATGCAGTATCTTTATTAATGTAAACGGGTAGTACAGTTGGTCTTATGTTAGGAGTCACAGAAATGTTTACAGCAAATGCATAACAATATTGTTCCAAATATCTATGCCGAAAATCATCGAAATCATCTAGAAATTTGATGCACACTAAAGTATATTCACGACGGTGGCAACATATCCTCTATATTTTTTCATGCTAACTGAATGGCCTCCGACTTTCAGTCATTAATTCACTGGTTCGGATCCCGCTCCACCTACTTCGGTTTGGGCACCCGAAAAGTATTACTAGTCCTCACAATTATACTGTAGCCTAAAGCCGTGTACATTTAACTATGAGTTATCATCATGAATTTTTTGTGATTTAATTTACATATTTGCAGACTGAAATAATCCATTTCTTCCATCAAATATGTAAAGCTTGGACTTGTTGTTTCAGGAAAACGCATGTGATAACCCCTCATTCCTTTAAAGACTATGCCACCATCTACTATGACTTTCGATTTTTGCGGTTAGGTTGGATACTCCATGTAACTACATGAATGCATAATACGGTTACCAAATATTATTGATTGATATCAGCTCCCTGAAAATGAGACAGCTTATGCAATGTTTTAAAAGTTAAAAAATAAGTAGCCCAGAACACTATAAAATTCTACATATTCCATATTTTTTGCTGACGTTAACGCGATGAATTTTTCATGTTTCAGATATGTATATGAGAGACTGTATTATTCATCGCTAATCAAATGGTTGGTCGAAAATCTTCCTTTTATTACCATAAATTGTTTTTAGTTAGAGGAAAGACTACATTTGGAGTTGGAAAATCTAAAAACTGATGTGAGTTACAAAACATTATAATATCAGCACTATGATTAATAGCTGACAGTGACTGCTCAGCAACTGAATGCCAAGACACAAGCAGTTTCAATTTTGAACGCCTCATTGGAAAAGTGCAAAAAAGAGAGAAATGAGTTCAAGAGAATGGCAGAACAAGTATTTTCTTAGTCTATCTTCGACGTCTTTTAGGTAATGAATCGATACCAGATGCTTAAAAAAACTCTTATGGAATGTGATAAAGCAGACCAATATTCTACCCCTGATATAATGCATTTATCGACTAAACAAGTATATGGTTACATTTTCCCTCCAGAAGTTTTGTAGCTTGCTTCTTTGTTAGTTGAAAGCAGAGAAGCTAACAAAAGTTTAGAACATGAACTAATGAATTCTCGCGAAAAAATTGAAGAACTCCAAGGAGATATTAAGGTGTTGAGGAGACAACTTAGCGATCGTTCATGTGAAAACCAGCACACAATGGATCCTAGAATTTCTGGGAATGATCGCCAAACCTACGTAACTCAGTTGGAAGAGCTTACTTTTCAGGTACTTAATTTTTTTCCAGTGCCTGTACATCCTTTTTAAGTGAAATTTCCCTTAAAAAATTTATATAGTTCTTGATCATTTTGTGCAACAACTTGGGTCGACTCATGTATGTCCCAGGTTGTATATTTCTTATGACTAACACACACACCTAACTACATAACCACTATGGTTCGAATTTGTATATTCTTTGGTAATCTATCTTATGCATTTACAACACCTTGACACTAGATGAATAACGATAGATGCAGGTCTTAATTAGAACCAGCATATATTACCTATGTCATATTGTGTTATGCCTTTCTACAGTTTAATCCTGTCAACAAATTATGTATTAAAGATTTATTTTACTGTTCAGGTTAAGAAATTTTATAAACGAATACACTCTACTGCTACGAAATTTCGATATGTAGTGGCACAACTTATTAGTTGTGCAGCTCCCCAACCACTTATTTGCAAACAACGTGTATGCCGGTTCAAATCATCAAATTTTGTATCCATATAATGAAAGAAACAGATAATACGACAATGAACACGAGAAAAACAGTAGGAATAATGACATGAGTGGTGCGACCAAAACTAAACATAGAAAATGAATTTCAAAATTAAACGAATGCAATCGAGAATTTAAACAATAAGAATAAATACATAAGAACTGAAAATTTGTAAGATGGTTCAGAACGAATACATCTATATTAATGCCCTTTAGCGCTTTGTCCAAATAGATAGACTATGACCATTTAGATTGATACTGTTTTGTCTGTTCACCCTTTATTTCTTTTTAACTCAGTTCCTATGCTTTCCGCTATAGTATATAGAGATTGATGGCGCTTGGGTGTGCGTAACAGCTGTTTTAACCATATCAGTCAATAATGATTTCAGAACTTCATCAACAAACGTACTATCTGTATGTCGTACCCCACTTACAAACCAACCTTCTACTGTAATATAACTTTTCTCTGTCAGGAGCTCGTAATACTCTACTGAGTGAACTAAATTGATGCAAGTCAAGGATCTAATCCTAGTAATTAAAAATCTAGGCCATATACCAAACCATAGGTCTACTTTTTTCGGATACAACCCCTTCTTATTTTGTCGACGAATAGACTGTACTACATTGTGTTCACTACTTTGTCAGTTTGACGTTACTTTTTCTAAAAAAAGAATTCAACCTATTTCTCTTAAAGGTTTATGAACTCAAACGCGAATTGGGGCAATGTTTTGATGAGAAACAAGAAATTGCAACGGAACGAGATATATATCGTAATAAATGTGATCGACTGAACAATGAATTAAATTATATTTTAAGTGGAGATGAACGAAAAATTCAAGATATCGATACCCTAATAACTGAAAGCAGGTGAGTGAGTAATCACCATTTTTCTCATTAGCCTTATGGCTATTGTAATTTCGTAATATTGTACTTAACAAATTTTCAGTAATGAAGCACTGCACACTTTAGTGCCTAGTGGACTTGTTTCTAGTGTTCCGCTGTAATACTTACAGACTAGAGTGTAATTATTAGTATAGGGGGAAGAGATTATTGAATGTTATTGAGACAACGTATCCGAATCCAGTAATGTGCATGTCCGAAGTTCTATTGAGAAACCATGACTAGTGGAGTTCAAACTTATCAACTCCCAGCAAGGTATCCACCGAAGACAATAGAAGGTGATTGAGCGATATCACTCATTAATTGAAGTTAGACGTCTACACCACTGGATTATGGCCCAATGATTTAGAGGTTAAGTGTTTGCGCCCTAGACCGAAAATCGTGAGATCCACAAACCCCGACCGAAGCTGCTACCTTGACGCGGTGGTCGGGCTTGCCTATCGCGATGACCCAACCGAGCTATATTGGCTGAAACATATATTCCTGTAGGTTCTACCATGCCAGGCAGGTCGATTGGAGAACAGTCAGTCAGTAAGTAACAACGTAGAACTTCGTACGTACGTACATCAGTTCGAGTTGCCACACCACATTAGCACACAGATGCAGTGGTCGACTCAAATCCCGTAGTGGTAGAGGTAATAAGAGTATAAGCAGTAATCAGGAAAATTAGTGTTTGGAGATATTATTTAAAGAGTATAATACAGTGAAATAAATTTGGAAAGAGAAAAAAAGAAAGGGACATGAAGAATTCAGAAGATTATAATTTGGGAGAACACAAAGAGTGGATGCACCTGCGCCATTGCAAATGATTTTGAGCCATGTCATTCAGGGTCTCTAGCCATCGGTTGCTATCATCTCGCGGTAGTCTACACCTACCAACATGACTCAGTCCACTTGTCAGTGACTTCATGGACTTGTGCCATGTTTTGGTCTGGCCGCCCCTAGCTTTCTTCCAACCTACTCCTATACCACTGAACATCGCACGTCGAGGCAGTCGGTCGTTGGGCATACGTAACACGTGTCCCAGCCATCTCAACTGATGAAGTTTCACTACGTCATCAATTGATTTGCCATCCTTACCTAGTACCCGTTTCCTGACAACTGCATTACTTACTCGATGGTCCCAGGATATACGAGCAATATTTCAAAGACACCTATGATCAAATACTAGTAACTTACGAATATCCTCTACTCTTACCGGCCATGTTTCACTGCCATAAAGTAGGACGGAACGAACTGCTGCGCAGTAAACCCGTCCTTTGGTTGATAGACGGATATCTCGCCTACGCCATAAATGACGCAAGTTGGTAAAAGCTAGTCGAGCCTTCTGTATCCGTGCTGAGATTTCGTCACACACCAGACCACAAGGGCTGATGAGACTTCCAAGATAAGTGAAGCGATCGACACGCTCAATTACTTCACTCCCTATCATTAGTTCGGGTGTCAATGCAACCCAATCCTGAAGCAACATTTCGCATTTCGAGGGGGAGAATCGCATCCCGAACATGCTTGCATTGTTGCTTAGAGTGGTCAGAAGACTCTGCATTTTGTCAGCGTCTTCATCAAATAAAACTGTCATCAGCATATTCTAAGTCAACAAGTGAACCTCCTGGTAGAAGTCCAACCCCTGGAAATCTAGACGACGAAAGTGTTATCTCTAAAAGTACATCGACGACAAAGTTGAACAAGAATGGAGAGAGTGGGCAACCCTGACGAACACCACTCGAGGTAATCAATTCTGATGACAGTTCGCCATAAGCTCTCACTCTACCAGTTGTGTTCGAGTAGAGAGCCTTTATAAGGTTAATGTACTTCTTTGGTACTCCTTTCAGTGACAAACACTGCCATGGAACCTTACGATCAACAGAGTCGAATGCCTCCTTAAGGTCGAGAAATACTACCATTGTGGGGCGTCTGAATGTGTGTCTGAGTTCCAGAACCTGACGCAGTGTGAATATCTGATCTATACAACCACGTCCAGGTCGAAAACCAGCCTGATTTTCTCTAGTCTGTTCTTCACGAGCTTTGGTTAGATGTTGAAGTATTATTGAAGCTAATATTTTAGATACTATATTTGTCAAAGTGATTCCTCTGTGATTGTCACAAGAGGACTTTTGTCCTTTCTTATAGACTGGCACAATCAGTGATTGAGACCAGTCAGATGGGATTACGTCCAGTTCCCAAATTCTACCTAAGACTTCAGTTAATCTCACTGCTAATACTGAACCATCATCCTTAAAACTCTCAGGAGTAAACCTGTCAGGGCCTGCTGCTCTCCCTCGCTTCAAACTTCCTATGGCTTTTTCAACTTCGTAGAGTCGGAGGACCTACACTAACTTGCCATTCAGGTTGGCTGGAGATCGTGGGAAACTGAAGTGTGGCTGAAGGCCAGTTGAACTGATCCTTAAAGTGTTCTGCCCATCGATCCAATCTCCTGGATTGAGAATGTATAATATGTCCATCTTTCTCTGAGATTGTTTCTCTAACAGTCGGTTTCCTAATACCGGTTTCCTTAACAAGTCTGAACAATTGTCTGCTATTACCTATTGCTGCTGTCTTTTCCATCTCTCTTGCTTTCGCAACCCACCACTGTTCACGATCATAGCGTAGACTTCTTGTCAGCTTGCGCTTAAGTTGACTCCACTCTTCATTATGTTCAGAGCCAGGTGGAATGAGTTCCCGAGCATCTATCAGTGCGATAGATGCTGCTGAGATCCAGTGTTGCTCCCTAACCTTACGGGTTACCGTACTAGCAGATATCACTGCTGTTTCCACAGCTTTTCGTATATCATCCCATGCTGCCTCGGGGTGGGCATCACATACATAGCTGCCTAACTGTTTTCCTAGTTGTTCCTGAAATATACTCTTAGCTTGACTATCATTAAGTAGGCCCCTAAGAGGTTTACTTGCAGCGTCTTTCCTACATCCAGTAAGACGCAGGCAAATACGCGCTCGTACTAGAGCACGATTTGAATCTAAGCATGTGCTCCAGAATGAGCGGCAGTCTCCTATCGAGCCCCTCCATCGGTGGCTGATAGCCATGTGATCTATTTGGGTCCAACGTTGGGACGAATTAGGGGTCGCCATGTTAAAAGGTGTTTTTCCTTATGCTTAAAGTCAGTATTTGCAAGGAACAGGCGGTTATCTGAGCATAGCTGCAACAGACGGTCGCCATTATCTGTTCTTTGAGCCACGATGCTATAAGATCCACCTAGGTGTCTTTCCCTATCGCTTAGTTTACCTACTTGAGCATTAAAGTCACCGGCCATTATTACTACATCCGAGCGCCTAGCTTTTTGGAGAAGGTCGAAGAGCTTTCTGTAAAACTCATCTTCTACATCATCTGCGCTGCAGTCAGTGGGAGAATAGGCAGAGACGACGAAGAGGCAACGACGAGTGTCCCTACCTTTTCGGATCCTCACTGTTCCGTTTAGTCGGACAGCGCACAAACGACTGTCTACTGGGATCCACTTTAAGAGAGCTAGTTCTGCCCTAGGACTCAATGCTATACCTACGCCGGCGAGGCCACGGGAAGCAGAATCAGGGCTTCCAGATACACGAAGTGTGAATCGAGTCGGTTCTTTATTTTGGCATGGTGAGGTCAAGTGAATGACGCTACTCGGATCCTGTATGCGCGTTTCGAAGTCGCAGCACACATCGATGGCGCGAGATCCCAAAGTCTTAGCTAAGGAAGCCTGCTGTCCTATTTGGCACAGTGCTCGGACGTTAAAAGCTCCTACGTGTAGTTTGGAGCGTGGTTTCAGGAGACCAGGAATAACGTTCCGCGTACTCGAATCGTTTGCCCTAGCGGTGCGAGGTGATAAAGAGACGTGAGGAGGGTTGGTCACGGAGATAAGAGAGGTATTAGGAGGTGTAGGAAGGATTTGAATGTGACCAACTTGGTCTCGTGTGCTGTTACGGGTATGAGGGTTGGTGTCACTTCCCGGCTGCCCACACCGTGGAAGGGTATTTCTTGAGGAACCTGAAAAGGAAATTAGATTAGTGTTGGTCTTAAAGACCTGGGAGCGTGACCGCAGAGCCCAAGGGACAACTGCTTGAGGCCAGTGTCGCACGGCCTTTTCGTGGAAGGTTTTTGATGTGTCAGCTCCGTTCTTCAAAGGGCCTTACCGCCGGAGACGGATTCCGTGACGTAAGGTGAGGTGTGACTTTAAATGGACATTGCCTATTGGTCGATATCTGTTCACTTGTTAAATATTGTACAAAATGTTGTTTTCTATTTTATGGTACGATGTGGTGTGCTTGATTGGTATATAAACAAAGTATGTTTGAAATATAATGATTCATATCTCAGAGGTTGTGGCTTGTGTTCTGGACTCAACTGGCTGGGCTGGACAGGGAAGCAGGACCAATCAGAACTGTAGGCCGTTCGTTCGTGTTTACGTGTCACTGTAATTGATCGATAAATACGCTGTTCTCTAATCTCTTCAGTCAAGGACACAACAATTAGCACAGGGTAAAAATCGACCTCAACATAAAGCCATAACAGTAGTATTCTCGACCTTAAGGAGGCATTCGACTCTGTTGATCGTAAGGTTCCATGGCAGTGTTTGTCACTGAAAGGAGTACCAAAGAAGTACATTAACCTTATAAAGGCTCTCTACTCGAACACAACTGGTAGAGTGAGAGCTTATGGCGAACTGTCATAAAAATTGAATACCTCGAGTGGTGTTCGTCAGGGTTGCCCACTCTCTCCATTCTTGTTCAACTTTGTCGTCGACGTACTTTTAGAGATAACACTTTCGTCGTCTAGATTTCCAGGGGTTGGACTTCTACCAGGAGGTTCACTTGTTGACTTAGAATATGCTGATGACAGTTTTATTTGATGAAGACGCTGACAAAATGCAGAGTCTTCTGACCACTCTAAGCAACAATGCAAGCATGTTCGGGATGCGATTCTCCCCCTCGAAATGCGAAATGTTGCTTCAGGATTGGGTTGCATTGACACCCGAACTAATGATAGGGAGTGAAGTAATTGAGCGTGTCGATCGCTTCACTTATCTTGGAAGTCTCATCAGCCCTTGTGGTCTGGTGTGTGACGAAATCTCAGCACGGATACAGAAGGCTCGACTAGCTTTTACCAACTTGCGTCATTTATGGCGTAGGCGAGATATCCGTCTATCAACCAAAGGACGGGTTTACTGCGCAGCAGTTCGTTCCGTCCTACTTTATGGCAGTGAAACATGGCCGGTAAGAGTAGAGGATATTCGTAAGTTACTAGTATTTGATCATAGGTGTCTTTGAAATATTGCTCGTATATCCTGGGACCATCGAGTAAGTAATGCAGTTGTCAGGAAACGGGTACTAGGTAAGGATGGCAAATCAATTGATGACGTAGTGAAACTTCATCAGTTGAGATGGCTGGGACACGTGTTACGTATGCCCAACGACCGACTGCCTCGACGTGCGATGTTCAGTGGTATAGGAGTAGGTTGGAAGAAAGCTAGGGGCGGCCAGACCAAAACATGGCACAAGTCCATGAAGTCACTGACAAGTGGACTGAGTCATGTTGGTAGGTGTAGACTACCGCGAGATGATAGCAACCGATGGCTAGAGACCCTGAATGACATGGCTCAAAATCATTTGCAATGGCGCAGGTGCATCCACTCTTTGTGTTCTCCCAAATTATAATCTTCTGAATTCTTCATGTCCCTTTCTTTTTTTCTCTTTCCAAATTTATTTCACTGTATTATACTCTTTAAATAATATCTCCAAACACTAATTTTCCTGATTACTGCTTATACTCTTATTACCTCTACCACTACGGGATTTGAGTCGACCACTGCATCTGTGTGCTAATGTGGTGTGGCAACTCGAACTGATGTACGTACGTACGAAGTTCTACGTTGTTACTTACTGACTGACAAACCGCTGAGGAGTAGTCCGTTATTAAATCGAAACAGCTGTCCAATGTTTCCTTTTTTTCACTGGTTGTCTAATTTATATAGGTTCATGATCTCACTATTGGTATAGTGTGGATTCCCGACCGTTGTTGCTACCTTGACGCGGTGGTCGGGCTTGCCTGTCGTGATGAAGCAACCGAGCTATACTGGCTAGAACAACCGTTCCTCAAGGTCCTACCATGTCAGACAGGTCGGTTGAAGAGCGGTAAGACTAAAAGCAACAAACCCAAGGTCCGAAGGCGAAGTCGTACTGCTGACTGTACAGAGGTGTGACAGCAGTAAGGTGTTTCCTTCAGACAACCAGCATGACAGCGATACTGCCTTCTCACAAGGGGGATGGGGTTAGAAAAGGTCGACCCTAAAAATGCACACCTCACCTTACCTCACGGATTTCCGTCTCCAGCGGTAAGGCCCTTTGAAGAACGGAGCTAACACGCCAAAAACCTTCCACGAAGAGGCCGTGCGCGACGGGCCTCAAGCAGTTGTCCCTTGGGCTCTGCGGTCACGCTCCCAGGTCACTGAGACCACCTCTAATCCAATTTCCTTTTCAGGTACCTCCAGAAGAACCCTTCCTCGGTGTGGGCAACCGGGAAGTGATAACCGCCCTCATACCTCCAACAGCACTCGAGACCACTAGTGTGGATATATGACTGAATCACAAAACTACAAACACACCTATCCGACCATTTAATCAACAAACTAGCCGTCAATATCCAAAATAACTGGCGTAAATACTGAATGCGATAAAGTCATTCGCAATATTAGTCTGTCGATCGTGTGTGATACATCCTATCTTTTCTGTCTTCACTCACCAACCAATCACTGCTTACATTTTATGGATTCACTACTGGATAGCTTTCTCTTCATTGAAAGTAATATTTCTGAAACATTTCACCTGAAGAGATCATTTCCTGTCTTCAGTCTGACCCTAATATAAAACGTTTATCTCCTTTTTTGAAAATCCATCGAACGATATGGACCTTGTCAATTCATCATCATCTAATGTGCTTTAAATCTCTTGTGTTTTGCCTTTTTTGTTTGTTGGCAAAGCTTTGTGGTGGTCCAACATGACTCTTGGTACATGTATGCTTGCGCTATTCTGTTCAGGCTGTAAAGAATATAGAGGGCTCCTGGATCTTTTGGAAACCATTGCAAAATTACCCTCGTGAGTGGTATATTTATAACAGAGCACTACTCAGATTGAGCGTCAAGCGTAGGTCACATGTCCGAAATCTACTCTACTTGTGTTGGTTTTGCCAGTCGCGTAGCATCACTGACAATCACACGTATACATCTAGCGTGATCGAAATCCGAGTTTGGTAATTTATTACTTGATAAACAAGCTGCCCTATTCTCTATTTATTTATTTAATACACATGAAATTTGCTACAACTGGGCACCAAAAATGTATACGCCAAACAATAAATCATTTACTTCATAATTATTAATCATCATATTTGTGAGTGTGTTAGAATACTGCCCGGGCACTTATACTGAATCAGGTGGTAGACCACTTACCAGGCCTTTGCCCCAGAGGAATAATCCATAAGACAGCAATGCAATGTCAGGAGATACAGTTCCGTGGTAGCTTGCGACCAGAGTAATTCTATATGCCACTTGTTCCCTTAGGATCTTGGAGCCTATGCACACCATTGATTTAGTAGAATCAGGGTTCTTCGACTTCTATAGACAGACCCTCTGTACATACCAACCCTCTCAATTTCGTAAAACACCCCACCTCATGAAAACAATAAGTAGGATTTTCTTAGCAGAGGTTGCCAACGTGTAGCTTTGTAAATGTATTTTAGGAAGAAGAACTGACTCATCCCACGCTAGATTTTTACAAGGGTATTTGGGATTTCCAATTAATTATGAGTTTGGCTTTTACATATATTTTTATGTGAGCGTCTAATCAATTTACTTCAAAAATTTTCTCAAAATTGATTGAATTTTTATTGTCATTTTCTCGCTCTACTATCCTTTTTATGCCAGAATCTTGAAAGAGCAAATCCAATCGTTGGAAATGGAAAAGTCTTTAGCATTGAGCACAGTAACTAAATATAAAGTTAGTCATATATTTCCTTACATATATCATTGTATAGCATATTGAAATGAAGGACTTTATTAAAATCTGCATGACTTTTTTTCAAGAGGATGAAATCAACCAGAGTTAACTGGTTCATCTTTACTCACTTACTCGCTTACTCACTTACTTTACTTTACTTATTGTTATTGTCACTCTAAATCATCAATTAATTGAAGTTGGGAATATGTATTACTGGTATTAATGGTTTTAGTTCTCCTCCTTAGTTGTCAGTGGAGTTTTTCCTGAACATTGTTGAGTATTGTGTAGTATAGAAACAGCCGGATAACACCTGTATGTGGTTGTTGAAATCTTATCATGAGGTATCTGTTGTGATGTCTGAGTCAATAGACTATTCTTCCAAATAATATATATGTTTAATTAAATAAATATATGCTTCCCAAATATTTCACATGACTAGGGAAGAGATATCATCATTGGTGGTTATTTAGTGTTGTGGCTACTCTTACTAAGTAGTGATATCTACTACAGCCCGTCAACATGTTCCTAATGTTAAGATTATATCAAACCGAGCAGCAGTGGTACTGAATGAATCATGTGGAAATAGATTTGTTTACGTGTTGTATGTGGGTTGAACAGAATAATTTTTTCAGAACGGGTTTTTTGATCCATAAGGGATAAGTTAGAGTTTCTCACAACTAGAATCGTTACTATCAGACGATCATTGAGAACTTTATTCGCCTCATTACTTGAAGATGTAAATAGTTAAGCCAACAAACAGTTTAGATTGTAAGCGATATGTGCTTGGTTAGTGTGTCGATTTCATAAGACAGTCACTCGTTAAGACTTAAGTACGGGTGATTTCTAATAAAAATGACCTGCCACCAACCTACATGCTCTAGAGCTTCATCGAAATTCACTATCATAAATTTCTTGAAATCTAGTTCATTATCACATGAAGATAGTCAACTAAGAGTTCACCACACCAATTATCTTATATATGTGAGTTGATTAAATAATTGAACTCTAATTGTTTATTTAACGAACTTGTAGTATAAGACCAAAAATGGACTTAAGTGACTGGGATGGTTGTTTTCCGAAGTGTAGCCACTTACGAACCTGTTATTTCAATGAATTTCTTGCCTGATTCAGTGGTTTAACATTTACGTACCAACCTTCTTTTACTCCTTTTACCTGTCGTGGAGAAGCATAGGCCGCCGACCCGAATTCTCCAACCCATTTTTTCCTGGGCTCTCCTTTCCAGCTGTTGCTAAGTGTGACTCATTCTTTTGATATCTGCCTCCAATTTCTGGCTCAATGTGTTTTTTAGCGTGCTTCTTTTTCCTTTGGCTTAAAGATTGCAAGGTAGGACTGGCTTTGTGATGGAGTTTGATGATTTCCGCAATGTTTGTCCTATCCATTTCAGGTGTCTTTTCCTAATTTTGTGTTCAGATGGAAGCTGGCTTGTTCTCTGCCACAGTAGATTGTTGTTGGTGTTATATTCGGCCATCGAATCGGAAGTATCTTGCGTACACAATTATTTATAAATACATGTACATTTTTGGTGATGGTTGTAGCTCCATACAGTAGAGCTGTTTTGACGTTCGTATTGAAGTTTCCTTGATGTTGGCTGACATTTGTTTTGAGTCCCATACGCTCTACTGTTTTAGGAATTCTGTCATCGCCTTGGCAATCAAAGATGCACAGCAAGGATGCACTTTTCTATCAAATACGTTTAAATAGGTGATGTAGTTGATATGGGTATTTGAACTATTCAGTTATGCAACCAACTGTCCAACATTTGAATATATATATATATATATATATATATATATATATATATATATATATATATATATATATATATATATATATATATTCGCAAGCAGTTGGGACGCACGGTAGTTGTAACTTGAAAGTCTGTCTATGTATAGAGATAAAGTTATTTATAGTATCATTTGTGCTGCGTTACCTTGACATTCTGATTGCTTCTATGGGGTCTGCTAAAATTGACGATGGATTCAGTAATTTTCACGTTAAGGTAAGAGCAACCTTTTCACCCGTTTGTTTCTAAATTCTTTTGAAGGTTTTTAAAGAATGATGATTGATCCAAGGATTCACAACATTTTTCTGTCTTTGCAATACTTTTCTAACGAATCTTCGAGGATTCCCAATACATTTTGTTCCTGGTAAATGTTCAAGTAGGCGGGAGCTTTTATGACCTATCAATCGTGTAAACGATTACAAGAACGGTGATAATGAATTTATTGTTAATATAGATGAGTGAAATAACAACAAGTATGATTGGAGGTCATATGTACACAGAACGTATTATTAGAAACTGAATGCATGAATTCCTACTTAATCAGTTAAATTTGTTTTCACAAATGAAATTTTTTTTTCCTTTTTTCCTACAGAAACTTTTAGATCGAAAGTTGTCAAAAAACTCATCAGTTAGCAGTGAAAGTTGTATAACACCAGCAACTTCACCTAAACATCAAGGTATATATTGCCTGTTCATTTTTTATGAATAAATGTAATTTGTTTACTCACTTTATTGTGCAACATATATTCTCAAAGTAAATGATTAACATATCCACTAAAAAGAGAATTCTTTAGAAAAATGAAGCAATGCAATTATCCAATGTACTTATTTTCTACCATTAGTCTAACAACTTCCGCTTGTATTCAAAGTATATTCACTAAAACAAACATATACCTCAGCTGTTAAACTATCCGAAATCCAGTTTAGACAACTGGATTGTATCAACAGCCCACCAACTACTCGATTAATAAACTGTCCTTTCAATACCTTCACTATACTAATGTGGACCATGGCTATCTATCTATTGGGGAGAAGGCATTTATCTGTTACTTTGTTAGGATACAAGCAACATAAATATCCTTTTTAAGTTTCTTACAAAACGTATCAGTTAAAGCCTTTGATTGTAATGTAGTATTTAGTTTGAATAAACGATCAATTACTGATGAATGAAAAACATGTTGAAACAAGTTAGATTATCAAATGTTTATTGTATTCAAAGCGTCATTATCAAAATAATAATTGCACAAAATTTTGTTCTAATTTGAAACATTAGACTACTCATCCTGAAAAGAGATGTGAAATTAATAAGACTGGGACAATGTATAATTCATCACTAATTATTTGATCTCTTAAATAAACTCTGAAAGTCAATAAGAACACATATGCATATATGGATATATATTGTGAATGTACGGGATTAAAAGGTATCTCTATCAATTCTGTTGGTGATCGTGGTTGCATTCTACTGTAGAGTTCTAATCGATTGACAAAGTAGTCGTCCAATACTCCCTATTTTTTCGGGTGATTTCAACTCGTAACTGAAACTTTATTCAAAATAAACAGTCAGGTAGTAGCAACTACAACAATCAACACGTTTCAAAACCTATGTTTTGATATTCCACCGGTTGTAGCTTTTCACTAGAACTCCAAAAGTTCTCGAAGTTAGTCATTATTAGTGAACATGCGATGATGATTATGGTGATGTGAATACTTCAACATATTTATCGGCAATATAATTGCAAACTTTCAAGTTTAAACATACTTTAAAATAGGATCGGATTAAAATTTGGTATATCTCTCAAACTATCCAACTAAAATTTATGCGAATATTCGTCAAGATTAGAACGAATAGTTTGACAGTAATTGAGCGCCGAGTATAGAGAAGTCATTAGATGTGAAAATTATATTTGAAATATCCAACTAAAAGTTACATACATATATCATTTATTTCTAAAATGGCCTAGTCTAGATATATGTAGATATACAATAATTTTTTATCTGTTTATTACGTAGAGAAGACAATTTGACATGGAACAACATTTCACTGAAGATGCTCTTGAAACAGCTTTCAGATGGATGAGTAACCTGCATTCGTATTATGCATTCAAATCATGATACCTTGAGACATTGTCATTCAACATCGCTGTGATATATATGCTCGTGTGATTATTATTATTATTATTATTATTATTATTATTATTATTAGAAAATTTCACCCATTAGTAACAGTCATTGTCAGCTTATTGGATAAAACAATCAACAATATTTTAATTTGTAATAAATATGAATATTTTTTTATATTTTTATGTATATCTTAGCACAATGCATATGAATTATTATTACTATTATGATTATTATCTCTCCGCCTTCATATGTTTGCTCATAATAATGCATTTTGGAGTCATAAGAATAGTAGTGACAATAATACTTGACATGACCCTGACTTACGTCACATTACAGCGTTCAATATATTAACTGAACAACAATTTGTGTTATTTCTTTTACTTCTCTGAAATTATTCTTGTATAATATTCATTCATAGCTTTGCTTTTTGTCTTATTGATGAAAAAAATGTCATATCATTGTAAAATGAAACAATTTCACCCTTTTCTCCGTTGTACTCGATTAAGTTTGTATTAAATTTAAACAGTTATCTGTGATTCTTGTAATTTTTAAAATCAATTGACTAAAATTTTACATAAAAATCATTCGTCAACTACAATAAATCGTCAGTGATATTCTAATGATCAGTGTGGGGTTGTGGAGATTGCTAAGCTTTTGATTGAGATCATGAATTAATGAATGTTAGACCACCATTAAAAACCTGGAAGCACTGGACGGCCATTTCGTCCTAGTATGGAACTTGAAATAAGAATGCACAATTAGTACTCTATATGTATAATATTTTGCACAAAATAGTATTAATTGGTATAAAGCGATTCATTATCAAATCGGTAATTAGTTTCTGTGCTATATTATCAAACATAGGCCATTATTTGTCTGTTGTCAGTCTGTGAAATCAAAGGAATTCAGAAATCCTGATGATGCGTTCCACTAAAGTAGGTAAACAGTCTATCGCATTGCTATACAACCACAATCTTTCAGTTATATTCATCCCATTGAGCGCATTATCAGCAAGTAAAGAAATTTGTATTCTACGACAAAGAGCTTCAATACTGTCGCCCGAAGAGATATGACCGTGATGCATTTCTGATTTTATATATTTATTTATTCAGTGCCATTGTTATCACGTGTCTCAGTATGGTTGCACTCCAGCCGGTTGGAAATATAGTTATTGACAATCCTTAATTTGAAGGATTTATCTTTACAAATTGAAAATGGCAAAGCTTCAGTACCAGATATTTTAAAATAATGACAAAGAATTTCAAGGATTCTGTGTTCTTTCTTCAATTCGAAGAACATATCTTCACAATCAGTCGTTTGGCAATTTATTATCACGTGTATACTCTAGTATGGAATCGAGAATTTAAACAGAAAAACTATTTAGCATTTTTAAACATCTGAATAATTGAGAGTAGTGCGATTAAGGACGTACTTCGTCTTGTATAGGACTCTCCAGGTGAATGCACTTGCACCCAATGTTGATGTCCATATTGAGACTCGAACTCAGTACCCTTAAACTCCCAACTCGCCATTTATTTAGCTAGTGAGTTCAGACAACCACTGGATTACACAACGGAGGTACATTTTAATTCATTGTGTAGGTTTTTTTTCAATCTTCTGTTTTTGATGTTAGGAACTGATGGTGATCAATTGCCTCAATACTTCCTTCAAATTACAAGTATTTTTTTAAGCAGAGTTAGATAATGCCTCGTAACTGAATGACAATATCAAGGTTGTTGGCATTGGATGCACATATGCAAAAAAAATGAAAATTTCCAAACCCAGTCCTTAACATCAACAACAGTGAAATTCAAACAGCTCTTACAAATAAACTATCTGGCTGTTTGTCTTAACTATAAAATGACATTTTATTTATTTTAATTTTTGATGACGTTGAAATAATGTAATACAGGATAATGTTGTTTATGCCATATTAGGATGATATTTGAATGTTGATATTAGTTTAACATGTTAACATTCTAGCAACAAGTTTAACTTCAATATTTACTGTGTTACTGAGAATAGCAACACATAATCAGCTGGGATATTCACTAACAATAGCAATAAGCACATAAATAGTGATACAACTGGGCACCAAGATAAATATTTCCTTTTGTAGATAAAAATGGCATTTCGAAGAGATAGATGAAGGAGAGGGGAGTATATTCAAAGTGAATAAATGTGTGAGGAAGTAAACGAGTGAGATTAGTTGATAGTAGGAGCGACACTTTAATCGGAAAAACAATTAGTAAAGATTTCAATCAAATGAGTTGCTTCCACTTTTATGAAGAATGTATAAGAAAACTCCGGCAAGATTACAATTGCCTTCTATTCAGAACCTTATCTGATAATATCTCAATCCACTAAGTTGCACCATCTCTAAGACCTCTTCCGAGCTCACAGGTACCAATTCTGTACAAATTTCCTTCATGCCACGGCACCATGTCGTAAACTCCACTTTTTCCAACCACTCTCGGAGTCGGCAGGTAGAGTCTCCGTGTTGAAATTCTCAGGACAGGTCTTAGTTACCGAAGGCGGTGTTTGAAGATGATGCACTAAACGAGCTACCATCACTGTTCACGAATACATAGTGCTGAACCTCCAAATTATTGACAAGACGTTTAGACTCGATGTCAACACTCACTAAGCGACGGATAATTGAGCGCTGAGTTCACGAACATCCTTAACTCCGAGACCCTAGGTTTCACAGACAGACTGACATTACGACGTCATCAAAGATGGTGTAGACTGTGGTAAGTCATTCTGGTTTTCATTACACGTAAATTGATATCATCACTCATGCCACCACTAGCACTTACATAGCTACACAGAAACACGAACTTCTCGACTACTGATGGTTCACTACAGAAAGTGTGTGCGAGTTGAGGCTCTTGGCGGTGTTTTAAAACCACTTAACACTTAAAAGATGCAAAGTACGTGCTATTACCTACGAACATTGATTCCCAACTGATTAAGTACGATTTCCGTAGCTTGAGTTTCACAGTACAGTAAGACTGTCTTCAGAGTACTTAATATCGAAAAGTCTTTCTCTACGTGATGGATCCACACCACCATTCCATACTTCAATTAGAGCTATTTGTAGGATGTCGTCGATAACAAAGTCGGAAAGGAATGGTGAGATTGGGCGAACCTGCCTAACCATGAAGACTGATTATAACCCAATCGACGACTTTCATTATTTGATAACATCTTAATATTTAAAAGTAATAAGAGTTAATACCACTGAAAAGCGTCTGTGTTATCTTCCTTAATCTGATCTGTCTATTCTGGTTAATGAAGGCTCTTAGAGAAGATCTCAGTATTATCTATACTTACACGGTCCTTATATTTTTGGTTAGTAGCTAACAGTGAAATATAGGATGCTTATTCCGTCTAAATTAGAAATCAATCACTTGAATGTGACTGTATCGCAGTGTTGATATTCATATTTTGAACCAAACTCAATATCTTTTATTTTCAAATACTAACACATACTCAAGTAAACCAATGAATTACTAATTTGTCCAATGGATATGATATACGTTGTTATTTGGTAACAGTTTTTTTTCTTGAACTCTTCTGTTTGACATTTGGAAATCTCTATTAAATGATAGGTTTTCATGAATTATATACAATTCCTAACAGTAATAATGACATTACATTAGGAAAAAATATATATAAGAACTATTCAACAAGACATTCTAAAATCTTTTTCACCATTATAAGACAAAAACTACAACCATCTACATTTATTTCAGAATAATATGTCTTAATGAAATGTCGAAAAAAATAATCTCATCCATAATTTTTTTTATTCTCTGAAGAAGTGACTTACACTAAGTCACGAAACGTCAGAAAATCTAATTTTTCTCCTCATTGGGTTATTACAAATATACTATTTATTCATAACATGATTTAATCTGTTCATTTCTTCTTTTCATTTTGTCTCTTTCTTTATATCCGTTGTTTCCAATTAAATACTGATTTGATTCTTTTCACTTCAAATGTATTGAATGCACCAGGAATTGGAAATATTAAACAATTTTCAGTATTTTTATTTGTATTATGAATTACTTCGACAATTGATTGTTTATTATCAGATTCATGTTTATCTTTTATGAAGAGTTGATCACCATCATCATTATCATTTGATATTTTAGGCAACAATGAATAAATTGTTTGATCAGGCCAATTTGATTCAAGTAATTTGATTGATTTTTCTATATTAATCAGATTTTGATATTCAGGAATGTTTCGGTCATACAATTCACCATATTGATGAATTGAAATATTTCGCTTAAAATGATGGGAAAAAGTATCTAAGATTTAGGAAAAGAATTACAAAGATGTGATCGAAAAAAAAATCAACCATACTGTCAAATCATCCAAATGTTTGCTATTATAAAATGGAGAGTATTTCAGGGACTAAACTTTCAATGAAGTAAACATGATCAAAAACAATCGTAAAGGTGGACAAGCAACATATGTACAACGGAATATAATATCGAAACGTTTCAGTTCATAACTACTCTACATCTATGATTAATGATTCTAAAGCCGGCAAAAGCAATTTTTAGAAAGAAAGTTCACTTCAATTCAAATAATATTACTCCACACTGTTATACGATAGTTTCAGTTAATAATCAAGAAATTATAACTGCACAATGAATGTAATTTAGTACGACCAACGTCCAAGGTTGTCTATAGTATTGATTACTCAGACCTTCCTAGTAATGATATAAATATCATACCTGATTCACAAATGAGCAGCTATCTGTACTAACTAGCCAGGTGGTTAACACATTAGTTCTTGAAGTAAAAGGTAATTGGATTTGAGTTTCTATGGGAATATTAGAACTGGGATTCAAGCGCGTCCACCCGACCATTCCTAAATAAATCGTACTACAAACCAAAATCTATCTCTTTAATATAAATGATAGAAATTTAGTATTGAGAAATGACACTATTTTAAGATAGTAGTAAATGTAATTACTTTAATAACTGTTTTACTTTGATTCACTGTCACTATTTATGTGCCTCTTGTTTTTAACTAGGTCTATACGAAGTCCTGAATTTTAATAATCAAGGATCGAATCAAAAGATATCGGTAAATGATGGGCACTGCGTCATGAATTCTTAGAAGCTTTAAGATGTTAATCATTATGATTCCAGCTTATTAATTCAATAGTATCGTCTTTGTTGTGTGATGTAAAGTTCTTACTTGTTTTGAAGACGTGTGGTCATCAAAATCTGACTAATGATTGTAGACTTTCAGCAACTTTACAGTTGCTATAGAATAAGAATGAAATCGATCTATAGATCATTCAAATTTTCAGCCACAAAATAGATTAATTCAGTTCATTCCGACGAAACATCTGTCACTGTTATTTACTAAGCAGACGTCTACCGTCTACCTAGTATTAAGATTACATTTCGGGTACACAAATAATCATCTAATACATACTTAGTTAAGATAGGATGACCATACCTACAGAGAATTCGTGCATACTTTTGAGCATCATGGTTTGTTTGAAAGACTGAACTTAGATAACCATTGAAAACCTGAAAGTACTGGACAGCTGTTTTGTCTTAGTAAGAACTTCTTAATAGTGAGTATCCACAACTCTGCCACCTTGGACCGAACGCAGGTCCTTCGAGTCCTTCGACAAGAGCTGAGTTAAAACCATAAGGTTTGCACTTCAAACATCAATTATTTCGCAATATTGCACAACTACCTTCCTATGCTATTGGTGGGTAACTACCTCACACCAGATATGGTTGAACTCCATTGGTCACAGATTCTCATTGGAAAATTTCCTCCTGAAGTTAACCACTAGTGAGTGAGTGATTATTATTAAACCAGGGCGTTTGTGGAAGTTAAGCTCTCACTGCGAGATCTGAAAGTCCCGAGATTGCTCATCAGTCGGGTCGTCGTTATTTACCTTTGGGAAGTCCCATGACAGGATTTAACATCTTTCTATCGCATTGTGGTTTCCAATGGTTGTCTAACTACGATAAGTCTTTGATGCAAACTATGTAAGACAGAGTAATTTTTAGTAAATTGAATTATATAAAAATACCTAGCCAATATATTACTGTAGCAATAAATATGGGAGCATACCAAATCCTTGATTTGTTTATCAATACCTCCAGATTTTGAAACCATTTTTAAGAACAATCTTCGGTTGTCAGGCAAACAGATTGCATAATGGAATGCGGTACGTCCTAGACAATCTTGATAATTGACAAGTTCTTGACACAGTTCAATTAACTGAAGAACAAAATCTATTCTACGATAAAGTACTGCAAGGTGTAGTAGAGAACGTTCTCTCCAGTCACGACCTAGAAGATAGATAAATAATATGATAATATATCGTATTAAATCTCTATATGTTTAGTTATTTAAACAATATAGACACATAAGATATGTAAAATGACTACCTTATATTAGGTGCACTGATGAAGCTTCAAATCAGGAGAAAGTTTGTTGATCATAGATTTTGAATTAAAAATCTTTGTATCATTAGACTAGCTTTTCACCAAACTAACCACTAAACTTAACTTCTGGTCAAGTTCCAATAGTAGTTCATGTATTAAACGACAGTTTTTCAACCAGAGCTGTTCCAGGTAGTCTCATTAATATTCACAACAAAAACATATGTAGTTAACTTATGCTGAGTGCCTTGTAGACAGTTTTAGAACTTGAATTCTATCCAGAAATTCTGCAGGTAGATATTTGTACTAGGACTAAATGCTCAGAATGAATGAGATAGCAGGCCGAACGAACTCTCTTTCAAAGTATCGCACTTAACATAGTGCTGATGAGTTGTAAATTAGGACTAAATAGTACTGCACTGCCTTGCTAATGATTAACCAGCTGAAGTCTATTCGTGGTTAAAATTATATTTTGTTCAGGAATTAATGAGATTTAAGTAATGGCTATTGGATTCTTGCATGAAATTCAAAACGCGATGATGGATAACTTGGTGTGAGGAAAACCACCCTTTTCTAGTGTTCAATAACAGTGAGATATCTAGCATTTTAGATCACTTCCTCGTTCACTTAGTGAGTCACTGCTGCATATCTAAGTGTAATTTTCATTGGCAACTTCATTGATATAATCTAAAATTATCTTCATTTTTCTTTTATCCACAAAATACTATTGAGGATCCCAATTTGGCCGATGAAAAAAGCAAACAAAATTAAGGTTGGGACCTGAAATGAAATAATCAGTGAAAATCATGCTCCTACATATAGCATGCACTCAAGAAATAAACGGAAAAACGGTAGATACTGCACACTTATTGAACATTCGAAAGTAGATACACTACGAATTTACGGGCATGTATCCTATTTTGTAGTTTGTATCGAATCAAAAGCTAATAATTACCAATAGTTATCTAGTCATTAAATCCTAACCCTATGATCTTTCAGGTTTTAATATAGGAAATTATTCATTTATACCACATGTTTTCCAAATGGCTAAAAAATGGACTTTACTTTTCCTATGTTGATTTTAACATGATTGAAGTTCGTAAGTAAAGTATACTTTAATCCTATTTGTGACACGAATATCACTTTCAATATGGTGAGTTCTTTTTCACAAATAAAACCAACTGTTTATACAGTCATAATTGTTCTTTTTTTAATCTATAATATATATAATATCACATTTTGTGTTTTATGTTCATCAAACAAGTTTGGACAAGTAATAATCAGCGATTATTGAATGAACCATTAAAATATCATATCTATAACGCATATACTTTGTGATATGATAAATAGATATTAACTTACAATCCAAAAATTTATTGATTGCTTTAGATTACCAAGATATCGTTTTGTGACACAAACGTAAACACGAGCTAAATACATGTGTACTTTGTTTAGTAAAAGAAAAAACACACATCTGTATCCACTTTACATTCAAGATTATCAGTAAAGTTAGATAGTGGCTATCAGTGGAATTCAAGTCACACGTTGTGTCCTGTTTTGGATTCATCAACTGAATGGACATGGATCCTAGTATTAATATTCTCACTGTGACTCTAACCCAGTAGGTAGATAAAGCTGACGAGCACTACATAGAGCCAAACAACAACAGCCAACTATAATCAAATTTTACTAAATCTTGTGACTAAATGTCAAGTCAATGAGCATAGAATGCACATATGCCACTAGATCATGATCAACAATAGTTCATAATATCAACAACGGGAAGATTTAAATACTTACAAATATTAAAAATGTTTTGCTACTAATCTATGGAGAAACAAGTTGGAGAAAGGAGATAGAGTTGTAATATGATGGTAAGTTTACTTAATACTAGAAGAAACTAGACGATTTTTGAGCTATTGAATATTCAGAAATCGAAGTATAACTTTTCAGAATATATCTTTAATCTCACTATACATTAGAATGCATTTAACTGAAGTTTGGAAAATTTCTGTTGCAACTACACCTACATCGATTTTCTATGAGATAAGATAAACCATTGATTGTTTTTATCAAGTATCTCATTTGGTCACTGTTCATATATTATTCCAATACACGTGGCCACTTGCTTGAGCAAGATCGAACAAATATCTATATTAGAAAATGAGGTCAAAATTTTAATTGAAGCATTGGTAACGTATGGATATCTATAAAAAATTATTAGCTGGTATGAAGGCGATGACATTCATATTAAATGGTTTTCATAGTAAAATAAACTTAAACTACATTTATCTTGGCCCACTGTTGAGCAAATGTCGAAAACTGATCATAGAATTTATCTAAAAACGACCTTTATAGTAGTGTGCTGAACTAGTCAAGGTCTCGAATAATTATTGACTATAAATGTACCTATATTAGATCTGTCCTACGAATATTGAATTATACTTTATTATCTAGAACAGTATGGGATAATATTGTTACTGAACTCATAATCTGGCCTAAGTCATACAGTTACTAAAACGTTAGGGCACACTAGACAGCTTCGTTCTAGTATGAGACATCTCAACAATGCGTATTCACAACCTCGCTTTTGGGGATCAAACCTAGGAACTTCAGGTCTTTTAGTGAGAGCTTAACGTTTGGAACACTGAAATGGTATGCAAAGGTTTTCATTTCTAACTTTAATTAATCAGAGATATTCCACAACAATCTTCCATTATTTCACATCCGAAATGGCTGAACTCCACTGGTCATGACTTCTCATTAGAACTCTCTAAATTATCTGATGACACCAGTCACTAGTAAAGACATAATAATTATCAGTATCGAGGTTCGTAAACTGTTGATACAAGATCATTGGTCTAAAGATTAACCTCTCACAGTGAGACCTGAAGTTTCCGGCTTGAAACTACAAAAGGGTTGTGAATGCCCACTTATGAGAAATCTGAAACTAAGACGGAACATCAATCTAATGCTTCTTGGTTTTCAATAGTAGGCTAGCTCGGGACAGTTAATAATCTCAAAAACACTTATCGATCTCCAAAAGCCTTGATACTGATTATAATTCACTCTATTTTCTTTATTTTTCATATAATTCACAATGACTTAATTGGATCTCCATTTTTAACTTTCATATGATTATATGGTATTTAAGGCATACTACCTAGAATGACAATGTATAGATAAATTTTTATATCCACAATTATCATTCGATCACCAAACATATACTACATTTAACTTATTGAGGTCTTTTTGCGAAAATTAAGTGAATTTGTTGGTGATATTCGTTGTGAAACGATCTCATTAGGAGTACCAATGAAAGTTATTGTCACCCTAAAGCATGAATTAATTGAAGTTGGGAATATGTATTACTGGTAGCTATATTAACACTTAACTGAATAGTTTACTGCTGTTAGTTCAAGTTGAAGAGCACGACTTTGGATGGAAAATCATTAAATGTGAAAAATCCACTTGCATATTTACTCAATGAATTAAGTTGCATTTATATTGTTTCTTGTATTCAGAGAAGGTTTTGGTTCGCCTTCTTAGTTGTCAGTGGAGTTTTTCCTGAACATTGTCGAGTATTGTGTAGTATAGAAATAGCCGGATAATACATGTATGTGGTTAGTTAAATCTTACCAAGGGGTCGGAAGCTGATGTATAGTGATGAGTTCCATTCAATCGACTATTCAACGATGATCCGTAATGTCGTGATTTGGTCTGTGCACAACTGATCCTTACGGAATCCAGTCTATTGATCTTGAAGTTGGGAGTCTAGTAAATCTTTCATCCGGTTCAACCATACTCTGTAGAAGACTCTCCCCGGTAACAACTGAAGTGTGATACATCTATAGTTCTCACATTTGCTCAGATTTCCTTTCTTTGGTATCTTGATGAGGTGTCCTTCTCCCCAGTCTGTCTGTGGCACTTGTTCTTCTTCCCAAATCTTTCTGAATAGAATGTGGAGCATGTTTTCAGTTATTTCTCTGTGTGGCTTCAGTGCTTAAGGTGGTACATTGTCAGGTTCTACTGTTTTCCCACTCTTGATTTATCTAATGACCATCCTGATTTCGTTGATCGTTAGTGGAGTGACAGCTTTAGGAAGGTCTGTGTGCTGCTTTGATGTCCAATAGACTCAGTGGGCCTGGTCCACTCAAGGTTACCCCGCCCAGGGTATCGATTTAGATCCATTCCTTATGATTATGATTCTTATTGCCCAGCATCTCCTGGCACAATAAAGTTAGTACTTCTTTAATCCCTTTCCAGTCGTTCTTCATGGTGGTTTCGCCTTTTGTGAATAGATCTGGTAAGGCTTGGAACCTGTTGTTGATAGTTATCTTGAATTCGTTGAGTTTGTCAGTATCTCAAAGGAATACTCTATTATACATTTGCAGCGCTGTTTCTCCAGTTGTCCAGTGTTTCTTTACCTTCAGTTTCATCTTGACCACAGCCTGGTGGTGATCTGGATCTGTGTTAGTTTCCCTTTCTGTTCTCACGTTTTATATTGACCTTCTGAACTTCTGACTGATGCAAACATGGTCGGTCTGGTACACTGTAATGTGATCCGGTGAAATCCGTACGGTTTTGTGCACGTGATTGTGGAGGAATATTGGACCACTTGTAAGCATTTTGTTGAAGGCACGTAGATTGGCAAATCTCTGACCATTCTCGTTCCTTTCTCACAATATATGTCATCTCATATCACCTTCATATCTAGTGTTGTCCATCCCGACTTTGGTGTTTAGGTCTTCCATCAGGATGGTCAGGTCCTTTTGATTCACTATGATGATCCTTAGTGTAAACTATTTGTTTTGGTATTACATTCACACAAAATAAGTTGTAATTGGTCAATGAGTGAAGAGAGACAACTAGACATTTCACATAAAATCGTTTGATTAATACTGTAAACGAATTCTTCCAAATTCTTTTATAACACTTTTATATTGGCATCTGGTTCTTAATAAAATAGCCAGACAAGTGTAGCTGTAGTCGTGTAAAGATCTAGTCAATACTCAAGATAGATCAATTGTATTGCCAATTCGATTAACATCACAGATTACAATTTCTACATGGAATTGTCTATTTTAAAATTATTAAGAAGAACAATAATACTACTTACCCATAATAACTCTTTTGTTATTAACCAGACGTAGGAATTGATGATAATCTCCAGTTATAATCGTCTTGTGAACTTCCATCATTTCTGTTCTATATTGATCAACAGTATCTAATAAAGATATCATTTCATGATGTCCTTTTTGTTCAGCTAATAATCTAGCAGATTTAAAGCGTACAGGTCCAGAATTAGCTAAATGTATATAATTATATCCATAGAGAATTAATTCTTCCATGGATTGTAAGTGATTGCCAGAAGCTAGAAAAGCTACATGGCGATCAATTAACTGTTCAGCAGTTAATAAATTTCCAGTTTCTGGATCGATAATATCATGAAGTTCGAAAGGATCTGGTGGCTGTAAATGTAATGGGAAAAAAGTAGAAACATAAAACAAGTTTCTGAAGAAATAAGATATCAGTAATAAGAAGGCAAGTAAAAATCTATAAAATCTTATAATCTCCTATAGTCGTTGTTTAGGATTACAGTCCTAATCAGTTTATATTAGCATAGATTGCTTACTGAACAGATTGCCTTGATAGTGTGATTTAGTCACATGTTTTAGTATAATTGGATTAATAATAATAATAATAATAATAATAATAATAATAATAATAATAATAATAATACCAAAAGTCGGTTTATCCAGTATAATGTACAATATCTTGACAAGTTCATCATACTATTCGTAGACGTCACAAGATATACATGATTTTATAAGGGTCGGGTGACTTATAGAGATGGTAAGATCTTAAGTTTAAATCACTAACTTATTTAAGTTAAACCACCATCGATAATCAGCAAGCACTGGGTGGTAATTATACTCAAGTATGGGATGTTTCAACAGTGATCACCCATAACCCCTCAACAGGAGATCAAACTCAAGACTTCTGTTCTCTCACTAGAATGCTTAACTTCTTGATCAATGAGCTGGAATCTAACGGTGTTAACATACATAACTTTCACCCATTACCTGGGGTGGATAACCATCTCACGCGAAATGGTTAAACTCTAGTGGCCGCTGCCTCTTCTAAGACTTCGGGAGTTGCGTCTTAAGGCCAGCAGGTCCGATTCCCGGACGCGTGGTCGCAGATCCGCACTTCTAAGGAGTTCCATACTGGAACGAAACAATTATCCAGGGCATCTAGGTTTTCAGTGGTAGAATATATATATATATATAGTATGGAACGATAGATATAACTAATTTACCAATACGTGAATTGTTTTAAAAGATTTTTTGTTCAAAATTTGCGTACCTCTTCTTCGAATGGTCTGAAATTCTCTCCCGTTTCACAATGAACATTGTTGTTATCCAGTAATTCATATCTTGATCTATTCAAAATATCTCGTGCAGTACGTTGCCAAATATCTCTATGATAAATTTTCACACCTCGTTTCAATATTGTAGATAAAATTAAACTTGCCCATCGAAATCCATTTACATCTTTCGGATGTATTGTATGAAAAAGATTTGTTGCATAATGAAATAAAGATGATCCATTTGAATCTCTTAAATGAACTGGTACTTCTTTGATTACTTCATAAGTATGTTGAAGGCTGACAAGGTTCTTAAAACTCCAAAATGCAACCGGACCAAACGGTTCTTTTTCTGAATTAAAATCAGATTGATCAATAAATATTGTCTATAAAAAGTTTACTTTTATTTCTTGAAAAATGCATAAAAGCGTAACGACCATTTTAACATGCGAAAAAACATTTTAATGTTTAAGCAATACAAAGACGATTATGTCTATTTTGTAATATTCTCCGAGAAAATTAATTTACTGAAATTAAAGCATAAAACGTGAACTGTTGGATTCAGATCAGGAGGTTAAAAGATACCATATTTACCGTGAATTACGAAAATCCTGTTCTCAATCTAACTATGAGTAAACACTGCTGTGGAGCTGCAAATTAAAATAAAGACAACTGTTCATTACTTCCTAATTGTTAGTCGTTCGTTTTTGGTTTGGACATTATTTCGTTGATTATACCACGTTTCAATCCCCTTTTTATGATGTCGGAATAATAGTTTAGTTTTTCGAGAAATCGATTTTCAACAATTACGTCTCAGGTTCTCATACAACGGAGAATTAAACACTTTATGTTTACTATGACATACTATCATTATTTGGCTATGCGACTGTTGACCGAGATTATACTACCATTAGGCAGTGATACTAGTTACAATAGTATTTCCTTGATAAATGAATCTGAATAGATCTCTCTCCGGAAAACATCATTCCAGAAATTTTGATTTTACGACCCTTATGAATTACTATAATAAATCACTTATAAATTAAACAAATTACGACAAAACCTTTCCACCAAAGAGTAATTTCGTATCTACTGTTGACGTACTTCGAAACGAATTTTCAAGGCTCTGGTGGAAATTTGTGACTAAAGTTCAAACATGTTAAGAATCACCACCGACCATAACAAACAGTTGTCTTATACTGTAAATTAACTGGATTTTAAACTGTAGACAATTGGACACCAATTTAATAGTATAAAAGTTGATAACTCATAGTGAGACCTGTAGGCTTTTGATTCACTCCTTAGACAGATCAACAAAGCGCACCGTTAAATATTCGGTTTTAAGGGAAGGAACATATACAGTGCTTGGTAACCAGAATGTTTTAAATCCATGACAAAAACCACCTAAAAATATTGTTACAACAAATCAGGTTTAATGAAATGTGATGGATACAGACGAATGAAACCGTTGATCGTAACTATAGTCAACAGACAATTTTCTTTAGGAAAACATTTTACTATTACATACACATAGTTCCCTTTATCATTTTGAAAAGAGCAAGAACAAACATTTTACTATTAGACTATCTATTTCACCTTGAACAAAGAATAGTCTTCATAATCAGTTTGTGAATTTTTAACATTAACACAATTAATTTTCCTAGCGTTGTCAATCCATTTACGCCTTATTCCAATTCATATTGAATAAAATCTTATAGAAACAAATAATTGGAATTTTTAGATTAAATATTATTAACCTAACTTACAATTATATGGACATAATAATTAACATAGAGAAACTTTACTTATAGTCAAAACGGAGTTGATAATTACCAAACTAATTTGTAATCTTATTTTGTTTAGCTGAATGGTTCAGTTTGAAAACAGTGCTCATCATGAACTGACATCTTTGAGACAACGAACGAAAACCAGGAAGCACTGAACGGCTACTTCTGATTACTAATGATCAACTTCAAATTTCACTCCCATGCGTACAGTAAGAAGTCATAAGTGATGTAATTCAATTATACTGATATTATGACAGTTATCACATGTAGCGTTATTAGATGACTTTTTACCCTAAACTTGGAATTAGGAACAGTTTAAGTTTGACTCAATGGCATCTTCCTATTGTAATAACTAATTGACTATACAATCCCAAGTTTAAAACTATATCGTGTAGAGGATTATGGACGGATCATGATTTCCAAATTAATACGAAACTATGTACAAGCTTTTTTCTATAAAATAAACTTACAAATTAATTCATAATTTATCATAAACTAACCTGAATAGTATTCGTTTAAATTTGCTCCAGAATGAATCATCAGTTGTAATACTTCTGCTGTAGAATATTCCATTACACTAACAAGTAATGGACGTGTTATAAAATTTGCTCTTCCATTATTATTAATACCAACTAGAAACTTTTGCATATGAAGTTGAGCTTTCAAATGACCTTTACCCATAGCTTTACGTCGAAAAATAAATAAGATAAAAATGAGATCAAGTCTGCAAGTATAAATTATTTTAATTTTATATATTTGCAAAATTATTTGATTTATTTCAGGTAAAATAAACAAGGTAAATCACCATACCAATAACTTATAACCGTCAGTTGACAGTTATTCTGTTAGATAACTATGATTCACGGTTCGTCGAGCAATATTAGCAAATAACGAAAACTGTCCTTGAAATGAAGAAATCTCTATAAACAGTCATTCAAACATTCCTGTTGTGTTCTACAATCTGATTTAGTCACAACATACGCTTGCTTAACCAACTATGTAAACCTTGAACAAATGAATAATCCTATCACTTTCAGTAACCTCTCACATTTCACGCTTACTAAGCACTCTTGAAACAGCATGTCATCTTCCCGATTTTCTAACAGGCGATCTATTAGAACTCATACGGGATATCATATATTATCCTTTGCTAATAATTACTGTCAAGCTTTGAAATGGATTTTTCAAATTTCAAGAAAGGACTGCGTTGAAAGTATCTGAAAATGAGTTATAAGAATCTTTACACAATCGATTGACAGATTGTTCCAATAACCTGAAATTTGATTGGCTTTGGTACAAAATTGATCACTCTTTTTTTCTCTGATACTTCAAACCAAGCCTATAACCAATCAAATTGCAAAACAACGGGACAAGCTGTTATTCGCTTGTGAAGGAATTCTAAGGGTACATTTCTTTCCGAAATATGTGCTGATGTTATTGTCTAGATCGGTAATGAAAGCTTCAAAGAATACAATACTTCCAAAATATATGTGTAAACCTTAAATGAATGAATATGAAATATACCTACCTAAACATTGTTTCAATTTCTGAATATCACCAGCCATAGAATAAATCACAAAATCAGTTAAACTAATATAATACTGTAATAGATTTGTTAATTTTTCACGTATTCCTTCTATCCATTGATTGCATCGATCATGAGTCCATAATGAGTTAATCCATTCTATAACAGTTAGCCCTGATCGTTTAGCTTTTAACCAAATTAAATTATCTTTAATTGTTTTCTCTAATTCTGTACAGAAATAGTTAATAATATCATTGGGCTTATGATATTGTACACTATAGATTAATCTATCAACAATTGGCCAAATTCCCGGATGATCTATCAGTCCTTTAGAACGTTTTATACTAGTTTTTAATAAACTTGATCGAATATTTCGTTTAATTGTATATGCACCTTTGGGAATATAATTTTCATTATATACAGAATAACCATTTTTACATGGAATGGAGCAATCTGAACCTGGTATAATGTTTTTTAAACAAAATTATGGAAAGAAAATTACTATTATTATCATCATTATCATTACGAGGATTAAAGATTCTATAGAGATTATCCAATTCTAAGATAATTCACATAAATGAATAATTTTAAACAGAATATCTTATGAGGATCAGGGATCACCGGAAGCATCCATTTTGACCTTGTACGGGACTAATCAGGAGTAACTATCCACGACCACCCTAGGTGTGAATGGTCACTCAAATATCCCTGATATTTAAATATGTTATATAGTGTACGAAACTAATTCCTGTAAGATAGCTTTAAATATATTTTATAAATGAAAAGCAGTAAATTAAAGAGAATTACCAGAATAACATTCATGGTCTCATACCTTACTACTAAGATTTACTTATTCTTAACTAATGGATTATAGGTACATACATGTACGTATGTTCGCAAATATATCAACTCTGTTCTTATCTACACCTTTTTAAGAATTTATCAAATAACAATTTTCAGTTTTAGGTGTTGTGGAGATTGTTAAGTTTTTGATTGAAATCATGAGTCCATTGAAGCTAGATCACCATGGAAGACCTGGAAGCACTGGATTTCAATCAAAAATTTTACAATCTCCACAACACCTAAAACTGATAATTAAATTGTGCTCACTAGTGACTAGCTTCGTGAGAAAATTCTCGGAGTTCTGGTGAGAAGCCGTGACCAGCGGAGCTAATCCGTGTCGAGAAGAAACAGGTGTCTACCTCAATACAATGGAAGATGGTCGTGCACTTTTGTGGATTGGTTGAAGTTAGACATTAACAAGTATGTTTATGATATGTTCATTAAAATCATGAGCCAATCTAAGTTAGACCACCGTTGAAAGCCTGGAAGAATTGAACAGCCATTTTGTCCTAGTATTGGAATCCTCCGGAGTTTTAATAAGAAGCAGTGACCGGCAGAGCTAATCTGTGTCGGGTGCAAGGCAGTTGCCCACTGAAAACAATGATGGATAGTCTCACTGTCGTGGATTGACTGAAGTTAGACATCAACACAGCTGGATGCCGACTCAGTGGTTTAGAGGTTAAACGTTTGCTCATGAGGCCGAATTTCGTGGGTTAGATTCCCACGTGCGGGATTTCAGATGTGCACCTCTTGGGAGTCCCATATTAGGACGAAACGGCCGTTCAGTGCTTCGAAGTTACCAATAGAAGTCCAACTAAGATAGGCTCACGATTCGAATGAAATTCAACAATCTCCACAACCCTGTACTGTAAACTATATATTCGTTGTTTATAGTGATTATAAATATCCTTCCCATGTATTGGAACTCCTCGATATTCCATAACTAAATATCAGATATACAACTAAGTACAAACATGACAACATATTCTTCTCTCTAGATCTTAGTACGTGACACAATACAATGGGAAAGATATATTTATCTAAACGACACAGAGTGAGCCGTATGTGAATCTCAATAGCATTCATTAAACTACAAAATGTCTCTAGTTGAAAAGCTATTCAACTACTTACCACTACAACTATTGTTCTTGCTTTATTTATATTTATGAATGTGATTTGTCTGATAAGTACTTAGTCTCATAGTCTTTTTAAGTTCCAAAGTTCGAAAACAGCGTTTTAAGCCCTTTTTAAACATTTTTCAGAAACGATAAACTATAAATTGTAATTTTTCACAACTTGAATGGCTCATCATCCCCAAAACGTCACGATTTCTGTCTTGAAAGCAAACTGTGTAAAATCACGTATACTGAAAAGTACCCAATAAAGCATTTTCAATATTATTCAAAGAAGTACTTCTGGGAATTGAAGAAGTAAACAGATTATACCTACTTGACGCGGATAACTTTATATACATTGAGTCTATCAGTCAACAATAATTCCACAAGAGCTAGCAAACATTCGTTCTCAGGATAACTTTGATCTAGTTCATAGTACGCACTTACAGATTTTTGCAATATTTAGAAACTCTCTTTTTAAACATACGTTCTGAAATAATACAATAAAATGTGACATATGAACCGGCGTTGTTCATCTATTACCATGAGAACGCTTCTTTTGAATTACTCCATTATCACGTGGTTTAAACCTTTAGAACAAAATGGTTAGTCAATAATCTCTGAAAGATAATTCATTTTTAATTTATTTTGTGCTATTAAGTAGTAACGTACTCTGCACTGAAATACTAATGATTCAAATAACCTATGTGAATCATTTCTTGATGTCCTACAGTTAGCAATAATGTTGCTTGATATGACCGACCGAGTTCATTTCGTTCCATATTTTATGTCCAGTATTTCAACAAAATATAAACATTTTAAACTAATAAAAATAAGACATTTTAATTTACCTAACTGAATTAAAATAGAAATCAAACGTTGATCACTAAAATCCGGTACATTCATCATACATGGATGAATTGATTCGTTTTTTACTGACATATTTGAATGATCTGAAACAGATATAGACAATGATGTCTTTTTACTTGGGCTCATTTCATTACGGTCTTCATCCATGACCAAATGTTTTACATCATCGTTGATAGTTGGATTATATAATGATTCATTTATATTGACAGTTTCAATAGTTTCCTCAACAATTTTCCCAACTGTGTCCAACACCACCCCATCTTCAACTTCATCTTCTCTTTCAGCTTCTTTGTCAATCTGATTAAGCATTGATTCGTTAGCTTTTATTGAGTTAGTATTTCTATCTGCAAAAATATTCGATTTTGCAGCACAAAGTAAAGCTGTATTACCAAATTTATCACGTGCTTGTAGATCGACATCAGCTATGACTAGTTTTGCCATAAGACGAATTAAACCACATTGTAAATGAGGTTCATGTTTTAAACTTTTATAACTGGAGAAAATAATTTGCAAAAATAAGACAAGATGAATAGAAATATATTAATCTAATGGGTTCGTAGAGGTTGTGTAATTTCATAGGTTACATTAGATTGACTTTAGTTAGATAATCATCGTTATTCGGGAAGTACTAGACATATATATGATCCTAGCATGGGACAATTCATCCACAACTCGATCAGATATTGAATCTAGTACCTCCAGATTTTGCGACGTCAGCTCAACATTTAGACAAATTAGCTGGCATCTGCTAGTTTTTATTGCTAACTTCAGCCAACTCTTAATATTGTAAAATTATAATCTGTTATCATTTGTGATGTTTACATCAAGCATGATATGGTTGTAATCTACTACTTACGAACCTCAAGGATCACCTCTCGAAGTCAATTATTAATAAGAAAATGATGATAATTACTAAAGTTAGAAATGTGAACTACTGGATACTAACTCAATGGAGCAAGGGTTAAGTGCTCTTCCTAATACGTGAAGCTCCTGGATTCAATTCTTAGTTGGAGTCGTGGATGAATATTGTGGGAGTGCCCCATATCAGGACAAGGTAGAAGTCCAATACTTACTGGTTTTCACTGGGTGTCTGACAAAGGTCAATCCGTAATGCAAACTACGAAATATAGTTTCATTGGATTTCGAAAGGAGAGTTATAACGTTCACTAGTTAGTTGTGAATAGTTTACATTAATAAATAACTTCAGTCAAAAGAACCACTGCAAAACTAGAAATATTAAGCAATGGTTGGTTTATACTGACAGTGACACAAGTATCACCGGTAACAAACGATGATGATCGCGAATTGTTGACAGTTAATTGAAGTTAATGAATCACAACTGACTGTAATCAAAACTCTACTGAGGATATTTATACATAAACTACCTTATTATATCTGACATTTGTAGACACAATAATAAAAAAGAACAATCGCATAAGTAAATTATGGTTTCATCATTTTAAGTACGCATAAAGTCAATTTCTAAGAGTTTACGAGACCTACCGTTCAACTAAGTAGTGTAAATAAGTTGCTTGATCTGTATGCCTTCTTAGATTTGACTGGAATGATGAATACTCAATTAATTTCCATGCTTTGTTTAAATCAGCAATTGTTTTCGCGGTCTTAACTTGTAAATAAAATGGCGAATTTACGAAAGCCATTTTCCTTTGTTCTACTGACTCTAATGTAAATAAAACACTCGTTACACTCATTAATTTATAATTATTGATTGAACTTTTAATTAATGGAACAGTTCTCATTGCTATAGAATAGATTGAACGTGGCAAGCAAAGAAATCTAGGGTGTTCTTTCAGGACGCATCTGGATGTACCTTCCTTCCAGAGTTGATGTTCACTCTACCAACATCAACTTTGGGAGGCTGGTACATCCAGCTAAGGAGTTTCAAATAGGGCTAAAAGAGTTTCCCTGATTCCACTGCTAGCCACATACCATGTAATCTATTTTAAAGTGTGTCATCATAGCTGTATCAAGGCAATCTGCACAGGATATCCATATCCCAACCAAGACTGGTTAAATTTCAGCCAAAAATATCAACAACTGAATAATTCAAATCATTTAAATTGAATCAGTTGTGATTGTTTTGTAATGAATAAAATAAAAACATTAATCAAAAAGATTGTTATATAATTCAGAAACTAGAGTGAATAAAACCAATTATTCTCCAACAGAATTATATTCTAATCCCCTAGTAAATTTCCTTTCACCAATAGCAAAGATAGACGAAAACCGTGAAGCTTCTTCTACCTCAAACGGACAATGATAAAGTATCAAATATTTGGGTAATTATGAAAAACGTTCGAGGTATTCTAGAGATTTGCCCATTAAAGAAGTGAGTTTCAGGAGGAGTTCAGGTTCACATGTATACGCAAAAATTAACACTTTCAAAACAGTGATCTAAAATTTCGTTGTTAGATATTTTCCAAAATGAAGTCCTTTCTTTCACACTGATAACATTTTCAGTTCGTAAAATCACGTTTAACTGGTAAATTTACATGACTAGGAGAATATATGCAACTTAGATTATTGTAAATGTGACGTCCATATCGGTTTCCTTTTTTAACCATGAATTATCTATCCAAAAAGGTGTTTGTTTAATCTCCTAATTGACAATGAACGTAATGTGCAGAGACACTAAGTCCTCCTTCCGATAATCCTTTTTTTATATCTTATCACGTTAGCATTATTTAATTTCTTTTTGATGCTCAATTTCCGTTCATTTTGTTCTTATCGTGTTATTTAATTTACTAAAATTAATATTAAGCAACTTAGAAGTTAAACGGGCTTGTTCAAATAAGAAGGGTGTAAGTAGACAGGTAGCTAGAAAGAATAATAGAAAAGGAAAATTAGCTGATGACAGCTGCAAAAAATAAGCAGATAGAAAGCAAAATTTCAAAGTTTATCTTGCAGGAGAAAACAATGAAATAAGTAAACGTCACACGATATGTTAGAACTGTTTTTTACACCCATTATATTTTGGCGCCAACTAATTATGGTATATATATATATATATATATAGTAGCATACACCAAAATAGTTCTCACAGTTCCATCTATTTTTTGTTCGCCAATTTCTAATACTTAGGAAGCTGCAGTAACTAATACAATTAAGTGCTAATCGAATAGTGTCACTGCATTCCAATAGTCTAAATAATACTAAAGAGAGGAAGATTGCCACCGTAAATGTTATTTTGTCAACACCAGTAGACCACAATGGTATTGATTTAGGTTTCCTCCCTTTGAAAAAGTAGTCACTGTCATATAAAATGACCTTGACTAAAGAACACTTGAAAATCAGTGATTACTGGTTTCCAGTTTCGTCTCATCAAGAGTACTAATTCACTGTTCGAAAGAAAAAAAACGTTTTCCATGGGTGACCATAACTCTAATCATATGTTTTTTATTGACTAATTTCTGGAGTTATTCCTCAAGAATCCAGACGGAAGCCTTAAATAATGGTGTCTGTCAATTCCAAAATGAAAGGAAATCAATCACTCTTCTATAACATTGTACTGGAACCGAATCCTAGGTTAGAACGATACAAATTTTCCAGTTCACTTCAGCTTTCATTTATTCCTATTTATCATGTTTCAATTCAGTCAAACTTCTGTACTATTTTACAATATTTAGTAAATCATTAGGTTCCAGATTCAGACTATTTTTGATCTACATCGATATGGGTAACTATATAGCTCCACTTAGTTGCCATACACATGAAAATCGTGTGGTCCCTGAATCCTAGTGTACAAACTTGTTCCTTGTCATTGTATTTCAAAATCGACTCATAAGCTAACGTCTGCTTACCATAATAGTTTGATTCATCCACTGCCCCATATTTTTTAAGTAATTCGATTGCTTTATTTGCTTTATTCCCATAAATGATCGCCAATTCAGCAGTCAATGGACGTGGGGGGTCGAAACTTCTGTCACATTTATTGACTTGACATTTTTCCTTTTCTGAAATAAAAATATTCCATAATTCCTAAACCCTTGGTAAATTTTAATAGTTTAAATCACAAACTAATTTAAACTAGAGCTTTATTGAAAACCTAGAAGCACGGGACAACCATTTCATCTTAGTATGAGACCATTAGACAGTGCCCATCCACAGCCCCATATCCGATTATCGAATACAAGGCCTCTAGTCTCGTTTGTTAACGCTTGACATCTGAACCACTGAACTGGTATCTAATGGTATTAACATTTGACTTCAATCAGTTCGCGATGTTGCCCAATCCTCGTTCACTGACTGAATAACTGTTTCACATCTCACATGGCTTAAGTTCGTTGGTCACGTCACGGCTGCTATAGTACTCCAGCCATCTCGGTTTAGGATTGAGGTAGGAATTTCGTGATTTTCTCACTTTCAAACGGCCGCAGTCATGACACCTCTATCTTGTCCCCGTGAAGCAACATCAAATGTAGAACAAGCCACAAAGCAGGAGGAATATTTACCTACAGATATTGTAGAGTATTTATGAAATATGTGCACGTAGTCTCCAGTCATCCATCTGGATCCTTTTGTGTGTTTTGCAATTCAAGTTGATTCTAGACTGCTTTCTCTAGCTTCTCTTCTGGTGCCAAAAGTATTCCGCATACATCGTGCTTTTTGACCTCCTGGAACACTTTGACTGTAGCAAATTACGTGCGACGTATGACTACGTACTACTTACAAGCAATCTCATGAGCACCATTCACAACAAAATAATTAAAGTAACCTCTATGAATTAAAACTTAAAATAACTCCAATTAAATCAATAAAAACAAAAGAAAATATCAGATGGAACTTGAGATTATGCTCACAAACGTTTGTAAAATTAGTGTAAACTGACTGATTTCATTGAATGTAGTCATGGAATCATAAATAAATTTATCGAACAGATAAAATCTACAGTAACTTACCAATTTTAATTGATAAAAGATCTTCCATATAATTTAAATCTAATGCCATTGCAGCTGCAATTAATTCATTGGTATTACGTGCTTGGTCTACATGTTTAACTAATTCATAATTTCCAGTGGACATTGAACACTCGAATAAGCTTTTCCCGTTTGGTTGATTTGCTATTGTTCGACACCAACATGATAAATAATAATCCATTTTAATCATATCTTCTCGTTTTACTGAATAAGAAAGAACAAATAAGTGGATACACATACGACTGCAAAATATTCAAGAAGTGTATTCCTTCCCAATTCATGAATCGTCAGCTAGATGTGGTTGAACAGCAAGGCTGGAAAGTAGAGTTATTCAGAAGATATCTTAATAATTAGAATCCTCAATATTAAGAAGTTGAAAGTCTTTAGTAGTAAGTATTGCCTTGCTTGCAGTTCGATGCTAGTTAGCACTTGTCAGTAGTCGTAAAAGAATTGGGGCTTCCTGGACCATAAATTGCCATAATTTTAATCCATAAAGCCATCAAATAATTCATTAATAACAAAAATGACACCTTGATACTCAATTTTTGAAACGTTAATTGTATATTTGTATATCTGTTACGCGGCCAGTATCGAAAATCGAAAATATTTACTGATACCTTATATCCATTAAACAATGTGGTGACTATCTGGATTCAGTAGCTCAGTAAATAATATGTTCAGAGCTTGAAGTACAAGGCACTGGGTTTGATTCTCAGTGTAAACATCAGCACTTAAATCCAGACAGATCAGGATGTTGACTCGTGTATATAACTAAAGATGCGTCATGCATTTCATTGTTAACCGCACACCAAATATGCTAAAAGTTTTGACTAGAAGCTATATCGAGACAATCTACTTATGACGTGTAGTTCTAATGATAGAGACTGATCAATTATAGCCCTGAGTATCAACAACTGAAAATTACAAACCCTTGACAATAGTTACTTGTAAACTTAAATAATTTAGTGACTGAAAAAGAAACAACTTACTTGCATTCCATATACCACAGTTAAGACCAGGTAAATTTTTTACCAACCATGCTCTTTGTTCTCCATAATGATAAAAGACATGTAGTCCAGAATTGTTTTTAATCTCTGGATCAGCACCTATACAGCAAAAGAAACAAACAAAGGTTATGGTTAATTTACCAACAATTACTGTCACATATTGTACATACAAATCTATAATAGCTTTTGTAGATCAAAGAACGATAACAAACTGAAACATATTACGTGTTGTAAGGGTTTCAATTATCCTATTGTTGATATTAATGAACACGGTTGATCAGTCGCTTACTGGTAAAAGTGAATGCTCAGCTGATTGTCCCGACAAAAGTAAGATTGGAACAATTACAATTGAAACAAAATTAATTCATCAATTGGTTGATCACCACCCAGTGATCAATCAAATGTGATTATGTCTCAGTCCTACAGGAGGTCAGTCGCTGCCCGGATAGATCAGTGGTAACGTCTCTGATCGTGAAGCTGGGTGACACGGGATCGGATCCGCCAGGGAGCACCAGTTCCCTCAAGATTACAGGTACACCATGCTGACGAGTGCCAAGTAGCACGAAACCAGGGTCCAGGGTTTCCTGTCGACTACTTCCAACAACTATCTGATCTCAAAATTCATTACTGTTGAACAAACCAATGGAAATTTAAACACAGTAGCTCAGATATAACTACTGATAGGGTATTAAAAATAAAGATAATGGGTTCCAGTCTTAGTTTGAATTTACTGCTAAACACTATCAAATTTGGCTTTAAAACGAAAAATAGAAGTCCATATCAAACAAAATGATGACTCCACCTGTAGCTCTTCTAGAGTTACTACCGGTTCCATGACCGAGTAAAGGAGGATAGTTGGGCATGTGGTCAGCAGCTCCATCCCATATATATAATCTCGTATCAGCAGTTATTTACATATTTCAGTAGATAATAATGATAGTATATTCTGAAAATAATAATTACAGAATTTATGCCAGTTTACAGGCATGATCAACTTGAAATAGAGAATAGATATGTTATAATAGATTGTCTCAAGTTCTTTAGTTTAAAAATTGTTTAGTTCGTACATTTTTCACATGTATTACAGAATTGTTATATCGATAATTCAAGTCTTGACTAACTCAATACCATAAACAAAGTATTAGCTGAACTACCTTCACAAGTAAGTTGTTCTTTTATTTTCGTCTTTTTTTGTATTTATGTGTATGATTTATTTTCAAATGAGAGAAGAGATTATATTTATTTGTGAGGGTCTTTATATTCAAAACTCCACTTGATCAGTCTCGATTGACATGTGAGTACCTACAGCGGAACATCACTATATAGAGTTATGTCACATCTTGTACTATATTTGTTTTACGGTTGACAGTGGAATCGAAGACGCGAGTTTTATCCTATTTGTGACTCTTCAATTGGATATCTCTGGATCCTAATGCTGATATTCACAATGAAACTTGAACCTTTAGCTTCAAACACCAATGAATTACCAACTGAGTAATTGAGTTTAAGCACTTTCAAAGACGAACTGACATTTAGACATCCATTAAAAATCGATCAGCACTGAAGTCATTTTATTCCAACTAAAAGAGTCTCGGTAAACAGAAGCCCGAACACCATATGAGATTGAATCCAATACCTTAAGATTTCACCACGAATAATCTTAAAACTAGAATAAAACAAAAGATCACTACTTCCCTGATATTTAATATTTGTTCAGTTTAATGACAGGTAATGATGAACATTACCTTCGAAAATTTTTCACCATATTTACTGAAAACTTAATTGAGAGAGTTCAGCCAGTAGTCAGAATTATACCACATAATATTACTTACTACTGTATAACCACTGATCAGTGTAAAGGCAATCTTCGTCCCCTCTGTTTTTTTTCTTTGATTGCATCCAATAAAATTAACACTTAGATTGCATAAACGTTAAATGTTGACCAAAAGTAATCGAATTCGGTACGCTAACTAGAAATATCCAGAACTGTTCAATTCATACTCAAGTAGTCACGTTTGGACCAGTACTCAACGCAGAGAAAACTCTATGCGCTCAATCGAACGTATTGTATTTGGAATTCGAATTAGGGACAGAATCATTTATAAGAGTATTATCAATTAGAAGAAACACCGTAAAAATACATTTAACTATCAGAAGGGATTTTTGTGAATATTATAGTAATTTCAATAGTTGAGATCATGAGTCAATTGAAGCTAGACCACAATGGGAAACCTGGAAGCACTGGACGGCCGTTTCGTCCTATTGTGGGATACCTCAGCAGTGCGCACCCACGATCCCGACTCGCGAGATTCGAACCTGGGACCTACTCATACAAAATGTTTATTTACTTCCCTCAGAAAATTAAATCAAATTTGCAACTAAAAGCGTATGCCCATTTACTTAGACATTCAGAGCGAATCTTGACAAAAATGACTGCTACGCTAGTATCTCTCACTTATCACTTAGCTTGTGGTTGATTGGCCTAACATATCAGGTACAGCAAATTAATCTCAGGAACAGTTGTGTACCGTCATAACTTAACAATATTCTCCAGAACATGTATTCCATTTATAATTATTTAGAATGTTATGACTTATGCCCCTATCAATTATCACGTGACAAAATCGTTAATCAAAACACCGACTTATATGAACCTGCTCCTGTACTAAACCAATGACGCGTCAATTAGAACTATCAGTCTTGAGCCAACTCTGAATCCCTATTGGTCCTCGATATAGTGACTTTTTTGCTTAGCCTTACCCGTTGGGTCAACACAATTTCAGTTTCCACTACAAAAATATTATATTTTAGACATACATGGTTTATATAAAAGCAGAACAGACCACATCATAACACAAAATGAAGGATAATAATTGCACAATGCCAAGCCAAGAGCGTCTGTGAGTCTGGGATATGCGCGTTTTTCCTGGATTCTACTTACTTACTTACTTACTTACGCCTGTTACTCCTCGTGAAGGAGCATAGGCCGCTCACCACTGGATTCTACAGCTAACCATTATCCATCTTTGCTTATAATTCACATAATGTTATATGCAACCACTTCATTAAATGAAAATAAAGCCAATATTGTTTAAAAAGAGATTGCAAACATCACTTAGTTAGAATTAGAATTACACTTACCTAAACGAATTAAATGTATTGCCAAGAATTCCGTATACGGTAAAAGACATATTAAATGTAACACTGTATTTCCCATATTATTTTGCGCATTAACTGAGCAACGACCGCATACAACAAGACGATATACTAATCCAACAATAGGTGAAGCCCATTCTGGATATAATTGATTTCCATTTATCATATTACAATCATCAAATTGTTTAGCAAACCTAGGTATCGATAAAATTAAATAATGTAGCAATGTATTCCCAGTTTCTTCATCTCTCATATTTCCATGCTCTGAAGTGATTAGTTCATGAGCTAACCATAATTCCTTGATAGAATTATAACTATTAAATACAGTATATAGTTGAAGCGATTTTAAATTATTCTGCATATTCTCTGTGGTAGATGGCAATTTCAATGATTTACAGGTAAGCGAACGATTCACAGTTGTTGTTAACATTTCACTAAATAAAATTCTATTGGAATCCACCGTCATTGTCAGATAATTAATTTCTCTTTACTAGTAATATATATATATATATATAACACATTTAGTTCAGTATAAGTGCTCCAACGGTTGCCTAGTGATGAATATATGTTTACAACCAAGCACCATCAGATAACTGATCAGCTGACTTAGGACTTGGAATTATTAGGTCACTTATTTAATAAACATAATGGACTGTTTAAATATATTAGAAAAAGTATCGAAATTCCACTATTAGGAATAAATATTTCTTATCTGTTCACTATTGAGTGATGAATTCATGATGTTGATCTATTAAGTGAAACAAGTATATTTCACAAATCTATTCATCTCTTTTGAGAAAGCAGTTCTATATTAACAAAGAAAGAACGAAAATTTTTGAATAGACTATTTTAACAGACTATTGTACTTCGTAGTACTCTTATTGATATGAGTAAATTTAGAAATTACATAATGAATTATCCATCCATCTTTGTATTCAGGTGTTTATCAAAGAGATGAATGATCCTACCAGACTTATTCATATCGGATAAGACAGCACATTTCACAGCTATAAAAAGGTGATCGAATGAAGTCATACTACCATAGGGCTAGAAAACTATGCTTGTTTAAATTTTTGAAAAGAAATCAATAGTTTAAAATCAGTCTATAACGTTACCTTCAAAGGGTTTGGCAATTGGAATATTGAAAGATCTAGTTGATGTACTACTCAACAGAATTCATGAAAATCAATCTAATTGTGATATAATATCATGGTTTTTAATTACTCATCTTATCAACCAGTAATCAACATGAATATATTTGATATGTGGTCGGCAGTGAGATTTAAGACTCAAGTTTTATCCTGTTTTGAAATCATCAGCCGGATATACCTACTTACCATTATTAATGTTTACATTGGAACTTCAACCTAGTTTGAAAAGCATAATGTCTTATCCATTAAAGTACCGATGGGTCCATATATCCACTAACTTATTCAACGAATAAGAAGGTATTAATAAGGGATCGTGATTTCCTGTTGCTGATATTCAAAATTGTTACTAATCCGTTTTTATAACCTATACATATTCGACTTTTAAAATGTTTAATATCGTGAAACAAAGTGTAAAGCAATATTTTGATGATTTTAAGTAATCAACAGACATGTAGCAACATATGAATGGATACTGTAAATTATCTAGCTAAATAAATCCCATCAGATTTCAATAAAATCATTGAAAGTGCAAAATAACAATAGTGTCAAGCAAAATACACCATCTTACAATGTCAACAATAAAAGTACAACCAACTTTCATAACAAATAACAAAAACAAACAAAATATGAATATTTACTTATGAAAGAATCAGGAAAATTTAAGCATGTTGTTCATAAGCAAACTTTAAATATCAATTAAGCAAAATATTGACCAGTGGAGCTAATCCGTGCCAGGTCGAGACAGGTATCAACCTCAGTAGAATGGAAGATGGTCACTCAATTTTGTCGATTGGTTGAAGTTAGACATTAACACCTCTGGATGCCGGCTCAGTGGTTTAGAGGTTAAGCGTTCGCGCGTGGGACTGAAGGCCCTGGGTTTGAATCCCGCCAGCGGGATCGTGGATGCATCCTACTGAGGAGTCCCACAATAGGACGAAACGGCCGTCCAGTGCTTACAGGTTTTCAATATTGGTCTAGCATCAATCGGTTCATGATCTCAATCATAAACTTTAAAATCTGATAAATGAAAAAAATCTCTTAAAATATCTCTCTGTTACAAAATAATTCACTTTAAATAGAATCTAAATTATGATGATTTATTCAATCACAAGAATTTCGAATTCGTTGAACGATCTAAACAACGTTGATCTCTAGCTGAATAGATCTGAAGAAAATAAAATTCTTTCTTACAAACGTTTATGTTAATGTAAATCAACTTTACTTCTTCATTAAGTTTGAATTAAAACGAAACATCGATATTAAAGTGTTTCTTTATGAACATCTATGAATTAAATCTAATGACAGGGAGAATTAAATAATATTGTTAATGACGAAACAAGTCAAAATTGAATATTATCAAGGGATGATAAAGTATTCCAGCTGACTTTTCTCATGGGCTTTTCTTTTAGTTTTTTTGGCATAAACACTACTTACAAAGTAACTAGACATCATTCAGCCAGATACACTTTATTAATTAAACTCCAGTAAGGATTAATAGCAAGTAAAGATTTAAAGGCCTTTGATTAAATCAATAACAGTACGAACAGGATTTTTGTTGTTTTGTTAGATTATTAATTATCAGAAGGGGTTTGTGGAGATTTTTAGAAATTTTCACAGATTGAAATCATGAGTCAGTTGAAGCTAGACCACCATTGAAAACCTGGAAGCACTGGACGGCCGTTTCGTCCTAGTATGGGACTCCTAACTAACAGTTTTAGAATAATTTAAAATTAAATCGAACAAGTAAACACTTTCAAATGGTACACCACAATGTTGAATCACTCAACTAATTGGGAACATTGCTAACTTATTCATTAATTGTATTCCGTTAGCACTAAGACTAAGATAATGTAAAACTCATTCTTAACCAATAACTGACTTATACTTCCGATCATGTTCATCAAAAGTTATTGATAACTAAAGCAACCCATTAACAATATCTTTGATTTCACTGTTGAGTAACTAAACGTTTACTTACTGAGGTAATATAAATTTGTCTTTAAAAGTGGTGTTAAAATCTAGAAATATTAAAAAACAGATCAATAACTTGGTATCTTTCGCAAAATTATTATTCTATGATAAAGTTCATCAAAAATGACTGTGTCCTAACCGCAAAATATAAATTGGTCATTCATGTCGTTGAACTGTAGTCTTAATATAGATCAAACGGTATGTATGATGAATGACGTACTGAGGGCTTTTAAAGAGATTGAAGTGAATCTCTCTTTTTTTTAAAGTGAAATTTCGTTAATTTTAAAATCTTTATTTCTATCTTGGAACTAGTGTAAACTATTCAGAGTTTAGGAATTAGTTCATTAATGTGTACCTTTTCACAACTCTTCGTTTACTCAAACATAAGTAGCAAAACTTTTTCAACATTAATCATTTCACAGAACAGTGTAGCCATCATTTGTTAATGTTTACCATTTACACTGGCTACATCATGATTTACTATTACGCTTTAAACTTAATTATAGTCTTACTGATTCCAGATATATCATATGCTTGTGCTCATATGCCATTTTAAGACTAAACGATGGATGATGAATGGCAAATAAAGCACATTGTTAAATGAAGTCAATTAAGGTCTTAACCTAAAAATCAAAATCAAAAATGCCTATATTTCATAAATTTTGTGCACTATTTGGCTTACTAATTATTAGCGTCCTAGTTATTCACAGTCCTCTTATTTACATATCAGGTTAGGCAAGTATTTAAGAAGCAGATATATCTGTATTTACATCAGACAACCATTAAATATAACACTTTCATTCGTTAGAAGAAAATTCTCATATCAATTGATTAAAATAGAAAACTTTAAAGTAACATGGTGAATTTATTTTTATTCTAGAAAATCTATAAAATATAAAGAGACAGTGAATAAACATGACAACATCATTGTAACTATTAACATAACATCAGTGACAGAAAATGTATTTTTAAAAAAGGTAAACAACTCAATCAATTAAAATCATTTTTAAATACAAATAAGCAAAACATAATCACAGATATTACTCGTAATGAATTCAACTAGTAGTTCTGTAATGAATGAGAACAAAAGTGGGGATAATCAAATACATTTTGTACACAATATTACAGTCAGTCAGCTACAACGTAGGACCAGGAACATATATGCATCGGTCCAACTTGCAGTACCTCATTAACACAACAAGATAAACACTGGATTCATAAAAGTAGTTAATTCAGTTGTGGTAATATAGAATAGAAACATTACAATAAGGATATAGTACACGAAGAAAGAATTAGTTCGTAGAAAGAAAGATATTAAAATCTGTGAACCATCATTTGTAAAATATCAATCAATTGTCTCAAAATTGACTGTTCGTTTTGTTTTAAACTTTATTTTTGTTCCGACATTTTCATATCAATTACTTTTTGTTTTCATTCTTTCTCTTCTCAATCTTCTTGATCTTTTATTGTCAGATACTATATTCCTGACTAGTGTTACATACTACTTATGTCAATGTAAGTAGCACACAATACAATTTAAGACATTTCATTTTATAATAATAATGAATTAATTAATGATAATAATAATAAGAAAATACATCCTATTGTCATTGTTATACTCATTAATTTTAATTCATTTAATATAGGCTTTATATTTAACATTGATAATTGTTGATTATCACTGTTATTAGTTAATGGACAAATAGAACTAATTCCATTTATATATATTTCATATAAACCATTAAATGGTATCATATCATCTAATAAATAATGTATAAATGGTATTATATATTGAATGAAATTCAATTTTAATTCATTCCAACTAATTGAAAATAATCCATCGATTAAATGTTCAATATTTAAATTGGATAAACATTGAATTTGTTCTAATAGATTTAAACTAATATTGGCAAGTTTATCAAATGGTTTTAAAATAATTTTATTTTGTTCAATAATATTTAATTGATTTTCAATAAATAAATAATTACTATGATATTCTTTATATAATCGATTTAATTTTTTATAAAAATTTATTAAATTTTTATGTTCATCATTTGAAATCTTTTTTAAATTACGTAAAATAATTAGAAAATAATTAAAACCAGGATGAATTAAATAATCATTGACATGACCAACAAATAAATGATCAAATAAATTGGTTAAATTGAATGTTAATTTAGTTTGTTCATATAACGCGCGATAATCGATTGGCGGGATATTTGATTTTAAATCATAATATTTTGTTTTATTTGTAATTTCTATATACCAAATATTATATAATAATGAATAAAGATAATTAGAATTTAATATATTTATAAAATTCAATGGACGATTTATATGTAAACTTTTTAATAATGGTAAATGATCTGGTGTATATTTTGAATTGATTGTTTTTAAAATATTTTGCGGTACTTGTAAATTTAAATTTGGAATTGATAAAAATTCGATTGTTTCATTTAAATTATCAATAAAAACTTTTAAATATTTTGTAATTAATTCATCCGCTTTTATTTGAGCTAAATGATTCGATTGTAGATATATACAACCTTCATTTATACCGATTAATGAGATGTATACACTTGTCAAACTAATTATGATCAACAAGAAACATATTATAGAAATTGTACATAAAGTAAAACGTAGACAAACAGATCGATGTATGTATACTTTGACTTGACCTTTATTATTGATCCAAGTTTTGTATTGATGATTTCGACCTTTGATGAATTGATAACTTAAAATGAATATGTATATGTAAATGATGATAAGTATTATACTCAATGAAATAAATAGTATGTGGTAGGATAATAGTGCAATATTGAAGTAGTTTATAATTTGCTTCAACTGTTCAACAAGTTTGACAGAAGGAAATTGTTTGGTATAACTAGAAATTTCATGTTTAGTTTTATTAATCTCTGGCTTTAAATATGTTTCAAATAAGAAGTTTATACAATTATTTGAAAGATTATCAATAATCGGTAACCATTGATGTATCAAATTTTCAATATTCAATGCTTGTGGAATTAGATCATACATTAAAACTGATGTTAAACTTCTCATTTGTAAAGTTAATGGAAGATCAGTAGAATATTGTATAAGATTTGATAAAAACTCATCTATTTGGTTACATGAAGTAAAATCTATAAGTTTAGAATGTTTCAAACTATCACAAAGAATATATTTTGTCTGTTGTATAATAGGTGATGTATGCCACCAAAAAAATGACATCGATGTTATATTCTCTTTCATTAAATATTCATTCAAATAAGTTAAAGATGATAAACTTTGTCGATATGTATACCATGAATGTTCAATTTTTCTAATTAATTCAGAATTCAATAATCTAGCAACATTATTTAAATTGATATAACGATGTAGAACTAAATCAAAATTATCCAATATCATATTTGATTCTTTATTAATCTTTTCTAATTGTATGAAAGATAGATTATTTTGTTTCAATGCAAATGTTGTCAATGAATGCATGTTCAATGAAGAGTTATTTCTTGTATAGCATAAATCAGTAGTAGCTAAACAAGTAATAATTTTGGCAATAAATTGTTTTATACATTGAACAAATTGATTTAATAAACTATTAGTTGATGAACTTTGTAATAGATCATTATGAATATGAATTGTAGTTAAATTATAAGTTATATCTATAGCATAATGACTGAATTGTTCTATTTCTAATGAGATTAATTTCAATTTTGATGGTATATTATTCATTTGTTGCATTAAATTTTGTTTATGTTGAAAAGATATAATAAAACTATAGAGACAAATTAGAAAACAGATTATAACAATTATTGAATATATGAATAAACGGTATAATGAGTTTCTATGAAATTTAAATAAATCTACTATATACCATTCATAATTTTGATTATTTTCCAAATGATCATTATCACATTGAATATGATCAATGAATTGAACTGGTTGGATATTAGGTTTGTTTAAATGTTTGATCTTTAATGATTCTGTAATTGGTAAAACTTTACTCACTTGTAATTTGTCATGTTGTATTTTAATATATTGTTGATTGTTGTCCCGTTTCATGAATTGATCATTGAAGACTGATGTATTATCAAGATGTGAACTGTTAAAATACATATATGTTTTATGATATGAAGATGAAGTTAGCTTCAAAGCATTACAATATTTGTTATCTACTGACTTTTTATAAGTAACATTGTCATCATCATCATGTATAAATATTATTTTTATAATTGTAATTAAACATAGTAGACAGCTTATTATGCATACACCAATTATTAATTGAGTTTCTTTCTTTTCAACACTTTGTTTTAATAATTCAATTATCCAAGTATTATTATCAAATGGAATAAACTTGAATAAACCACCATCGTAATATACACGATCAATCATGTTCCTACTGTTCCTTCCTGACAAAAATGGTACCTATTTGTCAAAGTAAATAAGAAAATTGAAAATCATTTACACAGATCAAGTCTAGTTATTGGTATTGACAGATATTAAAATTATGATGTAAGTCACTAGTTAAAGGTAGTCATTCACAAAATGTGGACCTAAGTTTTGTTCTTGATGTCACTTATCGATGGGGTTTATTTGTAGTCTCTAGAGGGGGGGGAACAAATACTCTTTGAAAAAATTTATACCCGTATCACTGACTATTACAGAAGTGTTACTACTGAATTATTCGAGTTACCAATGAAATTCTGTAAATTGATTGATCACCTTTATAACTGAACAAATGGCTAGCAACTGTATAATACAACTTGAAACAAGATGATAAAAGAAACACTGATAGAAGATGGAAATTTGTTAGACACTGAAAACAGATTATAGCGATCTTCAAAAATATTGATTTTTATAGGTTATATTTACATTGATTACTAGTTACATTTTGGAAAACTAAACTGAGTAGCACTTATCACCGACTAATCGATACTTTACTGTATAAACATAATTTACAATTTCAGAAAATTAAAATTCTACAACGAAAATATAAGATTGACTGGGTTATGTTTGCTCTATCATAACAACCACTAACTTATAGTCCTTTGATTATTGCCTTGCCCTTATTGATAATAGAAATTAGTTGATCGAGTTACTGACAATCTTTACTCTCGAGCCTAAACTAACATGAAACCTAAGTTCAAAGCATTTTGCCAATTACTTCCAGCAACCAACTTACATCAAAAAGTTGGACATTATGTTGATTTACTTAGATTAGTAGCTACACTGAAATTTTACTAGTACAAGTCGACTATCAGTAAGGACTAAATATTTACTTTGATTAATTAACTTGATTATGAGTAGAATTGCTCACTACGATGTCCAAAAGTTTTTGTTGTCCCTGTTGCCTGACTCCAGTGAGTTCGAACAATGATTATCCGAATGAAATAAATACCCTACTTGATTTTGTATACATCCTGATAAGATGTATTATATTGTATTGTATTTTCTTTAGGATACTTATATTTCAGACATGTTAATGTTGAAGAGCAAACAAGCAAATAAAAGACGCACCCACTGTTTTGAGCTTTGGAGTTCAGCAATCGACTTAAACAATGGTAGTGCGACTATACTAATCGCTACAAATGTTTAAGCCCACTGTTTGGAGAATTTGAAAGCAAACTTTTGATTAATCTAATATTAGGACAAAGCAGCTCTACGTTTCCCCCTAGTTTTTGATGTCTGTCCAGACATGATGTAAATAACGGCTTGAAAGATTTTTTGTCATTAAGTTGTAATTTTAAAACGAAAATGTTTCAAGTCATCTTATTGAAGTTATAGATAACTAGTTTCAGTATAAGTTTGTATATGGTTAGCAGGAACTTCTAGAAAGAACTTTTATAAGTCTCCGACAATACCATGTTATCTGTTTAGAATGTACATATGTCAACAGAGACCAATGAAAATCCAGTTCTGATTATCAGCAACAAGCAAATCACAACTCTTGCAAACAATAAACGTAGGTTATTACTTTTCGAACCTTAATTACATTAATTAACTTTATCTAATCTATTTGAAACACGCTATTGAGTCAGTCTTTTCAATTTAAAGGGCAATGCACGGATTTGTTTTTACCATCCATTCTTAAAATTTCTGTTCAGATTTCAACATTTTAACATTCAGCCGGTGAAAATTTTAATTGAACAATGAAACACAAATTAGTCAATATATACTTACAGTCTCCACCTGTCAGTTTCTCCAATATTAACCTTTCGCACTTCTGTTACTCAAATTATAATACCGAATACTGAAGAATTTATATCGTGTCATGGTTTTTATATAGTAATTGTCACCGATTAGTATCTTAGAGTGCATTACGTAACAGAGTTCGTGTTATTAGCACAGCATAACAACTATGCCATCAGTAATGAAATGAATATGTGATTTAAGTAACTAATTGATAAATTAGCAGAAAAGAATCCAAGATTTGAATTATATCTGTCTTGAAGACATGTTACTACATTCAATATTCAGTTGATAAGTATGATCTGGTGTAAATTGAACAAGCTGTTAAATAATGTCACATGTTTTATTAAGGTCAGTGAATAGATATTATAAATGTATTGACAAAAACGATTCTGTAGTATATCTGCTGTCTGTAATTGTGAGTGTGTGTGTACGCGCATGCACAGTATCAATTTGAAACAGAGTTTTCTGATTAATAAGAAGACAAAATTAAATGAAACGTTTCAAACAATTACATTCATTAACGAGAAAACAGATAAACATGACTTACAAGTTAGTATGAGTCATTAGAAATAATTGTAACATACCAAAACGTTCCAGATCATCTAATGATTTTGGATAGACAACCAGTCACAGCTAAGACGTTTTGGACGGGTGCTTCGTCTTAATATAGAACTCTTAAACCGTACGTATTCACTACCCAATCGAGAAACCAAACCTAAAGCTTACAGGCTTCGTGGAGATATCACTGAATCCAACTTCAGTCAGTGCACGATATTTTATGGTCCTCATCTATTTTCAGTGTCAATTTTGTCTTACTCGGGACATCGCTGAACTCCACTGGTCACAGTTTCCTATTTAAACTTCGAAAATTCCCTATCGAAACTGGTGATTAGTAAGCATCTGACGATCGTTATAAAAGAATGCTATTGGGATCGTTAAATCACGACCTGATTTTAAGTCAACAACTACTGGAAACTAGGACATCTGTTTCATTCTTCTATGGGACACTTTACCAGTATTTATCAATAACTTTACTGGGTTCGAACAATAAACTTAAAAGTAACTATTCGAGTTTCTTCTGAAAACTTATTATTACCATGAAAAACTGACCTCATCCGAAATTATCTAACTGATTTATTGTTGTGTTGTAACTTCTACCGCAATCCACCATTACATATGAGAAATGCTCCTCAATGGAAACTAACAACAAATTATCACTTTCCTGACCAACGAATAAAGATCGCCATACCGATTTGAAAATCACGAACTGGAAACAGTGTATAAATCTCAACTATAAACCATATCGTGATTAATTTCAGTGCAAACACTGTAATTAAGTAATTACCGGAGAGAGAATTAATCAGAGAAAAATATGATACAAGTGTGTTCAAGAAATGACTTTCAAATAGGGTGAGGAAACCTGGGATTAAATCGTGTTTTGATAGAATCTGTTTTAAAGCAATTAGTCCCTTTTGTAAATTTCGAAAGAATCTATTCTAACAAAAATTATTAATTAAAGGAGATTGCTTTCATCCGCCTTTTCCAAGGTGAATCTAAGACAAACATTAATAATATTAAAACACTGGACCATATTTATACGTATGCTTAATGCAAAAGTACTGAGGTAGCTGACTTAGCTCTCCGATAAAATGGTTTCAGTATTACGGATATATATTGACACAGAGATTATGTTCAGCCTATCATGAAGGTACGTGTATAATATGAAAGCTATGTGTGATTAATCTGGTAAACATTTATCCAACTCCTTATTAAAGCTCATAGATGAGAATAGTTCACAGTTATATAAATGTCTTCTTCAATCAAATATATTGCGATTTTGTATTAGACGAGTGGACTACGAACCTTATCAATTTTATTGTTTATATTAAGAGTTTAAATGCTTCCTAGGATTCTTAATTTTGGTTATAAATCCTTCATTTATATCACTTATTTTCTGATTGGTTAAAGACAGCTTTACTTTACATTGACAGCCAATCAGTCATTACTTTAATAAAGAAATCAATCCATCTTACTGAAAATAGAGCGAAAATTAACAAAAGAGATTTGAATTTTGTACTTTACGTCACGTACTTACTTTAATTAAACAACCATGGGGAACCAGCAGACATTGTCTGCATTGTCATAATTCCTGCATCTTTTCATCAATGCATATCTATGGCTTTCAGATTGTGCAGAGTGTGTTTAACTCTTTGTTCACTGAATTGGTATTCATTAATTCAAATGTTCAACTCCAATTAGTTCACGATATTGTGTAACTACTTTCTAATGCCTCTAGGTGGGTAAGTGCCTCACATTTGACATGGTTGAACTCAACTGGTCACAGCTTCTCACTAAAGTCACTGTACACATGTGTATCTGTTTTGAGGTTGTTGAACTCATTTTCGATTATCTATTTCTGTTACATTTGATACTTACGTTCGTTCACATTTCTTTTCTTGAAATGAAATGTAATGCTTAGATAACAAAAAAATTCTAAATCTAATCGTCTCTGGATAATATGCATGTTTTTTGAGCAAAAATTGAAGTTTCATGAAATCACTTCTTGTTTAACATCAAAACAATTTAATGCTTTTGGAAAATGTTACAGGTGTTCAAAATTAAATAACGACGTGTGCTTCATGCCGAAAGCTGAATTTCTTTCCAAATATAACATACTGAGAACGAAATCGGATTTCATTATTCAATCGTATCTTACAGAAACTCATCTGATAACAGTTATTTAGTTGAATTTAGTCAATATTCTGACTAAAATATGTTATCATAAGGGGTTTTATGGAGGTTTTGATAATTTCAATAGTTGAAATCATGAGTCAATTGAAGCTAAAACACCATGGAAAACCTGGAAGCACTGGATAGCCGTTTCGTCCTAGTATGGGACTCCTCAGCAGTGCGCATCCACGATCTCGCACCTCGCGAGGTTCGAACTTAGGACCTACCACTCCCATGCGCGAGCGCCTAACCATTAAACCACTGAGTCGGCATCCAACGGTGTTAATGTCTAACTTCAACCAATCCGCGAAATTGCGCCACCGTCCACCATTGTCTTCAGTGACCTGATATCTCACAATAGACCTGATTGAATTCCAGGTTTCCCATGGTGGTCTAACTTTAATTGACTCATGATCTCAACCATTAAAATATATTAGTCAATTCGAGCAGTTTAACCACTAAACTAAATTAACCAGTAGTTTGACATGGCATGTTTTAGTTTGACCCTTTGAGCTTAAATGTTGATATTGAGTAGTAAAATTTCATTTACAGAACTGCGCGTTAAGTGAGATTATTCGATTAGAACTGACATCAGTCATATGTCCTAAGGTCACTGTCATTGCATGTCAATGCTTATATTGTCTGATTATTAATTAGTAAACAAAGTGATGCTTTTGTGGTCATTTTTCATTTTTCCAATCAAATTGAAATGTGACCACTAGTCTATCATGTTTTTATGACGTTAAGTGATTGCAGATAGTTAGTATAAAACGTTTGGAACTAGGTTTCACGTTAGTTAGCACTTTTCACCAAGATGCATCTGAATTTTTGAGGAGACTGATGATCTAGTTGAGTTCTGAATCCGTGTTACCACCACAGTCTGAAATGAATCCACCGTGTCATTCGGGCTTCAATCGACCTGCTGTAGGAATGAGCTATTTACAATTAATTGATCATTTACTAGTAATCAATGTCACTTATTAGTCTAAAAGCTATACTCATATATGCAGCTGTTTACAAATATCCATTAACAATGCTATACAGGATCTTCGTTTAATTCGCGTTCACTCAAACCACTGGAGTATAAGCCATGTTTCAAAATTCAGTCAGTTTGCAATATAGCACAATGGCCGGGTAGTTTTATTAGTGTTAACCACCTCACACCTAACACAAATGAATTCCATCAATCACGACTTCTCATAACTACTTCAGAAATACATCTTGGATCCACTCACTAGTAAGCACACATAAGCTTAAATCAACTCCTAAAAATATTTATTTTTATGTGAAATATATTCAGTCATAAGCTCGTTTGCAATTTGTTGGAGCAAATATATCTTATTCATTAGTTAGATAATTTAAAAATGACGTAATAACCTGATGTCAACTTACCTGTGTATCCTAAAAAATCAAATTATTGAGCAGTAGTCGTTCGGATACTATCTTATCAAGAAACCTTAAAAATGGCAAACCATACTGCCTACAGAAGGAAAACCTAATAAATATGGCTACCACTCTCCTCCCCAGTCCAATAATAATATATACGTTAGGATATTCACCGGCACAGACCCTTCAGTATTTCATTGGAATCACTAACCAATCTAAGTTAGACAATCATTGAACACCTGGAAGCACTGGAAGGCCGCATCATCCTTGTATGAGACTCCTCTGCAGTGCACATCCATGGCGCCACACGCAGAAATAGAGCCCAAGGCCTTCGATCTCGCACGTCAACGTTTAACCTCTAGATTACTGAGTCGGCATCTAATGGTATGTAGGTCCAACTTCAATCAATCCACGACACTGAGCGACCATCTCCCATTGTCTTGGGTGGATAGTTGTTTCATACGCGACACGTTCATTAGAGTTGAACATTAACGCCATTGAATTCCGACTTAGTGGTCTAGAGTTTAGACGTTCCCGTGCGAGATCGAAGGCCTTGGGCTCTATTTCTACGTGTGGCGTAATGAATATACACTGCTGAGGAGTCTCACACGAGGATGAAACGGCCATCCGGGTTTTCAATGATGGACTAACTTGGTTCAATTCGTAATTTAAAGGGAATTCAATGATCTTCACAGCCCCATACTAACAGTTCTCAGTATTTACTAAATCAAACGTTTTATATTCGGTTGCTAAATGTTTACCAACATTTTAAACATCATAAAACATTCAAACATTTTAGCAACAATAACTTAGAAGGCTGATAGTTAAATTCAATCAGATAAATTGGAATCTCCATCCCAACTCCCTTATATTAGTCCAATGGAATGAAATTTTGCAGCAAAATATTTCATGTTTCATAGATTTACCTTACAATTGATAATATCGAATATTTCTGTACACTTGAAAACTAAATTATTTATAGTTTACAGCTATCAAATAGAAG